GTCGAGATCTTTCATTTGTTTTTCTATGTATTATATACAACGTCTTTATCCTCTCCAGGGGGCACGCCTAGGTGTCTTGGCATGACCTTCTGACCTCCGCAGCAAAGGGTCCAGGCGATGTAGTTAGGAGACCTTTTCAACAAGATGCTTGACCAAAAGGACCTTGAAAAAGGCTCCTTGTTATACTGACTATGAGCCGCAGTGGAGACATAGCAGCCTTTTGAACCGTGACCATTGGTGGGCCTGTTTCAGGACCATTGATGTTAGTTGTTCGGGAGCTTTGTACTTCCCGAGGCTCGCGTTGCGAGTTGGGGTTCAATATTGGAGTTGACCTTTTCGGAGCCTATATTACAGATGATTTGCACTCCTCCAAAACACCACGAGCAAGATGCATGTGTATATGTCATGGGTTCCATACCCGCCCCATTTTGATTTTGGGAAACCCCTCTTAGGCGAGCTTGTGCCGTGCGAGCTTGTGAGGTACTGGAGCTTCCTGCGACAGCGATACCAGGTGCGCGCTGCCTGCGGGGTGGGTCAGATAGGCCCCAATTGGGTCGTTGAGTTGGGTCAGGGGGCGTTTGGGTTTGGGTTTGGGTTGTGCGAACTTGTCCCCTGGATCCCGAGCATGTCTGGACGTATTTGGACGTCCTTTGCGCGGCATCTTGGTTTACGGGACCTGAAGCCACATTGATGGCACCTTACCTTAACATGGATGGTGAAAATCGAGAGACATGCGAAGATTGTCAAACTAGTTCCCCCCTAAAGCAAACGGGGGAACTAGTTTCAGGAGGACAGTGAGCAGAGAACGCAAGCAGAACCGGCGTCCGGCCAGTCCGACCGACGTCGCCAGGTCCCTCGGTCCCATGAGGCTCACCTCAAGGCGGGATTGCGATCGAGTTGGGGAACATGGCTTTAACATGTTCCATTTGGTTAAAAATATGTTGTTATTTTCCCCTGTTGGTTTTAAAGGGAATCTATCACTACTGGAAATATGTTTCCAGGGGACTTAAGCAAATGGAGGACATGGAATTGGTGGAGAGGGAACAAATAAACCTGAAATATGATTCAATTGTACAATAAGGTGACCCCTGTTTTTTCCTAGTTTTAGTTCCATTTCCCCTTGAGCAGAGAAACAGTGTGGGAAGACTGTTGGCAAGGTTTCACTTACAGGTATTCTTCAAACGCTCATCAAGCATTTGAGGTGTTGTTGTTCTTTTCGGATGCCCGGATCACTCCCTCTGAATAGTACTGTGGATGGTTCTACAATGCATTTCGCACCACCCTTCGGAGAAGCCCTGGTTTCTGCTTCGATTCCCAACAAAATTTAAATACCGAGCAAACGTTTTGCAATCCCTACTGTGGATGGACGAAATCCTGCACCACTTTGAAACCATGCGAACCCCATTGTTTGTTGGTATTTACAGGGGGAATCCGCATTCCAGGCTTTCTTTGGTGGTGCGAAATGGATTTCGTCCATCCACAGTATGATCTCCCTGTAAGTACCACAGGAAGGATTGTTGTATTCCTCGGGTGACTCGTTAGTCGCGTGGCGCGAGATTCGGATGATTCGCATCCACATGACTGAGGCCTGGCGTCAGCTGGGCGACAAGGCGGCGCCCTTGCTCCAGGTGGGGAAGGGATGGGGTGGTCTGTTTTTTGTTCTGGGGAGGGGAGGGGGGCAGGGGGAGAGGGGTGGAGAGGGGAACGGGGGGGGGGGGGGGGCGGGGGGCAAGTTGTTTGTTTGTTGTGTTTTCTTGGTGGGGATAGGAGATGTGTGTGTGTGTGTTTTGCTTTCTGGCTTTCCTCGAAAAACATCCTCCACCTCTTTGGCTCCCAGTAAAAAATACTCTACACAAGGAGGTTACATAGCTTATAATATTTCATTTGAGTGATTTAGAGGGTCATGGAAATCATAGAGCACGTCAGAAGGAGAGGCGCTGGGGTTCCTGACCCGGACCCAAGCCATTCCTTGAGGATTCCACAAAGCGAGCCACACCCAAACCCACGGCCCCCATTAAGTTCTTGGTAAGATAGTGAAGAACCTCAGATTCCTTCCCCCCGCCTCGCGGCGAGTATTTGTTTGTTTCGCCCTTCGGATATGGCCGATCAATGTGCGCCCGCGGCTGCGTCTCAGTTGCCATCGTCACGCTGGCTCCTCTTTTTTCAGAACATGCCCGGTTGTGCTGAGCGTTTCCTGAGGTTTCCCTGCGCCACTGGGGGGACGCCCCAAGTCTTTGGACACCCGTGGTGGGCGTCCAGTCACGCAGCACCTTGACATAGGACACCGAAAGAACTTGGGTGCCTGTCATTTGTTGCTTTCCATTTGGCTTCGACTTGGCGAACATCCAAATCCAAAGGGGGAGCCCTTTTGTAGGACACCGACATACCCAAATCAGGCTGAAACCCCCATGAACCGGCAAACCTGGGGAGCAAATTTTATGTGCGCTGTGGCATAGGCCGCCCCATTCCTGCACAAGCCGCTGGACATGGCCAAGGCAAGTGACACGACATGCGTTTGATTCCAGCTCTCAACAGGTTGGGATGTTCGTACAAAATGAGGATTTTTAACTCAACTAATTACAGGGCGCCAAACCCCTTGTAAGGTGTCTTTCAAAGAACCCTGTCATTTCTGATGTGGGCTAAAGCACATCTCAAGGTGCCTTTGACTTCCAAATCCAGCCTCTCAAGTTGTTTCTTGGGGAGTGGAAGACTGCAAGAAACAGGGCACCGACAAAAGATGCGGGTTGTAGTTCCCAGAGCGAGTTTAGTAGCAGATTCCCTACTTTGGCATTGCCATTCGAGTGCGGCTTGGAAACTACAGTAAGAACCGCGCGTGGATGATGGAACTTACTAGTAGCGAATCTAAGATGGTTTCCACATTCACTCCCATTTGTCACATATCCACTAGAGTGGCAGGGATCATCGCACCAGAGATCTCAGGTCAGTCATAGAAGTGGCTCTGACGCGCGATATCCTTCTTGCCGAAGCCGAGTCCCCTTTGAAGCCAATCCAACTTGACTTCCCCTGAGGCGATGTTTCTTGCATTGCACACACAAGGATTCCTGGAGTGGAAGTCCCAACCCCAGGCCTGGTTCCAGCCGCAGCAGTGATGCCATTTTCCCGCAGACATTCCCTTACGCGCGGGTGTGATGGGCTGAAACGGCCGGGGAAGCAGCGGATACGTTTCTGAAACAGAAGCTGCTCATGTTTTTTTGACCATTTCGGTGCTTCGCAGGCGAAGCAAAGGTCAAAAGGTCCTAACGCCGCTTGTTTCACGCAAGGAGCTTGAGCCTGCAGCTAGGATGATTGGCTCTGGCTGTGCACAGAGGAAATCCGAGCTCCAGCCTGGGTTCGGAAAGCCATGAAAATACAGGGTGTCCTCCTTCCCGTTTGCTGAAGATGTTTTCATGCCTGGTGTTCAAGGGAAATGGTGGCAGGTACAGGTTGCATGCTAGTGCTTAGGCAACTGAAGATGTTCTCGATGCTACAATTGCAAGAGACATGGCCTCGACTTCCAGGATCTATCCATTTGGGATTCAAGGGCAAAGCAGCCCGTTTTGACGAGGCGGGCTCCGGCCAGATTGGCTGCCTCCCGGGCTATGCCATTCTGCCCCCGCAATTCGATTCGGCCGCTTGTCGTCACAGGAATCAAGAGACCGCGGTGAATGAAGCCGCTATGCAACAGCGCGCTGCATCGAAATGGAGCTTTGACCGCGGCTGGTAGCAGATGTGCATGTAGGCATGCATCTTTTGCTGGGTGACGTTCCGTTTCAGCAGTCTCTCAGTGCTCCCTGCGTTTGCTCGGGATATATTTTCGCCTTTCGCGCCAATCTGAGGTGAGTTTCTTTGATGTTGGAAGGGGGGGACACAGACATGCATGCCAGCACCGCCGGGCTTGGCTCTCGGCAGCTATAGTAATTGACCCGCGAAGAGTGACACGGGAAACAGAAATGCGACCAGCTACTCTGTACACCTCACTTTTGCTCAGCTCATCCTGATGTCTGGCACCTAAATGTTGCCCCTGCATCTAGATCCTAATTGCTCTTGGGGTGAAACAGCTTGCAATTGTGAGGCATTGCGAGGGCAGGTGGACTAAGCAAAGCAAGAACAAATCAACCGGCCTGCGAATCGATAGCTCGGCTGGGATTGGCGCGAATTTGCGCGGCGACGAGGATCGGGGTCGGGGTCTGGGCGGACCTGGTCCTGAGGTTTGCGGACCCAACTGGTGGATTTGCACGAATTTGTGCATTTGGCTGCATGGGGAACATCAGTTCCTTTGGTCAGCTGATAGCCGGAGATCATCGGACCCCTTACCACGGCTCATACTGTGGATGGAGGAAAATCCTGCACCAATTTGAAACCATGGTTGAAACCATTGTTTGGTATCCATGGGAAACCATTGTTTGTTTTGTACAGGGGAAATCATCATAGGTGTTTTTTTCACGGTGGTGCGAGACTTGCATCCGGTGTCTTGACCAGCGCTCCCATGTGCCTGACTTGCGTTTGGTAAGGCCCAGGTGGTCAGAGCTTAGCCCAGATGGGACAGATGCACAGACAGTGGCCGCTAAGAATCCCAACTGCGCGAAATAGAACAGGATTTCTTCATGTGGCTGTGGGTCAAAACCAATGTTACCATTTTCGGGTAGGTGCACCACCCATTTTAGTCTACTTTAGTGGGGATTGGGATGTTCACTGGGGGTACGGGCTTTTGACCCAGGGCCATATGACAGCCAGACGCATAACATGGTGGGGCCCCGTGGAACCATGAGCCCTTTTGCTTTATTCTTATTTGCGAGTTTTGTGTTTCGAATGATCACAGCCCCTTGCTATCTTCCAAGGTGTCCGCAAGGTTAACCTCAAGTTTGACTCACAGTTTGAGCAAATCGCGTTGCCCCCCTTCAACCTCAACAGCGCGGAAGCCCGCCCACCCCTGAAACATTGAGCAACCAAAAGCACGCGGCATCGGGGCGATATCTGCCCCCGGTGGGGTTTCTCTTCGAAGACTTTGCGGACGAGTTTCCATGAGCCATGAAGTGGTCATGCGATGGCAGCGGCAGAAGTTCTGCTTCCGCGGACAGGGTTTTGAGGCTGCGGAAAGGGGGAAGGGGTGGGCCACTGGGTCGGGGGAGGGCACTTCACTGTTGTTTGGTTGGATCTTTAGACTTTAACTTTTCGGGAAACAACAATGCAGAGGGGTTAACAGCAACCAAGTTGTTGGCATGTTCTTCGGCTTTTAGGTGTCCTCCTTTTGTTCATTTTGACTAGGGGGGACAAAAGACATACTTTGTTTTTAATATACTGTGGATGGACGAAATCCTGCACCACTTTGAAACCATGAAAAACCATTGTTTGGTGGCATTTACAGGCGGCTCATTATTGCAGTCCATCAGTACCAAGGGCAGGAAGAGCGAATGGCGGCATTCTTGTTGCATCGCCTCGCGGGCTCTATAGGTCCGATCCTTTGCCGGTGAGGCTCCGCAAGTGAGCGGCAACTGACCAATGATCTGAGCCATCACCGTATCTCCCTGCCTCAGTTCCTGGACTTTAGACTTTTGGGGAAATTCATTTTCGCGGTAAAGAAAGAGTTCAGACTTTTTTGGGCCATCCACTCAGGAGGTGAGGCATTCTTTAGTGATACTGTGATTTTTGTTGTTGACCCTCAAGTTAAATGAGCCCAGATTTATACGGATGCAGTTCGCAAGGCTCCTTTTGCTTAGTTGGTCCAAGGCCAGTCTTTCAACCTTCTGTTGTGTTTCCCGACTAAAGCTACGGTCGTGATGCGAAGAAGTGATCATTTGATTTCTGGGCCTGTGGACGGCTGAAGCCCAGCACTTGTGCATAGGTTTCTCACTCAAGTAGTGGCTAGATCTGAAAGGGGCTTGAACTTTCCATTCGCCACCCAACACAAAGCGTGTGTAGCCTGTGCTGCCCATTTTGAACGAGAATACTGGAAGGTTGCTCCGAGAAATGGTTGGCCATGTGACGCCATGTGCCTTTCTTCCTCCATTTGCTTAAGAATATGTGTTATGTTCCCTTGTTGCTTTAAAAGGAATTCATCACTGCTGGAATTATTTTATTTTTGCCTGGGGCCTTAACCAAATGGAAGTGTTGAAGGCACCCTCCATGGAAGTGCCATGAAACCTTTCCACGTAAGTCGCCACGCTTCTGGGACCTCAGCGGCGTTTTTCTCATCTTCCGGTCCTTTGGGAACCGAAGGGAGACCGAAGAAAGGGAGATCAGGAGCCAACCAAAATTCATGGCCCAAGACGACAGTGGAATCTGATTGAATGTATCGGGATTAACTTAGCGAGTGGAGCCACCCTCACGTGGGGATAATAGCCGGGGGGATCCCGACCGCTCGATTGCCCAAAGCCAGCCCTGACGAAATGCGTAAGCTTTCTTGAGCTCCAGTGTTGATTCAAAATTATGTGTTGGCAGGCAGAGCAGAGGGAATCCCTTCGAAATGGGTGGTTTCCTTGTGGTTGCCTCTAAAACAGCACCCTGCCCCCCTCAGAAAGTGTAATCTCAGAAACGACACCCGTTTGGAAGCCGACCTGAGCCCAACAATGGCCTCCCCCTTTTGGTACCCGTGTTTCGTCAGGGTTCCGCGCCTTCATTCGGATCTCCGACCCAGACATATGCCCTTTAAACGTCACCCCGTTTGGAGGAGACTGACCTAGGTCAGTTTGTTCGGCCCATTCGGATCGATGTTTGTGTTTCAAGGCGATCCAGTGAACCCTTCCAGAGTTTCCCACAATTACAGCTGGATGTGTTTGCGGGGTTCCACGTAGTTCCCTAGTTTCCTTCCAGCGTACTCTGGTGGTGAGTCGCGTGGCTCAACTCAAAAAAACCTCTGCTCGGATAGCTCCCCTCACATCTCCCCACAGGTGGAGCACTTCGATGTGGCGGAGGCGGAGTCCTCATCCTCGGGGGAGGACGAGGAGTGGGGGCCCCGGATGCTGCCGGATGGCCCCCCCCCCGAAAAGGCAAATCCATGCCGCCACTGGTGACTGAGGCTTTCTAATAGGTTTGGGACAATTTTTCCCCGGAAACCCATACTGGTAATGTTGCGGGTCCAACGAAACGAGGGTTCTCATTGATGCCCTCTTGCTTTCAAATCGCTTTCTCTTTAAAGAAAGTCGAGGACCCCCGAACTAGTGCTTTTTTGTGGTTTGGTTTCCCTTTAGAACCGCTCCCACATTTTGGGGGGTTCCCGAAAAAAACGACACACCCAAATGGCCATGAGTTTCGACAGGGAGGCCCTTTTGAAGTGTGTGGATATATGATTTCCCTCCAAAATTATGTCCCCCAAGTCCCTTAAGAGAATCCTGGAGTCTCCATGACCCTTTCAACATGTGTCCATGACGTCCCATGATTTTGGGTAATGACCAATCAAAAAAGGGTCAGCAGATTCACACGCTTCTAGGGATACCTTGCCTTCCCCATTCAATCCAGGGATCCTTCTTTCTACAAAACCTCCGGAAACCCAGGGAAAATGGTTGGTTTTTGGAAAATGGTTTTGGAGTTGAACGATGGTTGAAAAGAATGGGGAGTCAACCCCGGGAACGGTCAACCCCTGTCGACACTCCGACTCCACCTCTCTCGATTCGAGGGCTGTGCGGGCGCGGCGCCTGCGCCGAGACCGGGAGGCACGGCTGCAGCGCTGCGAGACGGAGCTGGGCGCATGCCTCTGGACCGGAGCTGCGAAATCGAATCCGACGCCGGAGCTTTAGGAGTTCTGGGACACATCCATCTGCGTGTTTCAGCCCCTTCATGCAGAAACCCTATATTTCCAGTAATTAGAGGTTTCAACTAAAAAACAAACCAAGGGAAATCCCAGGTTCCATCCCTTAAATAGAGGAAACAGAGGAAAGTCCGAGGTTCCAAGCTTCTAGAAGCAACCCATCCTGGGGGACGTCACCAAATCAGGTCATAGGAAAATCACGTCAAGGATTTAGCCTCATGGCTGAAATATCACTGAAACAACTGTATGTGAGAGGGAAATTACCATCAAAGAAAGTCCCCCCTCCCCCCTCCAAGAAAACCCTGGGTCTGAACAACTAGCCACCAACATGCGACGAAACAAAATCTTCCCATGTCGTACTGTGCTATGGCTCGTCGGAAAAGTAAGGTTGGTGGTCGTCCGAGTGAACGAGGGTTCTTCAAGCTTCTTTCAAGGGCTTTACCAGTCGGGACGTTTAAGATTTACCCGAGGGAAGTTGCCTGAATTATGTGCCCAGTAAATACTTGAATTTCCATGGAAGAGTCTCCCTTTTCAGGGACTGTCGTGATTTACAGTTGGGTGAATGTAGACGGCGCAATTCCATATGGTCTCCGTGCCATTTGCCAGTTTCGGTTTGCTCCGTTACCCACGCGGCGCGGAATTACGCCATTTGCTTTGCAGCGGTCCTTTCTGGACAAATCCAAGCGGTGAAGCCTTGCACATGGGAACTTGGCTTTTCGGGTTAGACAGTTGCGGAGCCCCTAAGATGGTCGGTTTCCGTTTGGTTTCCCCAGGTACCTCAAAGCTCATTTCACTCCCATAGTTTGCATTGTAGGAGCAACGGACGACATTGACAGGTGTGGGAAGGACATCGGGGGGGGCTTGCAAAGAGGGACGGCTCCATTTATCGCGTCCTTTTGTGAAAAGAACACAACATTGTCCCGGCCTCATATCAACAGGGCTGTTTTTCAAAGGTGCAAAGATGGCATGGAAGTTAGCTACGTGGATAGTGACCCCCCAGCAAACCCCGGGTTCGCCCTCCCCTTCCTCCCATCCCCGCGCGAGGATCGACACGAACCGCGCGGCGCTGCAAGTGCTGGAGGACCGCGGCAGCTACCGGGGCCTCCGCGTGCTGGAGTTGGGCGCTGGCGCAGGACGGGTGATGTGCTGCCAAGATATGGGTTTGAGTAGCCATAGAATACACAATATGGAGCACCCCAACCCGGACTGTGATGCACTTAGCAAGTACTCGTATCCTGTTTGAGGACCTTCCGATTGCCTTAAGTCTGCCCTATCAAAACAAACATGGACATGTACATGACACTTTTGGAAGACTATTTTCCTTTTGGGAAACCGGCCTGTGTACTTCCATGTTGGTAAGCGGGTGCCCGTTTGAAACCAGGCTTTGAGCCTAATGTCTGAATGGAATATGGAGATGGGTTTCTTTGTTTTACCTTTAAAGCAACCCCAAACTAAGCTCAACACACGACAACTCAATTGAAGCGGGCTTTCGCTGGGTTTTACAGAACTCGGTATGCCTGGAAAATTCCAGTTTTATTAGAAGGGAATCCAAAAAGAAGCCACCCTTTCTTGTGGGTGCCCTATTCCCAGCAAGGTGTTTGAAGGAAGCGGACAACCAAAAGCACACCAACCATTTCTAAGGGTGCATATCGGTGGAAGGGAAACCAAAGGGAAGCCTTTAAATTTGTCTGTTTGCGATTTTGAGACGAGGCCATTTACAATCTCCAATCGGGGACTCCCAACAAAACCAATAGTTTTCTCATGGCTTTGCTTTCAATCCCAAACAAGGCAAACAACAGGCCCTCCTCTCAGAAACAGAGAACCAAAATCCTGCGCCACTTTGAAACCACGGCTGAAGCATAACGTTGGTTGGTACTTATAATGAAATCGAATCATTGCAGGGTTTCTCCTCGGTGCGAGAAGCGGAGTTCAGGTGGCTGTGGCTCAACAAGTGCCCCAAATGGCCCCTTAACTGGAAACAAAGACCAACGCCTGCGTAACCCCGACTCTTTAATTCTGAGCCACAGGTGGCCCCGACCTTCAAGCAACCCCTGGGCATGGCATTGCACCCGAGGCGCCTGCGGCATCGCGACGGCGCTGGATGGCGCAGATGCGACGGCGTGGGGGTTCCGGGAGTGGGGCTGGAAGGAAGCCCGATGTTTTTGTTTTGTTTTTTGTGGGTAGGTTGGAAGGTTGGAGGGTTACGGGAGTGGGATGTTTTTGTTGTTTTTTCCCCTCGGCGTGTTGAGTCCCAATGGATGCTGCCACTGCTTGCACTGAAGTAGGCCCACAGGCCTGGTTGACAGTCGGGCCCCTCGGGCACCCTAAATACAAGCGAACCACATCCCACCACAAAACTCTTGCAATATTTGCATCCACCATAGCTACCTTGTCAGGAGGTAATTGTTTTGACGCCAATCAAAGCCTGCCACAAATGGGATTGTATCCACAGGCATCATTGCATGTTCATCGCAATTTTCAGAGGGTTCCCGGTCTAATGGCACAATGTTTGGGCGGAAACAGCGGCCCCCTGTACCACCATGAAGCTTTCCAAGCAATCCAGCAATCTCACGTGTAGAACAAGCTCACCAATACCCAATCCCGTCATTTAGCCTGAATTCTACCGCCCTCCCGCTTTTTTGTTTCCCATGTGATTGGGGAGTGCTGGATATAGCAAGCTTCGAGCAGAATCAAGCGCAAATTCTGGTGAGGTGTCTGATGTGGACGCGCTGCTGCCACTGCTGCAGCGAAATCTCGAGCTCAACCAGCCGCTTGGCTTGAAGGAGCTCGGGAAGTCAGCCACTTTGTGTCTCAAAATTCAGCAGATGACCTAACGCCCGAACTTGACATGGAAACTATTCATGATGAGAAGCGTGTTTTGCCCCCCACCTGTTTGTTCACCATACATTGAGCAGGTTCCCTTTTTCCATATGCATGATACCTTTGTGAATGTGGAAGACACCAAAGCGTGGATATCAGGGTGTTGAACATGTGCACGTTATATGTGTGATGGTACCTGCCTTGCCATGCATCTATGGGGTGCGTGCGTGTGTTGCGCATGGTAAGGGCTCATGGATCTTGAATGCAAGAATTTACAGGGTCTTAGCTTCTTGGCTACCCCAACATGTTTTAATGCTTTGCCCCGATTTGCTAGTCAGCAACGCAGTGTTTTGCGTCGCCCTTTCCGAGGAAGCACCAAGCGTTGTCTAGATTCAAAGATTGACAAGACGGCACTTCCAAACAAAACCATCTAAGCCTTGTTTCGTTCTGCACCGAGGGAGCTTTGCACAGACACACATGGTGTGTCCTTGCATCCATCGGGGTTGGATATGTATAAATAAACATATGTATAACGCATGTAGACATTACATCTCCGCCATCCATGTGGGCAATGTTTGTGTGCTGAGGATCAAAGCTCGGATGGCAATCCCAAAACCCTCTCAGTGTATGTGTGAAAATGGGGGCAACCCACCCAAACTGGTTGCTGTTCGGTTGTTTTGTCATTTAAACCAAACCTAAAAAGGGCACCATATTTGTACAGCTGTGTGTCAGAGGCCATGGACCCCAACACCATGATGCTCTTGGGAATCTATCATTTCGGGGTTTGGATTCGTTGTAGCAATTGCAGATGTTTGAACGGCACCGGTTGAAGCATGGTTGCCCCAGACCTCACCTTTGGCGGCCAGCCCCTGGTCGTAAGGGTCGTCCACCGGTCAACCGCAGGCTGCGGCCAGAGGCGGGGGGGGTGGTCAATCCCACAAGGTCTGAAGCAAGACTGGTGCATGATTTTTTATTTGCCATATTCAGGAGTTGGCAGAAACATGGCACTAGCAAAAAGATGCATATAAGCAATCATTTGATTTTGCATCCATGTGGGGCGCATAGGTGATACAACCCTGCCTGCGAGCCAAAACATGGCACGTGACATGTGTCGCGTTTGAGGCACTTCATCCATGTCGAACTTACCTTCAAACCCAAACATGGCTTTGCTCCTGCAAAACCTTGTACTGCCAGGAATCCATTTGCATGAGCTATGTATACCGCGAGCTAAACAAGACATTCTTTCCAATCAAATGAAGGCAGCCCAGCCCCTGCCAACACGATAAGATGGCCGGGCCCGGAAAGGCCAAGTTAGGCAGACCCCCCCCAAATATGTGCCATGTTACACACTAGGGCAAAGGCATTGGGCACACGTGTGCAAGGAAGTCCGTCGCCTGGGGCAACCGCTGGAAGATAATCCGGAGCAAACAAGCGCAACATGATGAGCAATGCAATTATTTAGGCGATAGATGGAACATCCAAACTGTGCAATATTGACCTCCTAAAGACAAGAATGTTACCCTCTTTTCTTGTGCCCGCCCCTTACCAAAGCAGTCGAGGGATGAGGTGCACCTTTGCGGTTGTTGACAAATGGAACTGGGAGACCCCCAGCCCCTGCAGAGGCGTGTGGTCAGTTGTATCCCAGTTTGCCCCTCCCTAGTTCTTTGAGGCCTTTCGGGGTTAAATGCCCTTGTATTTAGGGTCTTGGCTTCCCAGTTTGCCTCAAAATGATGACGCCCAGATTGACGCTTCCAACCCCCGTCTAAATCGCTTCTTGCCATTGGCACGCCCGGCAGTCCCCGGCAGGCAGGAGATGAGGCACCGGATGCCCGGCGGAAGAAGCCCAACACTTCCAGGCAAGCCACTGGTGGCCAACCAGGCCTCAACCAAAACTCCAACGATATTGCAACCCAAAGTTATAGAATTGGTGAAATCCGTGGTTATGGGTGCCTGGAGTCTCGGTGACCCTCTTTAAGAATGGGGCCATGACCCCGTTGGTTTGGGTCATCACCCCATTTGTGTAAGGGTCATGGAGATTCCAGGTAGTTTTTGAGGGTGAAGGCAAAGGCAGGTATGTTCGGGTTTTGCATGGCTTCGCCTTATGGTGGCTTGTCTGGAAGCACTGGGGTTGCAGAAAGTTAGGTTGGCCATTTTCTTTCAGCTAAGGAAGAGGCGAGAGAAGAGGAGGAGGCAAAAAGCAGGGCTTTCCCAGCTGCCGGGATTTTGGGGAAGTCATTCTGGTGGAGCGAAAGAAGCAGTTTAGGCTTTTTGTTGGCTATTGTAGGGAGTGAGTGGAATCAGAGTTGTTGTGCTTTCGATCACTCCTTTTGGTTTGAGCTTTTGAGGAGGGAGTTTGAGCGCTATAGTCGGCAACCTCCAAAGAAACTGCCAGAACTGAAACATTCTCTTTCGGAACATGCCCGACTGCCAGTCTATTGCAAGGTTGAGCGGACACTACACCCCTTAAACACCCTCCAATCGGTACGACACCCTAGTTTTGTTTCACTTCGAACGGAATAATTCATATCCGTTTTCTCGGATAGTGGCTTGGGGGTAGTGGACACCGTCAAGTGGGGTGTTTTGGCCCTGTCAGGCCACAGCAAAAACGAAGGCCAAGATGAGGAGGGCCAAGGCAGAGAAGGCGGCGGAGAAGGCGGCAGAGCGCTTGGTGGGTCATGAGGTGCTGGTTCAGCAGAAGGTCAACGGGCGGGGAAAGGTGCGGGCCTTCTATTTGTATAGCCCAGTAGTGTCAACAAAGCATGTGATGGTTTTGATTCGTCAGAGTGCTTTGCAATAGAATAGAAGTGCTTGACACAAGACGCAAACGGGATTTTACCAGAAAGTTGTGGTAGAATGCACAGAGGAGCCTCTTGACGCCTGCTCTAAAGGAGGAGTCAGTGTCACCCCGGCAGGAGCCTACTGAGAGCACTGCAAAGGGTCGGCGGAGGCGAAATGCACCCAGCCCCAGGCCTGGCATCGCATGGTCAGTTGCAAATCTGGCAACACGGTAAACTGAAGGTAATTATGGTGGGGACGCGGACGCTCGACTGGTTGGGGTACATGAGGTAGACAAATTGTGGTGGATTTCCACAAACCCCAGGCAGATTGATCGTCATGTTGATTGCGGTGAGCCCTTGTTTCCCTCCTTGCAATGGCATCCACTGTACCTGGCGCCCGGAAAACAGCAACTTGCATTTCCAGGTTGCCGTTCGCCCAACCGATGCCCGAACAGCACCTGCTTCTGGCAACGCATCAAGCTGGTTCCACCATTTGATCAAACCCCCCCTTTGAAATGGAGAGTTCGCGCGGCAGCTTTCAGTGGTAGTGTGGCGTTCCCACAAAACGCACCCCCTCCGAAAGTGTAACTTAGTCAACGAATGGGGCTGAGACAAGAGGGTCCTTGACGATTTGTTTCGATGCCCCCTATCAAAACGGGATCCAACGGGGTGTTTTGAAACTTGAATGTTGGAGAGAGCCAGTCCTTTTCTCGCAAGGCCGTTTTGGCATCGCTGCTTGGTCCGTCTGGCGTGTCGCAAAACCCACCCGCCGAGCTGGGAACTCCCCAGGAAGAAGGGGAGCTGCCAGGCGGGTGCGCTTGTTGCGGGCGGTGTCGTGGCCGATTTTCCACAGCGGTGGGGCGTTTCTCACTCCAATGCTCGAGTTTGTGCCTAAAGTCGGCAGCTGAATCGAAGGCTTCGCGATTTGGAAGGCGAATCCGGCCAGGCTGTAGCCATTGAGTGGGAGAAGGAAGCCCTACACCCCACTCTGCCAGAGAAGGCCTTCGACCTCATCGCCACTTGTCCGAAGCGGCTTCGGCCCGATGAAGTCCCTTGGATATGTACATGTTAGTTTGATGCTATTTGGGGGTTGTTTACGGACTTCCTTTCGGCATGCTTGGTACAATTCCATGCCCAAACAGTTTACTTGTATTCTCTTGTATTGCAGACTACATCATCTTTATCCCGAAGCAAATGAGAGCGACCTCAGAAAGGGTCAGGGTTTGCGACCAACCTTGGGGCGTCCCTTTCTTCAGGTTGGTGCACGTATGGTTGTGGAAAGAGTTGTTTCGGGTCGCCACGTTCTTTGATCTTAGGTCATCCCCTTTGAAGTGATATTCAGATGTATTGGATGGGAACTAATTATTCAGTTTCACAGTCACTTTCGACATGCTGGACGTGGAAACAGAACAACTCCGCTCTGGGAAACGAACATTTAAGCCACCTGAAACTGTAGTTGTCCTTTGGGAGCTACACCAAACTTGCCCTAAAGGAGCAGCGGTTCTTTCCTGAACCAAGAGAAGGTCTTCAAGCTGAGACTTGTCGCCACAGCTTGCCGTTCTTTGTCAGATGCTTGGTCAAAGTGTAAAACCAAACCTTGAGTTTCTGGTCAACTGACAGGGACTTGTAAGGCCTCGCCACATTTCCAACACAAATCAGGGGAGTCTTCCGCTGGCGGCTTGAGGTGGTCTGCGATTGCCTATACGAGAACCGGGACAGCTCCCTGGCTCCGAGCCGCGGAGGTCGTAGGAAGGGCTCGAGCCAACGTCACCAGCCATGTGCTCTACTGCTATTGGGTTGGATCTTTAGACTTTAACTTTTTGGATACCCCTCATATGTCCTTGTAACCAGCAAAAAGCCAAACTTGTTGCTGGGGGATCTACAGCACCCAAGTGTGGAGGAAAATTGTCTTCCATATCGAGTTGGTTGTCCTGCTCCACTTTGCTGCTGACGAAAGGGTCCTGGTTTGTCCTGGTTTGCTTGCCATTTTCCGTCGACAGGTACTGGGTTACATGGCAAAGTGGACAAGAAGCTATGTCTTGCGCTTTGTCATTGTGTTTGTGTTGGTGTATTCCAACTCTCCTCCGGTTCCCCTAATGACCTTCCGAAGTTTGTAAACAAAAAAAACTAAGGCCTTATCAAAGCCTCAATTGGAGAAAGCCAGGAGCGGAGGCTAGGGGAGTGTTTGTTTGCATCCTAGGTGTTTGAAGAACCAAAAGGGAGCCGCCCGTTTGGAGAGGTGTGCCAGTGTCCCTCCAAGTAGCAAATCCATGTTTGAGGGTCCCCAGGCGACCTACATATTTGAAGGCATTGTTCAGCAACGAACAAGGGAACACAAAAAAACTCTCCAAGGAGTGACTGGGGGCCCGTGCTGTCGCCACCGGTTGATTTTGGCAGGGCCTTGGTGGGGCAGCTGCTGTGCTAGCATTGGCAACCCCCTATCGGTTGAGCCAACCTTTCTTCGGATACGTTCAGTCACAGGATATAGCACAACCACTATAAGTCACTATAGCGACTATGTCACTATATACACACCCCAAACAATCTTGCTGGTTCTCTGTAGAGAAAAAACCGAGATTTGGGAATGCAGCGGAAGGGTTTAAACTACAGGGATAAGCAATCGGACTTTTTTCAGCTGCGTCTCTGAACGTAGCACCTTTCTGCGGTGGCTTCTTTTAATATCATAAGTGGGATCTCCTATTTTGAGACAGCGCCACGTGACCCTTTTCCATGAGTTGTCATTTGTTTCTTTATTTAAAACAAGAAAAAAGAAAAGCAAATCGGAGGAGCCCTTAGTTGCTTTTCTACACTCCCCACTCGCCTCCATTCAGCGTCCCAATCACTCAGCTGGCTCCCCTCACCTGACCCCCTCCCCCCAGTTTCCCCCAAATAAGGCCCTCTTGTAGTACGGGCTGAAAAAGACCTTATTTGGAGGAACCCGGAGAGGGTTATAGGCGATTCCATGACTCGTGATCTCGCCTTTCCAAAACCGAACACCTGCTTCCCGTGGAACGAGAGGGCCAAAGCATTTGGCAGCTGAAGGGAAAAAACCCTTCACAACCGTCTCAGAGGGTCCAAGTCCCTTTGAGCATGTGTTTTGCCATGTCAACATGAATTCCCTTTTTGGTGACGCTTTGTCTCGCGTGTTTGAAGTTGGATCCCATCCATATTCGGGTTTCATGTCCCATTTTGCGGTTTATCCTGCCATATCCTACCCACAAACACCAGCCACCAAAAGGGAGCTCACTTCAAGCTCACAACCTAAGTGACCGTTTAAATCCACCAAAGGGGGACGTAGGCAGCCCTGATGGTGTTCTTGTTGTTTTTTCCAAAGTAGAAACACGACAAGTCACCCACTCCCAGCGCCGGTCCTTCCCGAGGCTGGGCAGCCCTTCAGGCTGGGTTTGTTCCACAAGTTTTGGGCGAAACACAACAGACACCCCTGGAAACGGAACCCCTTTGGGGTTGGAAGGGATCGGAGGTCGACAACCTCCAGGTTTGGGACAATGGATGGGAAAGCCAAAGGGAGGTTGTTCAATCAACACCTCAACCCTCAACAAAATGCCCTCGACCCATACAGCCCCCTGCCAGGCGCTGCTGGCGCGTCTCCTCGTCCCCGCGGAGAGCGGCGCGGCGAGCTCCGTGGTGTTGGCGTCGGCGGAGCTGCGGCGGCCGTTTCTGGAGGCGGGATCCCTTGACCTGTAGGGTGCATTTTGCCAAGGGATGTTAGGACTTCAACTTTTTGCCAACCAATGGGGTTTCCATTGAACCACTAAAAGTTTAACCTTTTAGCAGGGGAGCAGAAAGCAACCGAGTGTATACCTGGTAACCAAGGGAACCACCCTCCACGACCAAACAGACAATTGTTGGTTGCCTACTATAGTGGTAACTGGGATACTGGGAAGGGTAGAAAAACCGTTTTGGCTCCCATCGTAGAGCCTACTGTGGATGGTCGAAGTCATGAAAACCACTTTGAAACCGTGCTTGACACCATAACGATGCCATAAGGTTTGTTGGTATTTAAGGGTAATCAAAGATTCCAGATTTCTTTGGTGGTGCATGATTTCGTCCATCAGTCCATCAGCGCGAAACCATGCAACAGGAGGTTTTTCAGCAACGCGGGTTTGCTTGGGCGAAATTTGTTGCCTCACCATGGGGGGTCGGAGTTTTTATGGTTTGAGCATGTTGCTTTGCGTCCCCTTTCCGGATGTTCCCTGTTGAACATGCCGTTGATTCCCTGCCAGGCCTTTGTAGCGCAGCTGCTGGAGGCAAGAATTGGAATCGCCGAACGGTGGGTCGAATTGAGTCCTCGGGTGGGGTTCCAACATGGCTTCCCTCTGAAGTTTCCTGCTGTGGATGGTCCAATTCAACTCCATTTCGCACCGAGGAGAAACCCTGGAATGATGCGATACCCCTGTCAACAAACCCTATGGTTTGCAACCACTCTTTCATTCATGCATACGTGGAGACCCATGAAAGGCTCATTTTCGACATCGCCTTTTGGCCTTCTAGTCCAATGTAAGGCCCCGTGTTGGCTTTGGTTGGTTGGTCGGCCAGCTGGTCGATTGGTCGTTTGGTTAGCCAGTAGGGTTGCCATTTTGAAGCGTGGGTGAAGTTCATAGAGGCAACATCTGGAACCCTTTGCCAGCCGGGGGGGGGGGGGAAGGTACGATGGGTGCATCCTAAAATGGGGGGCGGCAGTGGGGCAAAGGCCTTTTGGTGCCCTTGAACCAAAAAGAATCATTAGACAAAGCCTGGGCAAATGGAGGATATTTATTGGGAAGCTTCGAGATTATTCTGAGGCGGATTCCTGCCAAGATTGGCAAACACTGGACTCACCCAGTTTGGCAGTTGCAAGAAGCATGACATTTGAGCGTTGGCACAGATGATTCACATGTCAACCCAGTTTGGCAGTTGCAAGAAGCATGACATTTGAGCGTTGGCACAGATGATTCACATGTCGATTGCGCAGTTGTCGCTTCATTAAAAAAAACTCTTGCTGTCCCCTACGCTTGGTTAACCACCTACCAACTGCTGGGTTTTGTCCATCCACAAAAACAGGAACGTCCTTGACCCGCGGCCCGTTTTTGGAGCAACATGAGACATTGCGGGTTGGCACCGAGCAAGAAAGGGCGAATCCGAGTGAAAGGGAGCCCACTGGGGTTGGTGGAATACATGTGAAGGGCGGTTTGTACACTATCAGGAGTCATTTGACACTTGTTCACCTAAATGATGTGCACCAGAGGTTCCCCCCTTCTCAGAGCGAACGCAGTTTTGTTGGACAACCTGATGTATACACCCCCCCGGGTGCCAGGCTGGCTTCACGCTTTTGACGCTTGCCTCAATGGTCGGTGAAGCATGCACCGACGGTGCAGCTTTCTCGTGCTGCAGGGGGTGTGGCGAAGCATCCCTTTGTGGTGTTCATCCAACTTAGCAAGTTACAATCTGGTTGTTTCTGGGGCAACTGGGGTGATTGTCCAGTTGTAATCATGGTTATAACCTACTTACCTGACGTGGGTAGTTGCGGTTTCCTTTAAGATCCTGGGGTTCATTGCCACGACTTGATTCCCATCGCTGAGGCGCCGTGAGGACGGGGGACGCTTGGGCGAGGTCTCTGTGGCGATCCTTTCGCGGTGAGCAGAAAATGGCTCGTGCGCGTTTCCTAAAGTGGGGACCCCGGTTTCGAAGGGCTCGAGGAAATCAAGAGGAAGACCATGGGTTGTTTTCCCTGTTTTAGGCATCCTCATATGGTTCAGAGACTTAGCACGAGCCACTAGAAATGTGAGAGGCCAGGGCTCTTTCATGGCTTCCTTTGCGCTCCTGATGAAGAGTTTAAAGCGTCTGTGACTCCAGTTTTTGCCCTTCAGGAATACAAGCGAACTGCAATAAACGCTGCGTGGGGGTCAGGGTCGACCTGGCCAGGATGGACGGCACTCCGGTGTGGGGACCTCATGGGAGCCCGAAGCCGTTGGAATCGGAGTCTTTGAGTCTGAAATTGGAATCGGAGCTATTGGACATCAGAACGTTGTTGGATCCCGATTTATGTCCAGGTGTGTTCCCCCATAAAATTGACAGCCATTGTGTGCAAGCTGGAACCGAAGGTTCATGTCCCAAGAGAAGGAAGGAGACGAGAAAGGGGGCCAACCCTATCAAGGCATCACGCACTGCGTGGGTGTTTTCTAACATTTGGGAGCTGCCTTGTTCGCAGCTTCAGCCATTTCGTGCACCCAGACCATGTTCCGCATAAACCAATCTGCGTGGTTTCCCTTACGCCAGGCAACAAAGAGGAGTCTCTGACACTCTATTCCACCCCGTGTTCTCCAGCCGCGAGTCTTGAGGTACCAGCCGGTTGGTGGGCCCGCGTCCAATGGCTTCACGCAGGTCTGGCCCGTGGGTGGCGGAGAGGGTGGCACACCACTTTCTTGAACATGATTGTTTGTTCTATTTTGGTCACTTAGACGTGTTTGTTTGCCTTTTTAGAGATGTTGTGATCGTTTTTGAGCAACAGCCTGCCAACCTAGTGTGCGGCCGAACCTTCGGGGGAGTCATGCCGCCATCTTCAAATATGCTTCTTCTTTTTTGGGCGGTGACCCATGAAACAAAAGAAGCAGGCACGGGGCAAGGCATGAGGGAAGGTATGGGCAGGTTTTGGAGCAGGGAGGACTTCCATAAACAGACATTTGCCCTCCCCGCTTTTGCTCTGTCCCCGCCTCTTTGCTGTTTGCCCAAATAAGTTATTACATTATACAGAATCTTCGTCGTGTTTATTGGGGATCTTGGAATGCGGACGCTTGACCCAGGTTTGTGGCACAGTCAGAAGACTGGTTAATTGCTTGAATTGCCCTGTCCATCAGCTTTCGGACAGGACGGACGTTTTGCTATTTTGGGGCCAGGGCTACTTGAACAGCAAGTTACTGTCTGAATCACATGCAAGGAAGAACATGCCTAAAATAGAGGCTAACACATGCTCTTCTGAGTCTCCACCTTCATTTCGAGAGTAACACTCCATGGGGAAAGGATGGCATTCGGCCTACATTTTCGCGCTGTTGAACACCTGAAAGGCGCCGTGATTTGTATTTTTGCGCGTGAAACCGCTGAAAACAGCGACCGCTTCAAGAGAGTCCCTTAAAAGATAAAAGGGAATTCACCAACCATACTTTTGAAGCAACCACTCAGGAAGTTTGAGGGTTCAGCAATTACATTTGAGCGACGCTCTAAAACCCCAGCACTTGAAAGTAGTATTCGGGAGGAAATATTGTTTTCAAAATGTTGACTTTTCCCAGGTCGCGGAAGCGCCGCGCAAGGTTCGCGGAAGGGGGTTCTCATTTATGTACTCGCGGAAGCTTTGCGGAAGGGCTACGATTCTATCACGGAAAAAAAAAAAATCCTTCACGCGCGGAAGCGAAAACAAACTTCAATCCCATTTCTCAATCCGCGGAAGCGACGCGGAAGCGATTCCCTCTTCAAACCTATTGCGGAAGGAACCTTTCATGCCGCGCAAGCTCCGCGGAAGCATTCGCGGAAGGGATTTGATATTTCTCTTCGGCCGCAACTGGGTTTAGATCACTGCTCATTTGGGCCAGTCAAAAACGACCTGTACCAGCTTAGAAGATCCCCTAGCCTAACCCTCAGCCCTTCAGGCGCAGTCTGCTCCCATCGGGGAGCATGGCGTTGACCTCGGTGCGGTTTTCGCCGGTTCTGGGATTTTTGTTTCAAGCGGGTAAAACGAGTGCTTGGGGATCCCTTTCAGGAATTGAGACAAAATGAAGGTCTAGCCTTGTTTTCTTAAGACCAAAAACTGTGGATGGACGAAATCCTGCACCACCCAGGAGAAGCCCTGGAATGATTCGATTCCCCCGTGAATACCAAGAAACGTTATGGTTTCCTCCACGGTTTCAACTTGGTATTCATGACTTCGTCCCTCCACAGTAGGCTCTTCCATGGGACCCAAAATGGTTGTCTACCCTTCCAAGTCGATCCCAGTCACCACTTTTGTAGGTAACCAACACTTTCCTTTTTGTTTTTAGAGGGTTATAGAGGTAAATGGATCCACTGGCCTGGTTTTCGTTTCCCCTGGTTTCAAAGTGGCGCGAACGGCCAAATGTTTGTCTACCCCTTTCTTGAGCAAGAAACCGACCAGCAGGCTCCAAGCGCGTACGGGTCCTTCCGAGGTCCGAATGAGGAGACGCTCGCGACTCCGGAGGCCGACCGATTTGGCTGTTGTTGGAGTGTCTCCGGCTTTGAGGCGTTACCCTTGTAAAGGGCTGGTTCATAAAAGTTGTTTTTTAGAGATTATAGGTTACAAAAGGTTGGTTCACAAGAAAACGGTTTGTACAAGTTTGATTTATAAAGGTTGGCTTAAAGGTTGGTTTGAGGGAACACCACCATGATTTTTAACACACATACATGCACATATTCGCTGGATCTCATTGGACACCGACGTGTGTGGCTTTTTCACGGGTCTCGGATCGTCGCGGACTGTTGTACTTCTGGATTTATGGAAACAAATCTGTTTGCACACTGACACGGGCGGCAAATTTACAGAGCAATGTTTGCACCTGGGAATGGCAGATGCTTTCCTTGACGTGGCCTTGTTCCAGCAGGGGTTCGTTATTTAATCGGCGTCTTGCCGATGGATGGGGCGGGATCGAGGCTGCGCAAGACTGCATCCCAGTGGAGGAGCAGGACATTGCCGCCTTGGAGCTCGCCGATTCGGGGGCAAACCAGCTGATGTGCTGCAAATTTTCATGGGGGTCCAATACTTCAGGTGAACTGTGGATCTTTTGGAGGCAATGTTTCAGATTGGGCCGGAATCACAGTAAGAATTGCGCAGATGAGGCAGCCTGTGCTGCAGCTTGTCGGCGACCGGCAGCAACGCCTCGTGAATCAGCGAGTTTCATCCAGGCGAAAGACTACAGCCACCGTAAATGGGAACAGAGGCTTCAAAAGGGCTCCTGTGAGCTTGCACCTTGGGGGGTAGCGTTGGTTTTTCGCAGAGAAGCGGCAATTGCCAGGAAATTACTTTGACAGTCCCGGCGATTGCACAGCCTGGAATGAAGCGAGCGCCTCAGAGACCGAAATCGGGGGGGGGGGGGGGCAACCAAGGACTGCGGAAGTTGCACAGTTGGGGAAAAAGCAGTCGCAGGGTCGCAGGGTGCTGGAATTTGAGGAGTAAGGAAGTCTTCTAGTCGACAGCGGCTGGATTCCTGAAACCCACTGGCACGGGAAGAAGCTGCGATCTGGGCCTACCGCCACATGGCTCGAGGGTTGATCAAAAAAACTGGTCATGGCAGCATCGAATGGCGAGTTGCTGAGGTCCAGGAGCGAGTTGGCACAGATCGCAAGCTTTGCCAAAGCAAAGCAGTGGCGAGAGACGTTGGCTCTCCTCAGCCAAGGGGACTGTTGGGACGTGGTTACCTGCACATCAGTCATTGGTGCCTGTGCCAAAGCGAAACAGTGGCAGCGTGCTTTGCAGTTGTTCAGACAGACTCAGGCGAAGCTGAAGTTGAGCATTGTCAGCTACAACACAGCCATTCACGCATGCGCTCAAGGAAGTGAATGGCAGCTGGCACAAGAGCTTCTACAAGAAGCTCAGGGTGACACGTTGCAAGCCAGCATAGTGACGTACAGCTCTGCAATCAGTGCAGTGGCAAAAATTGGAAAGTGGGAGGCAGCGCTGCAGCTGTTGCGTCAAGCAAAGAAGCAGACATTGCAGACCAACGTTATCATATACAATGTTGCGATTGATGCCACTGAAAAGGCTCGTGAATGGCATGTTGTTTTGGGTTTGTTGCAGGAACTCGACCTTCAGCAGTTGGAAGCCGACATCATCACATGCAACTCGGCCATAAATGTGCTGGGCAAGAGCGCAATGTGGCAGCACGGGCTAGTTTTATTGCGGCGTATGCCGAGTCAGACGCTTCGAACTAATACAATAACCTACAATGCTGCCATCAGCGCTTGCAGCGTGGGCGATCAGTGGCAAGTTGCTTTGCTCCTATTGGAAATGCTTCCAGCACAAGAGGTGGAGTGTGACGTGATTTCGTTCAATGCCGCCATCGGTGCCTGTGAAGAGAGCGGCAAGTGGCAACATGCTCAGGGCTTGCTTGTCCAGTTGTGCGACAGTTGGCTTCAAGCAGATGTTGTCAGCTTCACTTCCGCTATCAGTGCATGTGTGAAGGCTGGAGAATGGAAGCGCGCTGGCTGGTTGCTTCAGAGTTTGCGAGTGCAGCAAATAGAAGCAAATACAGTCGCCTACAATGCAGCAATCAGCGCCTGTGAACGCAGTGGACAGGCCCAGCAGGCCATGTTGGCATTGCAGGATCTTCAAAATTGCAAGCTGGAAGCCGACATCATCACGTATAATGCTGTGGTGAGCTCTTTGGCAGCCGAGGGTCGTTGGCAAGAAGCCGTCCTTCTCATAAGCACGCTACAGCTGCACAAAGTGCAAGCAGATGTGGTCACCTACAGTTGTGGCATTAGTGCCTGCGAGAAAGCTCGAGAATCTGAGCAGGCACAGCTTTTGTTGAGAGAGTTGCAGAGGGAGCAGGTACAAGCGAACGTTATCACTTACAACTCAGCAATCAGCGCCTGCGAGAAAAGCGGGGACTGGCAAGATGCTTTGCTGCTGTTTGATGAGATGATGGCGTCTTCGGTGCAAACTGACGTGATTTCCTACAATGCAGCCATCGGAGCATGCGAGAGACAAGGAGCATGGCAGCATGCACTTGGTTTGCTGGACAGGCTTCAGTCGACCCACATGCAGGCCAATGTGATCACTTATAGTTCTGCAATAAGCGCATGCGAGCGGGGAGGACAGTGGCAGTGTAGCAGATATGTGCTTGAACAGATGAAGCAAAACGGCGTTCTGCCCTCTGCCATAGCCTACGCCAGCATGATGGGTGCTTGTGGGAAACGAGGGGACTGGCAGCAGGCTGTAAGTCTATTTGCTGCCGTTGAAGAAGAACAGATCCAGGTAAATATTGTATTGTACAACGTTGCCATTAGTGCCTGCGAGAAAGCTCGAGAATCTGAGCAGGCACAGCTTTTGTTGAGAGAGTTGCAGAGGGAGCAGGTACAAGCGAACGTTATCACTTACAACTCAGCAATCAGCGCCTGCGAGAAAAGCGGGGACTGGCAAGATGCTTTGCTGCTGTTTGATGAGATGATGGCGTCTTTGGTGCAAACTGACGTGATTTCCTACAATGCAGCCATCGGAGCATGCGAGAGGCAAGGAGCATGGCAGCATGCGCTTGGTTTGCTGGACAGGCTTGAGTCGACCCACATGCAGGCCAATGTGATCACTTATAGTTCTGCAATAAGCGCGTGCGAGCGGGCGGGTAAGTGGGAAGAGGCATGCCTTTTGCTAGAGAGGCTTTGGAAGCAAGATGAGGCGAACATCATTGCCTACAGCTCTGCAATCAGAGCGTGCAGAAGGGATGGTCAGTGGCAGTGCATCACCGCCTTGTTGACGGACCTGCACGCAAATGCCTTGCCAGGCAATGTGCTGGCCTACAATTTTGCCGTGGATATATGTGAAGAGTGTGGCAGGTTTCATTCAATCCTTCCGTGTTTCGACCTGGTGAATGGCATCGCGCTTGCTGACCTGGAAAACTGTGCCTAGCTAGAAGCAAAGTGGTTTGGATGCGAGAGTAACAATGTTCGCAACAGAGTGGTTGGGGGTTGTTTTTCAGTTGCTTTGTGCAAGACATGTCAAGCGTTGACAGCGGAGAACATGTCTGACAATGCATTGTGTATCAACTACAATTTTAATTCTAGTCACAAGTATTTCTGCCGAGCCAAGCTGAGCACTTCGAGTTTGGTGTTGCTATGATTGTGCCCATCTAGATGTGTCTTGGATGCGTGTTGTGCCCGTTTCAGTTGTGTGGGTTTGTGTGTGTGTGTGTGTGTTTGCATAATACAATAGCCATGTGCTCATGATTGTAGGTGTTTGACATGTAACTTGACTATTGTTTCTTCTTTGTGCGTGTATGCTGTTCGATGTTGTGCGTTGGTGCCCGCTTGTGCCTTTGCATAAGTTTCCCTGCGACCGGCCCTGTATGTTTGTGTGCGTGCGTTTGTGCGTGCGCTCGTGCTGCGTGCGCATGTGTCTGCGTGTGTGCATGTGTGCGTGTGTGTGTGTGTGTGTGTGTGTGTGTGTGTGGGTGGGTGCGTGCGTGCGTGCGTGCGTGCGTGCGTGCGTGCGTGCGTGCGTGCGTGCGTGGGTGTGTGTGTGTGTGTGTGTGTGCTGGTGGGTGTGTGTGTGCGCGCGCGTGCGAATAAGTGTGCGTTTGGCCTTGTCTTTGTTTTACGCTGAAGGTGCCTTATTTTGCTCAAGAGAACTGGTCATGGCAGCATCGAATGGCGAGTTGCTGAGGTCCAGGAGCAAGTTGGCACAGATCGCAAGCTTTGCCAAAGCAAAGCAGTGGCGAGAGACGTTGGCTCTCCTCAGCCAAGGGGAGTGTTGGGACGTGGTTACCTGCACATCGGTCATTGGTGCCTGTGCCAAAGCGAAACAGTGGCAGCGTGCTTTGCAGTTGTTCAGACAGAGTCAGGCGAAGCTGAAGTTGAGCATTGTCAGCTACAACACAGCCATTCACGCATGCGCTCAAGGAAGTGAATGGCAGCTGGCACAAGAGCTTCTACAAGAAGCTCAGGGTGACACGTTGCAAGCCAGCATAGTGACGTACAGCTCTGCAATCAGTGCAGTGGCAAAAATCGGAAAGTGGGAGGCAGCGCTGCAGCTGTTGCGTCAAGCAAAGAAGCAGACATTGCAGACCAACGTTATCATATACAATGTTGCTATTGATGCCACTGAAAAGGCTCGTGAATGGCATGTTGTTTTGGGTTTGTTGCAGGAACTCGACCTTCAGCATTTGGAAGCCGACATCATCACATGCAACTCGGCCATAAATGTGCTGGGCAAGAGCGCAATGTGGCAGCACGGGCTAGTTTTATTGCGGCGTATGCAGAGTCAGACGCTTCGAACTAATACAATAACCTACAATGCTGCCATCAGCGCTTGCAGCGTGGGCGATCAGCGGCGAGTTGCTTTGTTCCTATTGGAAATGCTTCCAGCACAAGAGGTGGAGTGTGACGTGATTTCGTTCAATGCCGCCATCAGTGCCTGTGAAGAGAGCGGCAAGTGGCAACATGCTCAGGGCTTGCTTGTCCAGTTGTGCGACAGTTGGCTTCAAGCAGATGTTGTCAGCTTCACTTCCGCTATCAGTGCATGTGTGAAGGCTGGAGAATGGAAGCGCGCTGGCTGGTTGCTTCAGAGTTTGCGAGTGCAGCAAATAGAAGCAAATACAGTCGCCTACAATGCAGCAATCAGCGCCTGTGAACGCAGTGGACAGGCCCAGCAGGCCATGTTGGCATTGCAGGATCTTCAAAATTGCAAGCTGGAAGCCGACATCATCACGTATAATGCTGTGGTGAGCTCTTTGGCAGCCGAGGGTCGTTGGCAAGAAGCCGTCCTTCTCATAAGCACGCTACAGCTGCACAAAGTGCAAGCAGATGTGGTCACCTACAGTTGTGGCATTAGTGCCTGCGAGAAAGCTCGAGAATCTGAGCAGGCACAGCTTTTGTTGAGAGAGTTGCAGAGGGAGCAGGTACAAGCGAACGTTATCACTTACAACTCAGCAATCAGCGCCTGCGAGAAAAGCGGGGACTGGCAAGATGCTCTGCTGCTGTTTGATGAGATGGTGGCGTCTTCGGTGCAAACTGACGTGATTTCCTACAATGCAGCCATCGGAGCATGTGAGAGACAAGGAGCATGGCAGCATGCACTTTGTTTGCTGGACAGGCTTGAGTCGACCCACATGCAGGCCAATGTGATCACGTATAGTTCTGCAATAAGCGCGTGCGAGCGCGGGGGTAAGTGGGAAGAGGCATGCCTTTTGCTAGAGAGGCTTTGGAAGCAAGATGAGGCGAACGTCATTGCCTACAGCTCTGCAATCAGAGCGTGCAGAGAGGATGGTCAGTGGCAGTGCATCACCGCCTTGTTGACGGACCTGCACGCAAATGCCTTGCCGGGAAATGTGCTGGCCTACAATTTTGCCGTGGATATATGTGAAGAGTGTGGCAGGTTTCATTCAATCCTTCCGTGTTTCGACCTGGTGAATGGCATCGCGCTTGCTGACCTGGAAAACTGTGCCCGGCTGTAAGCGGCATGTCCACTCTTTTGAGGTTTGTTTTTGGTGAGGGGAATTGAACATGTCCTTGGCTTGCAATGTCCGGCCGAGGCTTCAATACAGAACGCCTGATGGGCAGGACGGAGTCGGAGTCGCGGGTGGCAGGTGCTTGTTCTCAAGGCCCCCCGCCCGAGCCACCATTCGGGGATGGTCCACGTTTGCTCTTCCAGCGGCTTGCCAATGCAGGGTCAATCACACGTGACTTGCGTTGGGAGAGGGCTTCACCATGTTTCATCCTTGGCATCAGCCGTTCACCTCCATCCCTCCCGCACAGAGGGATGAACCATAGTGAAGCCGTTCACCTCCATCCCTCCCGCACAGAGGGATGAACCACCCGAATTGCCCAGTAAAGCGGAATCCACCCTCTTCCCCTAACCCAAAAAGGACTCCTGAACCCGTACCCTTCATGGGATACTGTTCCATGGCTGAATTCCCCAAAGGTGTAAGGGAGTTCCCCTCCCAAAAAGAAGAGAAGTTGAAGATGCCCCTCCCAAAAAGAAGAGAAGTTGAAGCTGCCCCTCCCAAAAACAAGAGAAGTTGAAGATACCCCTCCCAAAAAGAACTTTGAGGGTCGTCCAGGTTTTTCCCTTTTTCAGGAGCTGCGGCTGACGGTGCCGGAAGGCGTGCCGCCCGGCAGTGCTCGGAGCCGAGTTTTTTGGGCAGTTTTGGGGTCAGGGGTCATCGGGTTGGTTTTTCCCATGTGGCTGTGGTTGTCAAAACCGTTTTGAGATCCCATTTTGGGGTAGGTGAATTCACCGCCCATTTTAGGACCTATTTTAGGTGGGATTGGGATGTTCACTGGGGGTACGATTTGGATTTTGACCCATGGCCATGTAGTTCTGTCTTTTTGACCCAAACGGTGTTGTTCCTTGTGGTTTCCCTTCAACTTGCTAGTTCCCAGCCCTTCGGTTTTAGGCTTTAGTGCGGGTGTCCATTTAACGCACCAAAGGTTAAGCTGTTAGCAATCGATCAAAGGACAGCCCAGTGAAAACCTACCCAATAAGGAGTACCACCAAAAAGCGACACACCCATGTGGCTATGGATCTCAATGGGTAATACGGAATGCCCTCCTGAACGTTTCGACAACGGTGGACACGAAACCCGTCGAATCGTGAGTGTTTTTCCCCGTCGTCATCCAATGTAAAGGATCCACGTGATTGAAGTGGGAAGACATACTGTGCACGGTTTCGAAGTGCGTGTCGCACCACCTTTCAGAACCCTGAAATGATATTATTCCCCTGTAAACCCAACAAACCTTCTGGGCGGTTTCAACCCTGTTTTCGTAGGTGTTGTGAAATGGATTTTGCAACCGTCCACAGTATGCTAATTCACACCATGGGGTTTGGTCGAACAACTACTGCATGGCTCTAGTTCACGGGAGCACGGGGACGAGCTCGAAATGTTGCCACAAGGGACGAGCCCTACTCTTTTGCCATGTCTGAACTCTGGTTGGACACTCGAGTTTGAATCACGTGGCCATGACTGCGGGTCCCAACTGGCCTGAGAATTCCGACTTGAAACAGGCATGGCACGAGCAGATTTGACCAGGAGGATGTTTCAGGCAGTGGCAAGTGGGCAAAACATCTGGATGAAGGATTAGGTTTGCAGCCAAGCCCAAGGCTCCTTTCGAGTGGACTTCCAGCACTTGTTGACCTGGGAATAATTTGATGTTCATGTATTTGCTGGAATTCGATCCTGGTTCCAGACGGCTTTTGTAGCAGCCCTGTTGCACAGTTGTGTAAAAACCCATCACGTTTGAACTTGTTTCCGGCAGTTGGTTAGGCAAGTCAAGTTCTTGGATCCCGGCCACCCATGATTCAGAGAAATGAGGTCTGTCATGAACTTCTATGTGTGCCTGGGAGTTGCTAGCCAGAGTTCATGAATAAGGCTGATACTGAAAAGCACGGCGGACATAGCAAAGAACTGTGGCTTGGTTGTGAATCAAGCTGGCTGTTTCAGCCAGCTGGCTAGCTTGTTTCACCTGTTTGCATGCGTTTTTTTCCAAAAGAGGGTGCCCCTGTTGTTTTTTTTGTTTAAGGGAAACTCTCCTACCCAAAAGAAAGACACGCCTATTTGTTTCTCGTGTTTTACGCGCGAAAAGCGCATCGCATTTGGTCGGAACATCTGCGACGCATGTCGGCGGTTGCCCAGGTCCTGACCCTCACACAGGACCGACTTAGAAGCCAGCGACTTCATCGGCTCTGTTTGAGGGTATACCCCCTCTTTGTTGTTTTGTTTTGGTTTTTAGAGACACCAAAGGAAAAGCAACCCCTTTTGGGGAGTCACTCGGAAGTCCTTTTGCCTTCGGGAAGGGGGTCTGTACCCTTCCATATTTTTTGTGGGGTTGGCAATGAAAACAAACGACCAACTGGCCTGGTTGGTTCGATTCTAGCATAAATGGCTCCTAGGTTGGGATCTTTGGTGGTGTTGGCTGAGGTGGGCGTTTGGTTCGCCGACCAGTTTGCCGGCAGTCTGGCAGTCTTGACACACGCCAATCAGCTAGCATTCAGGGAGCTGTGAGAAATCAGGACATGGACGTTCCGTCTGCAGCTTTGGCAGTCTTTTCTCACTGAAACTTGCTACAGGCCGCCCTCACTGAAGCAGCGGTACCTAATAAGTGAGTGGAGTAAAAAGGTGCCGCTCTCAGCAGACTCGGCAAACATTTGTAGGTGAAGTTGTTGGATTTTCTCATCAGGGACTGAAAGACAGAGTTCAAGCCAGCGCCCCAGAATCACTCGCAAGGTTTCCCAGGCCTTCCAAGACCTCCAGCTTTTTTTTGTTCTTCCCCCTTTTTTTGGGCTTCGCATTGACATCGACCCCTTCCGCATGGACGTCGACTCGCCCGGTTTCGCTTTTTTGGGAGGACCCGGCCACGAAGCAGTGGAAGTGCATGGCGGAACCGGCAGACGAGCCCCCCGACTTTCCGTACCCCAGCCAGGCGGCCGCAGGGGCCGCAGGGTATCGGCTTGGTCCGTTTTTTGCGGCGGCTGCGTAGTGCGGCGTGGGGAGTTGTGTTGTGTCATTCTGTCTGTGGTTGTCTCTTCTTCCCTTTTTATCCATTGAGTGATTGGTTTATGTGTTTGTTCATGTAAATAAATATATATACAAATATATATACATATATATGTATATATATATATATATGTTGATTTATTCATATTTGGTTGAGGTCAGTTTAGCTGTTTGTGTGGTTGCTGCTATGTTTGTTACTCATTTGTTTTATGATTTGTATGTGTGCTTGGTCATTAGTTGTTTATTTGCGGTGTTGGCATTTCATGTATTATGGTGTGATCGTATTTGTTACGTTGTTTTGTTTTGTGTTTGTAGTTGTCCTTCTTTAGTGGTAGTTATGTATGTGTGTATTTGTTTACTTATGTATGTCCTTTGTGGGTGTCTTCGGTTTGTGTTGTGTTATATTGATGTCTTGTCGTGTTGTATAGGTACATATATACAAATCATACACTTATGTATATATGATATATCATGTGTAGGCTGACGGCCTGTTAACCGTGCCCGCAAAAGTGCTTTTTCTGACACATGACAGTTTTGACCTGATGTAGCACTGTTGTCCGTTCGTCAGAAGGGGAAGGGTTGGGGGGGATGGTTTTTTATACACCCTGCTGGTTGCGCACACACGGACATACAGCTCAGCGCACACAGGTTGGCAACAGGCATCATCGCCCTCAGGCACGCGTTACACACACACACACACGTCACAACACACATACAGAAACACAGAACGTCTCCTCATGCGAGACACTATGGCCCATGTAGAAGCGGTCGTCCATCGACTTACGCAGGTGCTGCTTCGTATTTGTAGCCATGGCTGCCCACATGCAGATGCGAAGCCTTTCTTCACATGCTCAGGCTCCGAACTTGATGCTTTGCGCGCTTTGCGCTTGCCGTGTTGCTGTTTTCTCCCTTATCCAGTCTTTGTTTATTTGTGTCGATCGTTCTATATTTCTCTGTCTGTTATTTGTTTTCTTTGTGTCTTTGCTTTGTTGAACTATGTTTATTGGCGTCTGTATTTGTTCATGTCTTTGTGCATTTCTTTCTGATACTATGATTTGTTAATTTCCATGTTTTTGCTTGATGACTTTACTTGCTCTGTCTTCCCTACTCATGCTTGTATGTATTTATTCATTTGTGCCCTTCGTTCCTTCCGTCCGTCCGTGCTTATTCTCAGCGTGTGGCCACCCGGGAAGGAGATGGCATTCTATGCTCCTCGAGTTGTCGAGGATCTTGACACATGGGGTGCGTGTTTTTTGAGGGTACCCCTTTGGATCGGGGCAAATGGAACCTAAAAGGAAGCCGATCATTCTGGAGCCCCCTACTTTGACACGACATACGCGCCAGGCCCCGCAAGCCCCGGTAGCATATCCTGCCGGGAGCCCGGCGAAAGTGAAATGCTCGGCTCCCAGCGTCATGACAATGTCAAATGAATCCAGAGGAACACACACACACACACATAGGGGCGGTTCCCCTGAAAGTGGAGAACCCATTTTTTCTGCTTATAGTTTGTTTTTGATTGTGGAGTTGACCGCGCCCATGTTTCTGGGAGTGGTCTTTATTGCCAGACTTAGCTTATCTTTTAGCATTTTGGCAGGGTTTTCCGGTGGTTTCGTTTGGGTTTCCGAAGTGGCCGCGCAAAGGGCGCCTCACCTTCTTTCGTGGAAGGGCCTTGGAAGATGTGCCCAGGCCCACGAATGTTTTAGATCCACGGGCGCCTACTGCGTTTGGGGTCAACTCAACGGTTTTGGGCGGGCACCTTTCGTGCTTCCTTCGAGGTCGCTTGAGGCGTGGGCTCAACGATAATTCTATAAACCTCGAGCAGAAATTCTGTGGGTGTCCGTTCACTCCGTCCTCCGTTTGCCGCGCAGGCGCAGCCCAGCACGCTGCCCATGGCGCAAGCCTACCCCGCCCAGGCGCGCGCGCGCGAAGCGCTCGTCGTTTTGGGAGCTGGTGCTTGGACCCAAAAGGACTACCTGGAGTCTCCTTCTTTCTGACCCCGGAGAATGGGTCCACCCCATTTTTTGTTGGTGATCCCGTTTTGTAAGGATCAGAAGGAGACTCCGGGTACTCACATCGCCCAACAGAAGTTTGGGTTGCAATATTCCATGTGTAAGTTGGAAGTTTGAACCCACAAAGCGATCCTTCCGCCATTTCCAGACTGAGCGTTTTCATCATTTTCCGCAAACCGAGGGGCCTCCGCAGCGGGCTGTGGGGCCCTCAGACCGGTCTGAGGGCCTTGACAGGGCCTCGTGGCTGGGTGCCTTACAGGGTTCTGAGTGTTTGGTTTGGACCCGGTGGTGGCCCTTCAAACCAGCACTTACAGCAGAATTCTGAGGGCGTCACTTTCATGAACCCAGTATTAGTATGTGTCCATCCCGTGTCGAACTCGGCCATGTTGGGATTCATGCACAATACCTTGGGCGAACCCTATAAATCTGGTGGATAAACCGCCAATCCCAACCGGTCTAGCTTGTGGTTGGGATGGAGCCAAGGAGCCAAGGAGCTGGGGGTGGAGCGTTTTAGGTGCTACCAGGAGTTCTGTGAGGACATGGCTGTGGGTCAAAACCAATGGTACCATTTTGGGGTAGGTGCACCATTGCTTTGAGTCTATTTTAGTGGGGATTGGGATATTTACTGGGGGTACTTGATGTTGACCCATGGTCATATGGTGGGGTCAAATTCGGCCGTGGATTTTTTCGATTGCAAAGCTGAGGTGAACCTCTCCTTTGTGCCGCCCCCAGTGCCGGCGCAAAGCTATGCGGCCACGCAGGCGGGACGCAGGGACTTTGGAGTGTCTCCAACTTGCAGGTTGGGAGGCCATGGGAGGCCCCCAAATAGAAATCGAGGGCTTTGGTTAAGTTCAATGACTTTGCAAGTGGGGCAAAAATGGCTCTTCATGAAGGAAGTTCACAGTTTGGGGCAAAAACCTATTTTCGGAAAATTCGAGGGCCCAGGTGCCTGTCAAAGACCATTGTTCCAACTACTTGGGTTCCCAGAATTGGTCTCCCCCCCCCCCCGCCGCCCCGGCGGATTTGCGACGAACGGCGCCAGATGGACCCCGCGCGCTTCAACCCTCCGAGGCCTCGACGGCGGTTTCGCGCGAATCGGCGCCCGGGGAATGCGGGAAATCCATCGTTGGGATTTGTGAGGTATGAACCAAGGGAAACTTCAGAGTCCCTCAACACTCTGCTATTCTTGGTAAGGAATCAACATTCCAGGCTACTCCCGGGTCAACATCGGCCTCAGTCATCCGCTATGGTTGAATACGGGCTTGATGAGACCTTTCCGGTTGTCTTTCCTTTCAAAGGTTCCCAGCATGGGTATCAAGGAAAGGCCTCCACGTTATTTTTGGCAGCGCCTCTTTTTGAGGTGCGTAACATGTCGAACATGGGTATCACAGTGGGTTCCATTTCCGGCACAGCTGGCACAGCAGAACTACAGCTAGACTGCGGACCCAGTTGGTTCCAGGCTTGATCCTTCGGCAAAGACAGTCCAAATTAGAGACAGAAAGTGTATGTTGGGGAAGTGACCCAAATAAGCGGTTCTTGTACAAGAACACGCCAAAAAAATGAAAAATAAGCTCTGGTGATATCCCCAACAGCAAGCGGTGCTCTTGTTAGTGCTCGCCGCATCCCTCGCAGAACCTCGTGGAACGTTCGTGGAACCCTGGTGGAGCCCTCGTGGAACCTTACCTCAGGGCCGCCCCGGACCACTCCGCAGCCTATCTGGGCTGAGACCCCAAAGCTTCCAGCTGTTGGGGAAAAATTAAAAAACAAGCTGCAATTCGACAAAGATTGGATGCCGAGCCTTAAACGCTTGGGACGGCGCCATTTTGCTGTTGTACAGAATGATACACGCCGATTTGAATCTGATGCTGTTTGCATTCCCATGTCCAATCACTTTGCAACTCCAAGTGATTGGTTCCCCACCAAACACGAGCAATCCAGCAGGCTTGCCTACTTTTATCGCTTTTCTTGCCGGTTCTCAGCAGGGAGTGAGGAAATGACCCCTATAAACCATACCCTATGTTTCCTTTAAGGGAATCCCCTTCCGGTTCATTCACAAGACCCTGGGTCATTCCCTACTGAGCAACTTTTTCCAAGCGACAATTATACGAGCTGCAGCCACTCGATGTGCCGCATTGCTTTTTTCATTTGCTTTGCCCAGTGGATTCGGCAAGCCGTTGCAGGAAAGCGTCTTCCTTGGAGACGTTGGGTATAGTACACCTGGACCCTCGGAGTTGCCTCAAACCGGAAAGGCAGCTAAATGCCAACCCTGGGTCGGGCTTCCTTTGCCTCCAATTTAGGCAAGACCCTATGGTCTTTGGCATGCCCAAGCCTCAGAGTTCTCCGCATCGGTGTTGGCAGAGAGGTGTGCGAATGTCTCAATGGGCCGCTTTACAGTGTGCGTTTGTGTATAGTCTTCTGGATTCTCATGGCACCCTTCTGATTTGTTCGTTGGCATTCGTCAGAGGAAGCTTCCGGCAAGATGAAGCCAGAAGCAGATTAGCATTTCACTTTCGGCATCCAATGGAAACTGGACAGGTTATGTGTCGAAAGTAAGAACCCTTAAAATGGCTGGCTTCATTTTAAACCGTGCCGACAGTTCCTGGTTTGGACACCCCCCACATGAAGCCTGAGACTCCCCATAGCCCAAAGGGCTCCCTGCTGGTGACCCGATCCCAACAACCTTTGAGCCCTCACAGACAGGCATAGGGTCACCCAACACTTGAGGATCCTGGAGGATTCAGCCTTGGTTAGTCTTGGTTACCAATTCTTTGGTGCATTTTGTTTGGATGTTAGGACTTTAACTTTTTGCCAACTAAGGAGTTTTCCATCAAACCACTAAAAGTTACACTTTTAGCAGGGGAGCAGAAAGCAACTGAGAATTCGTATTGTGGGCTCCACATGTTTAGGATTCTTGGGGTCCGACTATCTCTCGCTGCCTGACCCCTCTGGACTCGCTCCCATGCGGAGTGCCGCCGATTCCGATCGCATCGCCCAAGGCCGGTACGCAGCTCAGAGCGAGACGGTTTGTCGCCAAAGAGAGCAAGCAAAACCGAGTAGTGCTGTCGACACGGTGATAAATCAGCTACATGACTAGGAGCTTTTTGCTGAGTGAAGAATTCTCAAGTAGGAATGTCCGAGTTTAGCCGTTGTGGTCTGCGAGCCATTTGTAAGCCCAGTGCCGGCTTGTTGACCTGCTTAATTGTTAGAGAAGGTCTTACCTGAACGTCCGTGATGGATTTGGCAATTGTGTTTTGAAGCAATTTGTCAATTTGGGTGTGTTTTGTTTTTGCTCCCCCCCCCCCAATCCAAAGTATTGGTGTCCGGTACCAACTCCAAAAAAGACGAGCCACCCATGTTTGCTCTAAGCCACTCTTAGGACCTCATGCCTCAGCGGCACTCCTACACGCCGCCGCCAGCCCAGCGCTCAAGGCAACTGCTCCGTAGAAGAGGAAACACTAGGGGCCCAGCGGATGTGGATCCATTGACGTGGGGTGGGGTGGGGTGGGGTGGGTTGGTAGGGGTGGGTGGGTTGGTAGGGGTGGGTGGGTTAGTAGGGGTGTGCCTGGGCCCGGCCCACACAAAATGTTCAGCCTAGGAATTCTTACAACCCAAACTCACGGAATTGGCGAATTCCACCTCTTTATGAGTAGTGTATAGTAGGTAACCAAGGGCTTGCCACCCTTTCATACCTAAGAGGAAGATGGGGAAGGGTTATCTACTATACGGGTTACGGGTAATTGGGATCCACTGGGTTAGGCATTGAAGTATTTGAATCATTTAACTCATTGGCTTTTCCACCAAGCCAAAAGGAAACCACCACTTGGGGAGGGGGGTGTTCGGAACGTTCAGGTGGCATTTTTTTCTGAATCCAGATGCGAGCCATAGCTGGTGTAGTGGTACGTGTCAGAAAGCGTCGGACCTTTTCTTGGCCGTTGACAAAGTCCTGCATGAAGCTGGCGCCCAATTGATTTTGACCCGTTCTGATCTAGCATTTGCAAGCATGCAGGAAGGAAAACAGGCTCAGTTGTCACAGGGGTTGTCTGCAAACTGGGAACCCCGAAATTGGTGATTTCCCTTTGCATTCCCTGTCTGCACTACCCCAAAAAGGATTCTCTCAGAACAAGACACTTCCAAATTGCTCAACCAAGCAGACTCCCCTTGAGATTGCCGGCGTTCCCCAGGGTAAGTAACTCCGTGCCCTGACCGCCTACCCGCCCGCCCACCCACCCACAGCCCTACCCACCCACACACACATTCACAGGCATGGGTCCAACAAAGTGGACAAATAGAAGAATCAACCAAAGCTTTGCCAGTTTGGTTGTCTTGTCTCCAGCCCTAAATCTGTGTTGTTTCCACTGATTTCCCTTCAATCCAACTTAAAAAGAGGACCAAATCTAAAAATGTCCTGTTGATTTCCGTCTCTTACTTTCAGGTGTATCTCTGGCAAGGACACTTTTGGAGAAGGATGCCCAGCTAAAACGGGATACTCACTTTTAGGGGCATCTGGGGGATCGACCTGCAAGGTCCCCCAGTAGTGCCCTTTTACCCTTTTTTGGATGAGGGTTCCCCCGCCAAAATAGACTACATAAACAAAAGGTACCCTTTTTCTATCCTCTCCACTGGAGGACCTGGACATGGAACCGGGCCCTCCCAGCCCTCGCCGAGGTCAGCATTTTGGAGCGGCCCTCCTACACGCCGATGCCGCAGGCCGGGATTTGTGACTCAGGCAGATCCCGGTGGGCTGGAAACCAATCACTTTTTGGTTGAATCAGCTCGGATTTTCTATTGTCCTACCAGTTGAAGGCTTGGATATCTATCATAATTACCATGGAACCAGCGGAAATTGGTGCCCTTTTCGGACTTACTTGTAGGGAAGGAAGCCAAGGAAAATCAACCAGTTTGGGGGTTAGTCACTCTCGAGAGATACACATATTCAGTAAGTGTCACGATGACGTTGTTTTTGTCACTTCACCTCCACCCCCGCATGTCCAGGTCTTGTGATAGCTTGATGATTGTGCGTAGGGTCATGTAGGGTCCTATCCTATTTGCTGCAAAGGATTGCAGTGAGTACTGACCGTGTGTCATGAACTGTGTCACAGCCAGGACCTAATCCATCGGTCTCGACTTTGAATTTATACACTGATTTCACCTGGTTCGAAAGTTAAGAAGCACTGAGCCTGCGTCGTGCGCACTTGGAGCTTGATATGCCTAGGCAGTATCCACGCGTGGCCCACATCCAGTTTCTGCCTCTTGTCTCTAACTTGACTCCCCAGGTGTTTTACACGGCCCCCTATCCCTGGACCCTCCAATGATGGACCTGACCTTTGGGCCACTTCAATCCGTTCCAATTTCCAGGTCTTGGCTGGACGTCCTGGTGTGGGCCTTGGAGTACTTTGCAACCCCCTTCTGATTTGGGTGCCTTTTGGCGCTGCAAAATCGTCCACAAGCGCGAACTCCATAATATCACGGACTCCCCAGAGGTTTACAATGTGTCAAGGAAGCAACCGGCAAAGGCCTTTTGAGAGGCCCTTGTGTCAAAATGAGGTAAGTCCGGTCCATTCCTTCAGGAAATCATGAAGCATATTATGTAGAGAAGGTGAGCATCCAGAAATCATCGAGGCTGACCAATTCAAGGGCTACGGTGTTACACTGAGGTCCTGACTTCGCCATCCGCTAATGGCCAATGGCTATGGACTTTACTACGGAGACATCAAATCAAAGCTGTTTGGTGGACATGAACCCCGCCTAACTGATGTCCACCACTTTGGTTCCTAATGAAAATGCATGCCCCTAAAAAATCAGAACGCTGCGGGTGCTCCCCGGGTGTGGATCAGGTCACGTCGAGACGTGCCGAGGTTCGTTTCAGCCTCCGCCAGTGGCAGCCTTGGGATCCTGTTGCAAGATCCCAACAAGGGAAACAAGGATGAGCCACTGCGGATGGTGAAACAATGGTGAAACCCAACGGAATGGTTCGACTCCCCAACGTGAATAAACGTTATGGTTTCAACCGTGCCTCTTGACAGGTGCGAACGGATTTTGCAACCATCCACTTCATTAGTTTGAGGGTGTGTCGTTTGGGTAAAGGGAGACCAAAAGGAAGCCAACTAGTTTGGGAAATTATTTGCGACTTAATTCTTAATTCTGACCCCAAATCAATCGGCCAGTTTATTAAACGGGGGTGGGGGGTCTGATTCCAACATGTCAGGTTGACACCCCCTAATAAGCAGGTGTCTGATTAAATTGGGTCAACATTACCCATGGAGTTTTCTCAAAGATTCATTCGGCCCCAAACGCAATGGGGATGGCCCCCCTTGGTCTGCCCGTCTAGCAGACCGTCAAAAAGGGTGCTCTCAAAGAACAAACGCGCACACATATATATATATATACACATACATATAGATATTATATATATATATACATACATACATATACTAATATATACATATATATATATATATACATACATAGATACCTGGACCCTCAAAAAGGAAAAGCATGCTTATTACTTTTTTGTTGCTTATGTCGCCAAATGAGCGGAATTTCCGAAATCTAGCGGAAACTGCCAATTGCATGTTTTGCAGCGATTTCTGCTGATTTTCCCTGATCTATATACATCGACCAGCGTTTCTCGAAGGGCTTTTATGCGGGCACCCTCCAAATAGGAGTAGGATATGTAGGTGTCCATGACATGGTGCAGAGATGCGCCACAACCCCAAGCAAGGTGAGGTTCAGCTAGGAAATTGCCCCCAATTGTTGCCATTGATGGGTTTGTGCCAAAATCCCGCAAATTTGACCACCAACAATACGCGGAAATCGGCGGGAAATACGCGGAAATCGGCGGAAAATACGCGGAAATCGGCGGAAAGGCCAAAACCAACTTTGTTATATCTTGCCCGTGTCGCTTGAACAAGTTGCGGACCTGCTACGTCGCTCTCATGAACAGCTGGTGAGGAATGGTACTCAACATGGTATTTTTGGATGACTGTCCACAGGTTGAAAGGGTCTTGAGTTCGTGGGCTTGGAATTGACCATGGAATTGATGAGGGCCATGTAGTGGCTGGCAAGCAACCATTTTCAGGTCAAACCGAATTGCGCTTTTTTGGGGTACATGAGCGCTTTTTGTGACAATTCGCGCTATTTTTGCTTTTTAAGGAAAAGGGAAATTGTTCTTAAAGAAGTTCTAGGTATATACAAGTACACATGAATGCGTATAGCCTTTTTCGGGTGTGTGTTTTTTCTTTTGTGAAACTCAACTTTGGGAGTCCGACAGTTCACACAGCTCAATTCGCTTTGCTGTCCTGAGCTTGGCAGATTTGCTTTGCACTTGTCGAGTTTGGAACTCGACCAACAAGGACGCCAGACATTTTTTTGGGGGGGTCTTTTGCCGACACTGGCCGACACCAAGAAATCGTTGCAATAATGCACTGACTCCAAGAGTTCCTGGACTGACAACGAAGCCAAGTCCGGCCTATCCATTCACGCAAGTTGGCAAACCCTTTAGTTCCCACTCATCTCAAGCGAGTTCCAGCAAATCCACTTCCATCCTTGACATTTCCATCCAAATGGCTGTTCCAACCCTTCCCGAAGTTCACCACTTCTCCAACGTCTCTTTCTGGGCAGGCCCAAAACATGCTGATGCGAAGAGATTGGTTCAATGCTAGGCCAGGGCTTGCCAAACACATGCAGCTAAGGAATTGCAGCAAACGGCCCTTAGGCAACTTTGAATCCAAATTCGCCCCCTGGTGGGCTTTGCCTCGATCCTTTGATAAACACTCCAAAATGGTTGGACGGCAAGCCCAGTGTCGCAGGTGCTGAGCCCCTCCTACGTGCCCCCGAGCAACTCCTGGGTCCCGCCGGCCCACACCTCGGCTTCCAACCAAAAAACCCTCGGAGCCTTTGGGCTGAGCGGGGGGATTTTTTCACCCTAAGGATCCTGATGGATTTTCAACATGTGTCCTTTTGACACCCCTGAAACATCTCGGGGTGTGGCGGGGACCCCCGGGTTCTTCATACCAAGCCGTTTTCATGTACTGTGGATGGTTGCGAAATCCATTTCGCACCACCTAAGAAGCCCTGGAGCGATGAGCCGCCTGTAAATACCAACAAACGTTCTGGTTTCAACCATGGTTTCAAAGTGGTGCGAAATGGATTTCGTCCATCCACAGTAGGACCCCACAAAATGGCGCAACAGTGAGGGTTTCCCCTTGGTGTTCCCCTTTAACCTCAAACCCCAAACAGGGTACCTTTAAACAAAGATACATCCACACGAGGGAACAAAAAGGCAAACCTCCAGCGGTTTCCCCCTTGAAGCCAGGCCTGCAGTTGGAGGGCCGGTCTGAAGTAAGGCGCAGAAACTTTAGAGCCTCCGGCTCAGTCCGCCGCCATTGTCCTCTCCCTTTTCTCCTTCTTCCTCTCTCCCTTGTCTCCCTCGTGTGTTCTGTCGTCCTCTGTCCCTCCCTCTGCTCCCCATCCTCCCCATTCCCCCCAAGCCTCTCTCTCCTGAGTCTCCCTCTCTCTGTCTCTCTCTGTCTCTCTCTGTCTCTCTATCTCTCTCTCTCTCTCTCTGTCCGTCTCTCTCTCTCTCTCTGCATTGCAGCGTCACGTCCCCCTGAGTTGCCTCGATATCCCGGCACTGCCCCTTCATGACCCTGAACTGTCATCTCACTACTGGCTTTCCCCTTGATTTCCCTTCATGTCCTTTTCACGTTTCCCGTGATGTCCTGGTCATGTCCCTTCCCCTTCATATCCCTGTCATTTTCTCGGTATGTCCGCTTCATTTTCCATGTATGTCCCTTTCTTTCGGTGCGAGTCATTTCCCTACATCTCCCGTCGTGCCGATTGGTTTCATTGCGCTTTGTTTCCCTGTCATTCCCCCTGCACTCTCCTCGTTTTCATTTCTGTCCCTGTCATGTCCCTTTCAGTTCCCCTTTGTTTCCCTTTCATTTCCCGTTGCTTTCCTGACATGTGAACTTCCTATTTCCTCCCCTCATTTCCTTGCACTTCCTTGCATTTCCCCTTTGCTCCCCAGTATTTCCCGCAAAAAAACACTGTTTTTCCAGCGTTTTCGCAAAGAGGACGTCCAAAAACCCACAAGGTGCTGAGACAATGGTTTGCTTCGGACGTTGCAAGGCACAAGTGGATGCATGTGGAGACCTTCCTTTTTCGGAGATGTCCGGACCTTTTGAGGGCGCATCTCGACGGACAGGTTTTTCGGGCAAGCGCCGCTTACTGTACTTGTGTCTCCGGGCGCTTTGTACTTTCTTACTCCGTGACGTGAAGGCGAAACTGCAAGTTTCCCCGGCCATTGCCGAAAAGTTTACGAGCGACTCTTCCTCAGGCAACCACCAACATCTCCGGCTATTATACCTGCTTCTGCACCATTGCCGTTGCTTCATTACATACATACTGAAGCTGAAGAATGATAACAGTCCGCCATGAACTACCTTTCTGAATCGAGAGATCTTGGAGTCTTGAACTACTGCAACGGTCAAATTTTTCATTTGACGAGAGCTGATGTGAACAGGGTCTTCCCCAATGTGTTGTCTACCCCAGTGGGGGCCAACAACCACTACTTGTAGAGTCTAGACTATGGACTATAGTAGGAAACCCGGTATTCTCCACTCAGTCTTTGACGGCTGATTAACTTGGTTTGTCCCCTTATGCCTCTAAATGTCATCATTGGGTACCGTTTGCCTATTGAGCAAGCACTTCCGTCTACGGACCATGGACCCAGACCAACCCCCTCCCTCCGGAAGGCTAAGCCTCAAGGCCAGTCAGGGCAAAATCGGCCGAACAAGGCCATGGTTATGGCGAACCTTTGGCCTCTGTAGAGTTCCCTAGCTGAGGTGGTGCTCCCATACTCTCAGCCTGGGTTTGGTGAGGCCGCGAGGGCAGTGAGCAAGTAGCGCGTGCCAAGAGGACGCAGTTTTTATACATAATTAGATTTCATAGATTTGGATGTTTGCTTGGATGTACAAGCTCAGATCGTGGCTGCGTTGTTGAGGTGTTGATTGGCCATCATATTAGCAGGAGATTGCCACTCGCAACCCAACACGACGTATTGTTTTTTGCTTCTGTTTGTTTGCATTGTGCTCCCCTGTGTGTTCATAGCACAGTTCTTTTAATATCCGCAAAACAGTTGTTAGCTCAGCTCGAGAAAAGCTTCGTGATCAGGCGAACAAAATTGCTTCCGTACGGCTTAGCAATGGCCATACCGGAGTTTGCTGGATTGGCCGCGTGCGTGGTTTGGGGTTTGTAGCCGGTGAACCTGGGAGGCCAAGCGTCAACGCCATCCAGAGCCCGCACTTCCCCCGACCACGTCAACGCGCCAAAAGAAACACATGAGCAGCGGTTTTTCTGGATACAGACCCACATCTTCGCGGCGACATTTGTTACATGGCGTGCAGGCGTTTGACTGACAGGGCCACATCCGCATAGGCATTTCGCGGAGGCTCGTGTTGCGAAGCTTCGCGTAGGCAGTCGAAAAGGCGGCCCTTAAAATGAGCTTGAACTGTCACGTGACATGTCGAGCATTGTTGTTGTGCAAGACTGAGTGGCAGTTTGGCGCAAGCCGTAAAAAGCATATCCCAGATTTCCAAACAAAGCAGGCGGATTTCGCGCTAGGCACCGCGCAGGCTTCGCGTAGAATTTGACCTCCGTTTTGCCGCGTAGGCGGCGTAGGCCGGCATCTAGTTAGCTCTGTCTCGCGCTAGCGTTCTTGTGGGACTCTTCCGTTTCGCGTAGGTGTGGCGTAGGCACCGCGTAAGCAAGTTAAAAATGAAAAGGACCCACACAACCCAAAAAGCACTGCTCAAATGGCACTTGACGTCCTGCCACAGTCCTGCCATATCGCGCCAGGTTCAGCCATTCCCCTCGCAGCACGCGATGCCGGTTGGGCCCTCAGGGGAAAGGCGTCGGTGGCAAGCAAACCCAACATCTGTCGGGGGAATCCAGTGATTGCCTGGGTGTTTCCAGCGTTTCTTGAATGTTTTCTGCTAAGCACCTTTGATGAACTTACTGGTGGTTTGGATTGGTGGTTTGGGGATGTGAACCCCTGGAACTACCGCTCCACCAATCCAAACCACCCACTGAAGGAAAGCTGATTTCTTGTTGTCTCCACCAATTGGCAATGCTTTGCTCTAAGCTTGGCTTTTCTCAGCTTGTTTGCTCACCAAGAGGGGCCTTGCTGCAATGCAAAGAGTGCCGCAAACAAAGACTCAGCGTGGCTCAAAGCGTTTGCGCGAGTTTGCAGCGAAGGCAGGCTTTGTCCAGCGATTCTCTTTTTATCCTTTAGCTAAACGCCAGCCGGTTGTCTAAGATAAGTATATGGGATGTTAGCCACATATTGTCCGCCGAATTGCATCTCCTTCGTTGTCGGCATGCAGGTTGGCATGCCGAGAATTCAGGCGGCCAAGATGATATGGTATCCTGTTCCGTGCGATGTTCATTTTTTGGGATCAAACTCGGGTCAGATTTCAGGTGTGGCTTCTTACCTTCCTGGAACGAGCGATTTGAAGTGAGCTGCTGGCTGTCAAGTGAAATCCCCACGATCCCCCACGCCCTTCATCCTGTAGCGAACACGTTCAGTCAACGCAGAGCAAGTCATGCTGTAAAGTTGCAAAGCAAATGTTCCGCACGCATGAACAGCTATGTCTTTTGCAAGTGCCGCAGACAACGTAAGGGTGATGGTGGTGGTTCTGATCACTGTAGTGCGCAAAGCAGGCGTTCCACAAACAAACACAAGTAAACCTTAGACACGGTTTGCTCCAACAGTGTCCCTTGAACATGCGGCTGACCCCCAGACACCCCCCCAATAGAATCAACTTGCCCTTGGATCAAACTACAGTTTCTTGGCCAAAAGCGACTAGGTGTCGCCTTCGGATTCTTGCCAATGGGCAAGAAGTTGCTTCGGGCTGAAAAGACTTGTGGGAAATCGCCTGCGTGGGAGAGACCTCAGTTGTGGGATGCGTCGAGTGTTTTTGGATTGGTCACGGGGTGTGGGTGGAGGCTCAGTTGATTCATAGCCAGGCTGTATAGCAACTAACTACCCTCCCACCAATTCACACGGAACCTGATGGGGGGTCCCGTTAAAAGGATCATGGTCTTCCCGGACCTCCCTGTCAGGTTCCATGTTAATATTGGTGGGAGTGTATCAATACTGAGTCCCTTGGAGTCCGTTTTTCGACTACCCCAAGGTAGGCTGAAACGCAGGGGGGTGGTTGAGTCTGCTTTGCGGTAGTCAAGAAATGGAACCTTGGAACGGCCAAAATGAGTCAGCTCCCATTCGGCCAAATCGCTGAGATGTGGCCGCCGCCGGACCTGCTGGGTCTTGGAGGCTCCAACTGGAATCAGACGTTTTGGGCAGTCCCTGCAGTTTAAGTGGAGTCTCCTTTTTAGGGCACCCTCGTTGTTGGGCTCCATGCTCATTAAGAGGTGCCGCATAGTGCTGCCCATTTGTGTGTGTATCCCTTCTCACTTTCGCTTGTCTAGACTCCAACAGCCAGGTTCCCCCACAATTGAGATACTTGCCCATTGGGTAATTGGAATCTTACTCACGTGGCTATGAGTTTCTTTCAAGAGTTGGAACCCCGCAGTTGGCCAATTTATCCCCATGTCCAAATTTGGTCCCTCAGCGTGCAGGCCAGTTGGGTCATCCGGGCCATCCGGCGCCTTGTCCGGGCTTCCAGAGGGAGCCGAGGGCTTAGGAAACCCCAGGGAGGGGTGTGGCTCTGGGCGGGGCACGAAATCCAGAAATCGCACCACCTAAGAAACCTTGGTTAAAGCCATTGTTTGTTGGTGTTTACATTGGGGAATCGAATCATTCCAGGGTTTCTGAGATGGTGCGATATGGATTGAGTCCACAGTATAATACGTGCTGGGAGTTTCCCACTGTGGAAAGCGGAGTCGCAAGAGTCGTGTCAAGGCATTTCGACCCGCTGCTGCCGGGGGCCTAGGAGTTGTGCTGCATACTTGGCCATGCTTGTTTGCCAACTTCAAGCACTTAGAGACTTGTGTTTTCTGTGCAGGCCTCGGATGTAGATTGCCAAAACCACAGCCTTGGGTCTTTTCTGAGACCAAGTCCTTCCAGGCAAGCCACTGCAGTAGGTAACCAGAGTTTCTGATCCCGGGGTTTATCTTGATAGCTTCCCCTGGTCAGCTGCTATGGAAGCGGTGGGTAAGATCGGCAACGAGGCGAACGAACTTCAGCCAGATGTCGATGCAGTTCCCTGATTATCCCCCGCAGATGGGGTCGCCGTCTCAGCTGCCCCGGGTGAGCGCACCCCCTGCGACCCCTTTGCTATAGGATAATGATGGTGAATACATTGACCCTTTGCTAAGTCTCATGCTGTTGCGTTTTACAATGAGTCTTGCCACCCGGGTGGGAGGGTGATGGCCAGTCAGCGCTTTGATTTCCCCACTTGGCAAGCGAGGAAGAACCTGAAGCTTGAGGCTTGAGAGCAAGCTGAAAGGGTTGGCCGCCCATAATCCTCCAAGCTGTTTATCCCAACAGCCAAGTCAGATTTTGTCGGGCACAAGCTTTGCAACCCTGACACCCCCCAAATCATACGACAACCAAGAGCCTCGCAGATGTCAGTAAGCACACGGCTTGTGCGCACGAATCCCTCCACGTTTTTTAGGCGACTTAAAGATACTTAGGGATCACCAAATTCCCATGCCAGTTGGGGGCGCATGAAGCTTCGTGATTCCTTCGAGGTGAGGATGCCACCAGAAATTCCATGGGCCATGGAAGCCACCGTCCAATGGTCCTTGGAGCTTTGGCTCTCAAACCGATTTCGGACTCTTCTTCGCCGCTACTTGGTTGGACCTTTGACCATTGCGTGGGACCATGTTGAAGGTTGCCAACTCGACCTTAAATTCAGGTCAACAACCGTGTGAATGGTTTCCCCAGTGTGTAAGTACACTTTGAAGAGCGTGGGTCAAAGCGGATAAGGGACCCGCAGGGACCAGCTGACGCCAATTTCCCCAGCCGGCAAAGGCCGAGGCTTTTGGGGAGGGACCAGCTGAAGCCATTGGCTATGCCAGGCCCCCTCAGGGCATGTTCCAGCCACAGCCGGCACCTAAGGGCAAGAGGCCGTGAGATGTTCTACCCAGCCATCAGGGACAGCGCGGTCGATTTTTACAGACCACCACTGTACGATTTCAGGAATTCCAAGGGCTTCCTTTGGTTGTGGATCAACCAAACCCTAGGCATCACAAAGACCCCGGAGCCAGTTGCGGTTTCCACATCCCACCAAGAGCGTTGCTTTTTGTGGAAGGGTGTTCCTCTAAAACCAACCACCCAAAAAGAAGGGGCACCGCCTTTTTTCCAACGGCCACCGGGCCGTGAAACCATGAGGTTGGGGGGGGGGCTTCCGCACCAATCGTCAACACGCGGGTGATAGGCGTTGGTCCCACGGGATCTTGCTTGGTGTGGCAAAGGCTGAAGACTAGGTGTGCCCAGAAGCCCTTCCTTTTTTCCCGGGGTTTTTGCCCATTTTTCCAGGTCTTGATTGTTTCTCACGTCGGCTGCTTCGAAGTGGCTGCCAGCTGTGATTGTCGGGGTCGAGCATCAGCAATTTGCGACGGCCTGCCTTGCTTCTCCCACAAGGTAAGTTTGATTTGTGGGATTCCCAGCTCAAGAGTCTGGCATGAGTGGCTTTTCATTTCTTACCAGGATGGTTTCTTGATGACTGACGTCAAGCTTTCCGTTGCCTTCGACTTCCGAGGCTGGGCTTCAACCAAGGCGGCATGCTGGGCATGCACATGCACGAGGCCTGCTTTGGTCCAACCACCGAGCAAAAAGGCGGAGCGGCGACAAAAAACATCCGCCGGGGTTGGGTTTGCCTTCTTTTTGTTTTCCTTTGTTCACCCTTTCAGGTTGGGTTCTGGGAAGCGAAAGGAAGAGACACTTTTTTTAGATTAGTCTGCGCTTTCTGTTTCGAGAACCCGTTCTGCACCACGGGGTTCGCCTTGATTCTTCTAGGTCCCCCAGTAGTGCCCGTTTACCCTTTTTTTTTGGGAGGGTTCCCCTACTAAAATAGACTACCGGAAAAAAGGTACCCTTATTATAACCCCTTAACAGTGGATTATTTGCAACATTGCAACCCAGTTTTACAATATGAAATCCCTTTCTTATGGGTTCTTCGGGTCCAGGTACACCAACAATATCTTGGACCCCCTTTGCCAGATTGCATTCCTCTCCGCTTGAGGTGCCTCTCTATGGGCCGCTGGCCCAGCCGAACAAAAGCGCCGGCGTGTTGGAGGAGGATAGCTACAGGTACCCCCGTCTAATGAACACGACAGCGGGTCCGCCAGACATATTCTAGCTCTATTTATGTTTAATGATGGGTTTTCCCTGGTTGCTGTGGAAACTGGCATTGGGTCGGAGACAACTTGAATTTAAGTTGACAGGCTTTCTGTTTGGTGGACCTCATTTACATGTAAAGAGCCTAACTTCGATGATGTTTCTCTTACTCCATACATGCTTGGCTTGGCCACATGGCTGTTGGCCACAGCTCAAGGAGTATCCAGCCTAGGGCGGCTGGGGGAACCTGCCCGGAGCGGATTGGCCAAAGCCAAAAGAAGCGGTCGCTGTCGAGGGAACAACCGATTTCTTTGGGGGGGCATGGGCATTCAATATCAACCGGCCAGCTTTTATCTTGGCCGGCTGCAAGAGTTCCCTATAGAGTTTGACCCTCGCTGCATTGGCTTGCATGTTGATGTTTCCAAAACAATCAGGGTATCCATTTTGTACGGTGTTTGTAAGCTAAAAGGAAGCCAAGCATTTTACAGTAATACCCGGAATATATACTGGTTTCTTGCTACCATCCAATTGGAATCAGGGTTTGGCTTGAACAAGCAGCCTAGCCCCAATGGATTCGACCGTACTCCACTCTCTAAATCCCTCTTGGTAGGTCCCCGCTGGTGCCCAGTTCGACACCGAGGCAGAAGCAGCCGGGCATGCCCTGAGGGCTGGGCCCTTGGTCGGTGTGTGCTTTATTTGGGTTTCTCAAAGGGGTGGGCCCTGTTTTGGTATTCAAAGGGAAACCAAAAGGAAACCGGCCAATTGAGCCGACCTATTCCTATTTAGAGAAAACCATATGAGTATTTGTTGAGTGCACCCAATTTGGGAAAAACAAGGGAAGCCACTTTTGAGGGAGTCCCTCATTTTGAGACGCCCCCATACCGCTGAGTATCCAGCTCGTGAGCATATTTTTGATACCTTTTGCACCTTGCCCGGGTAATCACGGCATATGGATTCGTGCTGGCGCCGTCCAAAAGGAGGTCCTGCAGCTTCGGCGAAGGGCCATTCCCCTGCCCGGATGTCAAGAGATACAAGCCAGTGACCTGGCTCCGGACCAACATGGCCATGGGTCAAAAGCCAAATCGTACCCCCAGTAAGCATCCCAATCCCCACTAACATTGACAAAAATGAGTGGTGCACCTACGTACCCCAAAATGGTACCATTGGTTTAAACCCACAGCCACAAGGTGTAGCATGCCCAGAGCCATCCAGGACCCACAGGAGGAGTTTTCGTTAGAGAACCGTGATAGTCCACACATACATTGAACATAAATGACCCGACCTGGCGCGTAGGTTTCAAACAATGTTTTGACTGAGATGAGACAGACGATACAGCGACCTCTCCCGTGATGAGGCTTCTAAGGTTGAGGGGCTTCTGTTCGCAGCTGGTGGAAGCACGGACACTGTCTTCAAGTTGGAAGGCTTCTACCTAAAGCCCACACAAGAAGCCCGAAACCAGGCAAACACTGAGGCTCCTCATTTTTTCAAACTCATCCAGCCGAAGTTGTGCAACAGCAACGTCTGAGGAGCTTTCCTCAGGGAGAGGAAGTCTGTGAGGGTCATGCACTGTGCGTGGCCAAATTGTTTGACAAGAACCCGCGGGCACACTGGCAGTGCTGACGGCGTACATGCATACCAGCTAGTTTTTGCATGCGAACAACCTGGTTTGTTTTTGTACGTCCAGGGGGTCTAGCTGTTTTCGATGGGGGCAAAGATATCGGCGTCTAACTGCTGGGGCATGGAGTGGAGTCCTTGCAAGCGCTTGGACAAGCTCCCCAGTGTACTCCAGTGGAACCCAAACTGGCAATTACCTTAATTATTTTGCGACCTTTAGTGTGGAGGAGCTGGTTGGGGGAAACTTCCCTCATCTGCTGAAATGGTGTTCCACCCAAACGGATGTGTTTGGTTCCATCCCGCTTAATCAGATGCACGCACCTGGCAAGCCTCATGGCGCCAGCTATAGCTAATTCGAGAGCATCGCCGCGAGGATGCAAAAGGTGGGCGGACCTGTGGATGGACGCAAACACCTGCACCAGATTGAAGCCATGGTTGAAGCTTGAAGCCATTTGTTGGTATTTGCAGGGGAATCGAATCATTCCAGAGTTTCTCCTGACTGGAAGTCAGGTCAGTCCTGGTTTCAGTGGGCACACAGGTTTCTCCAGACTGGAGCATCATGTGGCAAGCCAAGGCAGCCAAGTTCCGCAATGAGTTTGGCTTGCTCCGGTTCAAGGCACAGAGGCTTCCCACAAATCTTAGACACGCTCAGCCACTTTTCGCACGAATCAAGCAATCCACCGGTCTCACCAATTACGCTTGCTGTCACAGCTGTCCAATGTTGCTTGAGACAAGCCGGGGTGTTTTCGAGCCAGCCACCTCATCTGAATTTTCACATTTGGGTAGTAACTCTTGACATGAGGGACCAACTTATAGCCTGCCAGATGGTACGAAGTCTAAGTCCAAGTTTGTCCTCAAAAAAGCTCAGACAGTCCACTGAACGGAGTGGTGGATGCCGCACGGCAATGGCAAGGCAAGGCAGGGCAGTGGTTCTCCCTGGAAAGTTGTGCAAACAGAATCCCATTGCCGTAGGTAAAAACAAGTTGGTGCACCACGTGTCTCAGGCGGAATTGTGTGGCGCCTGAGATGGATCCTGTTTGGGGACGCATTCGACACCCAATGGCCCGGCCAGGACGCTCCCCAAGTTGTGAACAAACATCAGGTTGACCCTTAGCTGTGGCAAGGAGCCAATGCCTCAAGAGCATGCATGTGTCAAAATAGGGGAGCCCCCCAAACTGCCGGCTTGCCTTTGGGTTCGGTAAGCCAACCTGGAAACGGCACCCAGGAAGCACAACCCGGAGGTTTCTTCACAACATGACTCCATATCCAAATACATGTTTGTGGCAGCTTGGCTCTCTGATGCGGAGAATCCAAGGGTTGGAACACCGCCCACACTCCGCTTGGCGTGACAAACCTGCAAAGGAGAGCAAACCAAAAACTTCAAACCTGAACCCTAAAGCCTAATGAAGCCTAGTGAAGCCGCTTTAGTTTTCCTTGGGTCGCCAGCCGAAACTCGATGTTTGTCCTTCGTTTGTGAGGTACGCGATCCCCGCGGAGGCCAAGAAGAAGCTCTTCTTCACATCCACCCAGGAGATGGGTTCTATCCTGCAACCTTGTTGGTTGGTGTTTGAAAGGACACTGTTGCCATTGGGACCGAGTCCCGTTTTGAGAAGCCCTAAAGTAGCCAACCAACACTTGGATAACCATCCGACGTAAGTGATTTTGCATGCCCGATATCCCCAGGATTTCACCCCACGTATGACCCACTTAGGGGACTTGTTTCAAGTCTCATTGACCTTAAGGCAAACCACAGAAACACGTTTTGGTCTTGTTTCCAGAGCCCGTATCTGAGTGTACCTGTTGGCTTGTGGAAATGAATTCCCGGCATGGCGGCCCCTTGAGGTCCCGGCGGCACGAGGTAAATTTCTGACGTAAGACTACCTGGACTCACAAACTACCCATAAACAAAGTCGGAAGTACCAATTCCAACATGTTGGGTTGCCATGACCCATTTCAAAGTTGGAAGTTTGGTTTGGGTCCTGGTACTGTGGTTGGACAAATACAGCAAGGAGACCCCCAAACCTTGTGCCGGGGCCGATGATCCATGGTAGGTGCAGCAGACCTTCCAGATCAACTATGGGAATCACATGCATTATTTTACCCTTCCTTGTGTTCTCCTGGACACATGTCCTCATGTTTATGCTTCCTTTGCTTTGACATTTTCCTCTCCCAGCACAGGGAAGCCGGGAAACTACAAGCAAGAACAACTCGCAGGGAGCTTGAAGGAACATGAAGAAGACATGATGAACGATTCATTTTACTTCCTCCAGTCCAGTCCGGAACTGGAAACGCCTCTCACGTTTGATCACAGAAATGTCAGTCGTCAAAAGTTGCTGTACGGCCAACTTCATAAAATGGTGCTGTAGAGTGCAAACCAACTTTATTGCTGGAATTTTGAACTTGTTTCATGTGTATTATTCCCGCTTGATCCAGTCAGGGATCAGCTGCTTGCTTATATACCTTAGTTCTGGTTCAGACTTTCGTGAAACACAAACACAGCGCATGTCAAACTCCGTCAAACTCACAGATTTCAGATAGTTGTAAGATCAACGTAGGGGACGTGCTGTCGATTCACAAAAACCCTTGTTTGGTAATTTAGCCCGTTCATACTTTGGATGGACGAAATCCTGCACCACGTTGAAACCATGGGAAACCATTGTTTGTTGGTCTTTACAGGGGCTTCTGAAATGGTGCAGGATGGTGCAGGATTTTGTCCATTCACAGTAGCATGGGGTTTCAGTTTCATCCATCCCAACTGCTATTGAGCACCTTCCAAGTGGGGCGATCCCAGGAATCGCACGACGGCCGCCCGCCGGTGCCCGTTGGCAACTTCCACAGCCTGCGTGAGACGTGGCTCAGCAGGAATGGTGGAGGGACCTGTCTCGTTTCACAGCAGAGTGACGTTCCTTTACTCCAAAACACAAGGGCTCAATGAAAAACCCTGCAGGGGGCGGGGTTCTACTGGACCCCATTTGTGACTCCTTACCTGGCTCGGGTGAACTGGTTTGATGCGCACAGGGCTGTAGGTTTGGTTTTGGTTCACCGTGTCCCGGCACCTAACAGCTCCCCACTAGCTGAGCGCAGCCACACCCTTCTTGCTTGGCAGGACTTGGTGGATGCGAAGCACAGTTCCTGAATGCATGCTGTCCAGCCCAGCACGCGACTGCTCAGTTTTTGATTTGGGTTCAATGAACCCCATGATTTACCCGAACCTGACCTTTGGCGCTTCTGGGCCTTCCATCTCTCAACGGGCCCATTTCTTTGGTTCCACGGCAACGAGAGGGAAGCGTCGCCGGCGCCGATCGCGGATCGAGGCAGCACGTTTTCGGGCGGGCGGCTTCGGCGCCCACAGGCAGGGCGAACCCGAGTTTGAGCCATTTGCGGCTGATGCCCCAAGTAATAGTCACAGTGAAGAAGCTTGTTAATACATGTCCCTGGGCACTACGGAAATGATGTAGGAAGCACGTGGATGTTGAAAGCGCGCACTCGAGTGTCCAAGAATATAGGACAAGCTGGTGAGGAAAAGTGTTTGCGGTTGAGAACGCAGTGTCAAAGACCCTTAACCTTCTATCCCCGGTGTTTTTTGCTGCTTTGTGTCGTCCTCGGAGCTGTTTTGGAACCTTCAAAGCATCCGCAAACAATGCACGCTTCGTGTCTTTCTGACATGAGTTTGATACTCGCGGGAGGAGTGGCAACCAAATGTGCGACCTGTGCGCAGGGGCATTGCAAGCATGTGCATGAGATACTTCCGCGCGGTTTGCCTTGCCGCAGGAAAACTGCAGTAGCTTGAGCTCTAAGACCTCGCAATTCTTGTGCTGGGCTGAGCCACACTGAAAACCTTAGATGAAGATGATGAAGTCTAAACCATGGCGTGCGCCCACTTTGATTCTTTGTTCGTTCCCACGGGTTTTGGGTCGACAACTTGCCTCAAGCTCGCAAGTTTGCCAGGTGAAGGCGGCGAGAAGTGGCGAGGGACCTCGTGCAGCACTCAGGGCTCAGTGTTCGGCAATTGGTTATCAAGTGTTTACCTGGACCCAAGCCAAATTCCAGCTTAAACATGAATTTCTGCAACCCAAAGTGATGCAATGGGTGAATTCCAGCTTTTCTATGGGTATTTTAAGGGTTCAAGGAGAAAGGTATTTGATGCTTCCAGTTCCCACTGTAGGTAAGAGTGACTTGCCTCTAGGTTTTACATGACCGTTTCCCGTGACCTTCAATAGTGGTAACTGGAAAGGAGCTAGCTTAAAAGAAACTTGCGGCCGGCTCAGCTCACCTCCGGGACTTAAATGACTTGCTAACACACCAAAGCGGTTTTCAGTCCAAGGAGCAGCTGCTTGGCTTTGGCGGTTTTACGACACATGCAGGCGAGGAACAACCAAGCCCGTTTGGGTGTCATGTCACCTCGGGCAAAGTTGAACACGGGCTGTCCCAAAACATTTGGGCCAACATTTGCTTTTGTTGCTCAAAGGCAACCACAATGCCTAGGGTTCCTATATTTATTTCTTATATAAAGTCACTTGGCGTCGCTTTGGGGTGATCTTAGGGGACACGCTTGGAGGCTTGGCCCCGTGTCTTGGCGCGCGCACTTCGCATGTTTCCACCGGTGGACTTAGGTACGACAAGGCCTTCTCGAGAGAGCCCGTCTTTGTGGACCTCGAGGCGAAGTGTTTGGACGGGTCCAAGTACTTTCGGTACTGAGCCCCCCAAGAATGGCATTTGGGCGATGTCCTATGGCGCTCAATGTGTGCTGTCCCATTTGGATGGGCGATTTGTGACGGGTTTGTGTCAACGGCTCGCCGGGGTTTTCTTTTCCCCATTTTTTTTGGCGGGGGGTGGCCTCCAGCTTCTACGGCTCGTCTTTCCCCTCGAAAAAGCGCCTTGGCTTTAGGTGAACCGCTGCATGGCCGCCATGGCCAAGGTGCGCAAGGCCCACGTGAAGGCCGGGGTCGTGAACTCCGGGACGTGTTGAAGAGGTTTGACGTGTTGAAGAGGTAGGACTTGAAGCTTTTTGCCAACTAATGGGTTGTCCATGAAACCACTAGCAGTTAAGCTTTTAGCAGGGGAGCAGAAAGCAACCGAGAGGTTGATGTGTTTCTGTCTTCCGGGCAACCCTCTGACCCTCTGTGTGGTGTCTTTCTTCGACGGAACTCTCATGAGTCCTGGTTTGGAGTGTTGGTTCCCTGTGCAAAAATTGTTCTTGGGGGAAGCACAGTCCTCTCAGAACCCAGCGAAACACTTGGAGGGATCCATTGCCCCAAAAAACACCAGACGATGTGTGTGTGTGTGTGTGTTTTTTTTTTTTGTTTTTTGAGGATACCCCCTGTTGGAATCGTTTTAAAGGGAAATCAACAGGACAATCACCATTTTGGGGGGATTGCCCCTGCCCCAAACAAAAGACATGCCCATGTTTCTGCGCGCTCCGCCCAGTCGCCGCACGTGGGCGCCTCGCCGGAGCCTTGAAGCGCTGATCCTAAAATGGTCCAAGCCCAGAACCATGTAAGGAATGGAAAACGCGGCTGCACCCATGAATGTATGGATATGTGGTTGGGATTGTTCCTTCCTAACGTAAGTATATCCGGTTTTTTACTGTGGCTCACCTGGGAAAAGAAGACGTCGCGTAGTCCCTAGACTTCAAAGCACCACTTGGGCTATAGCCAAAGGTGAACTCAACTCATTGCCGGACAGTGAAAATCAGGCTTGAGTTTATATACTGATGTGGTTCAAAATCGAATGTTCGGAATGCAATAATAATTGCAGAATAGCAGTTGCAGAGCAAGTGTTCAGCGCCATAATTACACGAGTTGTCATTTACATAATTACATAATTTGCCAAAACGTAGCCGGAATGCCAATGCCTGGCCGTAGAACACTGGTCCGAATAAATCGCCCTAAGCGATGAAGCGGTCAGCAACACCCAAGATGACTGGGTTGGCCGAGATTTGAGGAGCACGTCCAGCCAATTGGATCCCAGTTGCCACTACAGTTAGCCAGCCATTTTCCATTTCGTTCACAAGGTGTGATTCTGTTTGGTTGCCTACTACACAGTCAGATGGAAGCTCTCAAGCCAACTTTTGGCTTTTCGAAGCGCAGGTTTGCTTTGATTTTGCCGGCGAACAGATCCCGCTAAGCCCTGGCTTGATTTTCTGCCTTGATGTTCTCAGTACTTGGAAGATCGGTGTGACTTGGTTGCTCACAGTCGCCTACAACTTCCGAAGTGTGCCAACCGCTTGTTCAGGGTTGCACCAGGTTGTTGGGTAAGAAATTGTAGGAACAAACATATGGCTCCCTGTGGCTCACTTGGGGCCTGACAACCTATGGCTCCCTCTCCAGAACCTGGATGAGGTCCGGGGAAGATGTCATGCCGACCGCTAGCTTGGTGTTCGGCCAATTTCGGCCCAGTTAGTAAGACTGTCACACTGTCCCATATCATCATTCACACGCATGTCTCCATGTTGAGTTCACCCTTTAGTGGGACATATTGTAATCATCACGGAACACAGTGAGCATGGTTGTTGACCCGTGAAAGCAAACCTTATCCACCACCTGGGCGGGGGGGGGGGGGTTAAAGGGAAACGAGAAAAGCACACCCACCATTTTGGAGGTGTTTGCCAAAAAAGGCACACCCAACTCTTCTCACTGCTTTTTTTTCCTCGCGCGCCCGTGCCCAGGTCCTATGCAGAGTCCTTCGACTGGAAGGGCTACGACAAGCCCTTGTATTACAAAGTCCCGGACTGCGGGCGCGCGGCCTCGGTTCGCCTTTCGAGGGGATGGACGTCCGAGGGCTGGAGTCGGCTTCAAAGGAGAGAACGGCCACAGGGAAAAGCGAAGCGCAGCCGAAAAGTCACCAAGACAGCATGCGGATGTTTGGAACTTGGCCGGGCGAAGATCCCGTGCAATCTTTGGGAACATGACACACACACAGGCGTGACGTGTGCGGATAACCACTCCCATGCATTTGTGGAAATAAGGGACCCCCAAGTTGCACCCAGTACAAATGTCCTTGACTCCCTTGACGGGAGGAAGCCTGGGGATGTCTTTGGTCACGTCTTGCGTGGCACCGACACAAATCTCCCAAATCGCCTTAGGCGGCATGGGAGGAACTGGCTTTCAGAGCGCTGAACACGAATGTCATGCCGAAAACGTCTACATGGCAGCGGTTCCAATTTCTGCATAAGCAGCGTTTCATCTGAGGGTCTACCCTCGAAAATTCCAACCAACCCAAAATTATGGAATTGATGAATTTCATGTGTTGAGGGTCGGATTCAGGTGGATTTTGCCTCTGACACCTGAAACTTGTTCTCTCTGCCTCAGCTCAGGGCCCGGGAAGCAGTGTGACCTGGCCTCAGCGTGATCCAAACACCAGGTTTCTCAGAATGGCGTGCAGAGGGTGTTTTTGTTGGGAGACCGGTGTAGTGAGAAAAAGGGTTCCGTTATCCCCACCCCTCCGTAGACTGAATTTTGAGGAGAAGTTGTGACCCAGCTTTTGTTTTTAATACACGTGGACGGTCTTTTTCCAGAAGATGGCATATAGACTTCATTAGCCTTCTAAAATCGGTCGACTTCCAGGTCCATGATACTTGCAAGGAGGGTACTTGGACCCTCAAATATTCCCACTTAAGAATTGGTTAGTTATTTCAACCCCAAATTATGGTGGGTGAATTCCAACGTTTTTTAATGGGTAGTTTGAGGGTTCACGTGCTGTTTGTTCCAGAGTCTACAAACCCCAATCAGGGTACCCCCATAAACGGCGCCTCGCCTGCGTCTGAGGCTCAGGCGTTCAGGGCCGGCTGGAGTCTACGTCGGGGTCGGCCTATGCGGCCGGGACTCCAGGAGATGTCTCCGGGCTTGGTGGCTCCTTAGGTTTTTAGGTTGTGTCTGGTTAGTTTAGGGGTTGGCTTTCCAACTTTCACCCACAAGTTAGTTCCTTTTAGTGGGGGATCGGTTTGGACAGCCCAGAATGGGAGCAAGGGGTACCTTCAGCTTTGACACCCTGGGAGAGCCGCACGAAATGCCAGAGTTGTTGAAACCAAAAGTGGCATGGATTTACCATGCAGCTGTACATGCAGTCATGTTGATGAATGTATGCCACAATACGTGTTTCATGTATTGTTTTGACAATGAGATAACTTGTGCATGACAGAAGGACAATTACAGTCCTTTCTAGGTAAACAACGCCGCCACAAGTTGAACACTTGCGATTGACATTGTCCTTCAGCAACTCGGCATCAACTGATATATATATATATGTGTATACATGTTTTCGTTTGGCATGTCAAACTTGTTTGTTCTATCCTGCTCGCTGCACATTGTAAGCCAGTTCCTTTAGGAGTTAAGAAGGCATGATGGTTGCATTGGAGTATTTTTCTGATGTATGTTATGTGTAAACTTTGCCCTTGTTGAGATCTTTGGTTCTGGTGATCACTGTCCACAGCAACTCACAAGTTTTTGAAATAATGGTTCCAATAAAACAACATTGTGTAACAACATGATTCTAGCTATCGTGACCCAAGCGTCAGACATACAGAACATGTCATGCCCAAAAAAACATTGCTTCCTAGGTTGTGGTTTCATCTACTCCCTATATTTATGGTGCGTTCACCCCGAAAGTGCGAAGTGCACTTGTTGTTCAAGCACAAACACAACATACCAAAATGGCAAAGTGTAAAACCCTCCAGATTTCCAAAACAAAACAACACATGGCAGCTCAGACCGCATGTTTTTGTTGGACAACTTGTATTGTTTTTTGTTTTTTGCGATTTGCAATGCTCGTGTCTTTGTTTTTTGTTGGACAACTCGAGCTTTTGATCGCTTTTTGTGGTTTAGCCTGGTTTCAACCACGCTGGCCAATTATTCTCGCTCCTGTGGAAAAAAACGGGGCACCCTGAAAGACTGGGTTTGGCCCCGCACATGTGTCGCATGCGACGGGAATATGTTCTGAGGGCGTCCGGCCAACGTCGGTTCCGCAAAAGTTCATCCCGGTGGATCAGCTGGGGGTCCGGGACTCAGTTCAGGTCTCTGTTGGGTTGATTCCAACCATTCTTTTCAACCATGGTTCTTTCCAAAAACCAGCCGTTCTTGTTGGGTTTCCAGAGGGTGTCTAGCAAGAAGGAGGAAATAATCGAGAAGGTACCCCTAGAAAGAAGAGAAATGGAGAACAAGCCAAAATTCTGATAGATTTGCGTCACATGTCTGAAATCGCCGCGTTTTCAGAAACGCTGTGAAATAGGGCCCCCTATAAAGTCCCTTTCTGAAAGAGGAAATACCTGTATTCCAGGCAAACAAGGGGAAGTGCCGATTGAAAGCTAAACGGATCATGGTTGGTTGAGACTTGGGATCCACTGGGCCGCAATGAGATGAAGTCAGACTTTGACATCTATCAAAACGTCCAACACTAGAATGCAGTGAGAGGGGACCTTAGTTTATGGAAGTAGAAAGGTTTGAGTTGGGGCCGACCTCTTGTGATGTACATGGAACCCAAGACAATTGGAATGAGGCTTTTACAAGCCTCAGTATTGGCTGTACAGCTTCAGCACCTGGCTAGTGGCATGCCTGGCTTCTATTTGTTTGGACCTTCAACACGGGGTGCACCATGTCAGTGGGCAGGTGAGGCCCAACCAACGTGTGAATCAATTATTTGGATTATAGCTACTACGTATGATAAGCCAAGGTTAGCGGATATTGCAGATTTGCGGTCAACCCAACGGTAAATCATCAGGAATCGTCAAAGTGAAGATATTGCTAATTTTGGAAGGAAGTGGGGGTCCCGCTCAAATTTCTCATGTTCTCCAGGAGAAAACAACTCATGTTGTCGGGGGTTGTGAGCCAACACTAAACCAGATATCCCGGAGGCCAGTGGAACTTCCACTATTTGGAGAGGTTTTCCTTTGCACTCAGCTACTGGGGGTCCAGGATATGGGAATATGTCAAAACGGGATTTGGACCAGACAAATGTGCTTCGTGCTTTCTCTTGGTTTCAGTTCAAAACACGCACCCGTACTCTAAGCAAAGAAAAAATCCTGCGCCACCTAAGAACCCAGGAAGGATGATTCAACAACAACACATTGGTTTCTCATGGTTTCTCATAGTTTCAAAGTGGTGCAGGACTTCGCCCATCCACAGTATGGCCAACCTTGCGGGGACTCACTAAATTCTCCAAACCCAGGCAGGGCACTCGCGATGTGTTGTTCCATTGAAACAAATGGGCATGCGTCAAAGTAGGGGGACCCAAAAAAAATGTGATTCTTTTTTTTTGGCATCCCTTGTGAAGCCAACCTTAGAAAGGACAACGAAAGTGTACCTTAGGACCTTTGAATGGACCCGCATCAGCCCTTCTCCAGTTTGTCCTTTTGGAACTTTTGGTTCGAGTGACCGTGGCTGAGGGAGTGGCTCAGAGCTACGACTTCCTCCAGTCTTCCTATGGCGGCAGCTTCACCGCCGGCCCCAGGCGCCCGGCCTCGGAGGAATCCCCCTCCATCCAGCGATTTTGTTGATGCTTTGTGCGTCTTGGGTCTCCAAAAACTGATTGAGCAGGATAAGGAAGTATTACAGGGGGGGGAGGAGGGGGACACCTCGATCTGGAGGTTGATCGGGCCATTCCAGCGATTTGATAAACCATCCAGGTGGTTTTTGGGACAGCCTGGGTTCATTCCCACACTCCCTGCCCAGCGCACCAGCACCTCAAGACCTCGCGCGTCAGGCTCCAGAAGTCCCAGAGGAGCGTTCGGAAGAGCTGCTCCGCAGGAGCCGAAGGGTCAGCAAAGCATATCTATTTGGCGTTCGGTCAAAATGCCCGGTTTGTTTTGGGTCAATTTGTCGGGGGAGCAAGGGAAGGGGGAGGACTCACGAGATTTCACGCAAAGCCTTTTAGGGTGTGAGTGTGTGTGTGTGGTTGTGTCTGGGTGTGTGCTTTGTTGGCACCCCAAACTTGGGGTTGGTTTTTGTTGGGTAAAGGGAAGCCACAGGCCGCTTCTCCATTTTGAACTGCCTCGTCGAAAAAGTCGATCCCCAAAAATAAAAAGCCGAGAAGGTTTCCTCTTCGGTAGACGACACGTCCCAAAACAGGCGTCAAAAGTATCGCTTTGCCCAAATCCCGGTTTTATGCATTTGGTCCGGTGGAGTTTGTCCAGGGTAGGGTGTATGCCCAAATAAAGGGCCGGGGTGGTTTCCCTTTACACCAAAACACCCATGGCTGAACCTTTTGGAGCCATTCAACAAGCGCCTTCGTTTGCAGGCGACTTGATGGCCTCGCTGCGGAACTCGACATATCGTGCCTCCTTCAGCCGCAAAGGCTTTTAGGCGTGCACTTGGGAGGAAGTAGATGGCGCAATTCCCTCTTACTTACCGTGCCGGGCACACCCAGCTGTGCTTGGTGTATTTCCAGTGGGAACATTTCGCGGTTTTGGAGCGCTGTCAAAGAGCGGCTGCTGAACTCGCCGTTGGTGTTGGATGCTCGCACACGGTCAGTTTGGATTTTGCGTGTCACATTTTCGGCACGGTCGCACAGTGGCAGCTGCTCAAGTCACTCCGGATCGGCGTCCGAAGGAACCAGATCCATGGGATTAGAATGCCCGGAGCTGACAGCTTGAAAAGCAAGGGCTAAGTGGAGGGAATCCATTCCTGTGACAAGCCCCTAGCAAGGTCTTATGAAAGGGTTAATACAACCATGCACCCCACCCCTGAGATTTCCCAGGGAAACGCTGTCGTTGTGGTTGTGGTCCCATGTGAACGAACCGCTAGCTGCCTACACCGCTGGCAGTTTGCAAGCACTCAAGCAGCCCTCATTCGTCGAAAGGTCCCATACCCTTCTCCCGTTTGAGTGGCAATTACTCCCTTGGCTCGGATTGCCAGAAGTTGGTTTTCTTTTGTCTGGATTGGTGGTTCTACTGGCTGGTTTCCGGCTCTTCGTCTCAGTTTCTATTGCTTCTTGTAGTCGCCACCAAATCGCATGTTTCCCACTCCGCCCGTGTTATCCTGAGAATCGGAGGTATGCGGGTTTGTTCCCAAGCAGAATGGAGGACCTCTTAAATGGGGCACCCTCTAATCTATCACGGGGGGGGTATTGATTCTTGGTCAATAGCAGATATTCTTGCACCAATTAGAATGGAACCTGACAGGGGGGGGTCCTGGTGTGGACCATTTTCCATTTGACGGGAGCGGGTCCCTCTCAAGTTCCATGCTTGGTTGGAGAGTACTCAGCCTTGACTGCTTTCCACTTGGCTCTGAGTGCGTGGCGCCCTTCAATCTCTCGACGCATCAATTCATGCACAGCGCGATGCCCAAAACGTCGAATTGGTTGGCAGACGTGCGGGGACTTGCGACCGCGTTGATATTCAACCTGGCCCGTGTTCTCATTTATGCACAGACCACTCAGATCCATGCAGTCAAACACGACACATGTGCGCTCAGGGATTCCCAAGCACGATCCTTGCTCGACTCGCTCTTCACTGTTCCTTGTGGTGTTCCAGTGCAAGGATGATATAATTACACATACTAAACATGTCCAATCCAATCTCAATTGCTCACAGGCAAATATACTTACTCTTTGGCCCACGCCCCCAAAACCTTTACTTTGGTGCATTTTGCTTGGATGCTAGGACTGGAAAACTTTTTGCCAACTACTGGGTTTTCCATCAAACCACCAAAAGCTAAACTTTTAGCAGGGGAGCAGAAAGCAACCAAGTTTACCATGTTTCCTTCGTTTCCATCCGCCGCCTCGGCCTGGCCTGGCCGTTTTCCCCCCGTTTTTCGGCCATGGAGAGCCCGGCCGCGACCCAAGCCAAGCGCTTCACCTGCTCGGTGACCGCAGGGCTGGTGGCAGGCGAAGCCGCGACTCCGTTTCGGATCGACGGGATTTTCGGAAGCTCACAGCTGGCCAAAGGGATCCCTTACTGATGGTGGCGAAATCCACTTCGCACCAAAGAAACTGTTGGCTTTGTTGCTTGGCAGCGGATCTTTGTATCGGACCCACAAAAAGTAACTCACTTCTTGGTAGAGGGGTCTCGCCATCAACCAAGTTTGGGATCCCTTGTGGCAAGATGTTGGAACAAGCTTGAAGATTGTGGCTTAGTCGATTCATGAGGATATGCCTTTTCAGACTGAATCTTCCTGAATATTGCGTATTTGCTGGGGCTTCCCCCCGCTTTGATAGTAAACTGCACCAGGTTATTGTACGATGCCTTCCTGTCTTTTCTTCGGCGTAGGTGCACAGGTTTTGAGGAATGAGAGCGCGGAGTGCACGCGCCGCGCTGCTGGTGCCCAGAATGGGGTCGGACACTTATGAAATGCACAGGTGCCTGGCAAACTGGGTGTTCCTTTCTTGACTGTCTTATTGAACAAATGCATAGATTTGCCCCCACCCCCCCCCCCCCCCCGCTGCCAAAAGAAAGGAAAACAAGAACAAAGTGGCAACGGTTTCCTCTTGGTGTCCTTTTCGCTGGTGCTGGTATAAAACGAGCAACCAACACTTCTGGTAAGTCTCCCCAGGAGGACCCGCCCCCGGCCTCCGCTTCACTTTGCCACAGGAGCGCTTACAAACCCTACGGAGACCATCCGAGTGAAGTGGCAGGCCTCGGGCATTTCCGAGCAATGATCTTTAGAGCGTTTCGGGGTGCATATCAAAGGGATCCATATCAGAGGCAGGAACTCAGAGTTTATGAAATTAATTGATTTTCCATGAATATGTATGAACAAATGATAAATATAATTGTGTTGTTAAAAAGGCGTGACAACAGGGGGAAGGCGCCATCAAACAATGATGCCTTGAGTTGTTTTTTTGTTTAAGGAGTTTTCAGACTTTTTCAGACATTGTGTGATAATTGTCTAAGCTTTAATAATGGCTGCTAACTTTTAAGAATATTAACAAACTGTGTTTCGCATGTTTCTGAGTTTTTGCGATTGTTTTTTTTTTTTGGTTCCGGATTTTTTCTCACTTTTGGGACTGGTTGGGAGCATTTCGGGATGTGTTGTTAGTTTCAAATATTTTGGCATTGTGTGAAGTTTCTGGTGTGTTTTGGCAATCTGGAATAGTTTCTGGAAGGTTTCATGGGGGGTGTTTGTGGCAGCTAAGCTAGTAGGCCAAGTGTGACATTGTAGGCAGCTGTAGAGAAGAGGTTTCCCTTGCCCAAAAAGGGCAAAGAGGAAAGCAAACCCCTTGACACATTCCTGCGGATGTCATTGCCCACCTGGAGGACTTCCACCTATCAAGAGCAACAAGTGTTAGAATGCAAAATGATGGCAAAGCAGTTGCGTGTTGGCATGTTTCAGAATGAAATGTGTTTTTTAGGCAGGAACCAGAATGAACTTGCAAGATTTCACATTTTTCTGCAGTTGCATGAATAATGATTCCCCATAGCATGTGTGCGTGAGCCCTCCTGGTACAAGGCCCTGACTCATTTAGTGAAATGAGATCGATCGCTCACAAGGACCTTGTTTTTGAAGAACACTGAGGAAAGATGTGATTTCAATCGAGGTCTTCGGGGGGGGTAAAATGCCTGGCCTGGAAGAACTGACAACGGCTATAGGCCCTTCCCCCATGTGCCATTGTGGGTACAAGGGAAATAGTTTATGACGCGGGGAGGGGTGGGGTGAAGTGGGTGGACAACACTTTCCCAGTTCCGTGTGTGGAAGCGCCCCTCCCGGTGCTGCCAGGTCCTGTCAATGACGGATGCTGCCGCCACCCAAACAGGACCCGGGCTTTCGAGTTTCGGAGCGAGCCAATGCTCAGCCATAGCAAGTTTCTGAAGCCATGGCCACTGCAGATTTCTGGTTGTACATTGCAGGGCCCTGCATATAGTGTTGCATCTTGGGGATCTTGATTTTTGCGAGTGCCCGGAGGCAATCGCATCCTTGGTCAATCTTGGTATGTACAGAAACTGCTTGCAGCACAGGGGGAAACGGTCACTCATCAGTACTCACCTTTCCATGCGAACCCAGGCTGAATGTGGTACCTGAGAAACACGCCTTTTGATGTTGGCGAAGTCTTTCCTGCCTGATTATCTGCTTCTGAGTGAAATGTCGGTCGGTCGGCCGGTCAGTCAAGCAGACGATCCGCCGCTCGGCCGGTCGCCCGGTCGGGCGTTGGTCCCACGAGTTCCTGGACTTTAAACAAGCAAGGGAAAAGATATAAACTTTAAACCTTCTTCTGGCCAATCCACTCATGACGCTCAGGAAATGCGGATTGGGGTTAAGCAGTTACCACTTCGCTAGCTTCCGAAACTTCCTATGCAGGCCTCGTGCAGTTTGCACGCCAGATCCTGAAGTCCGAGGACGGATTTTGTCTTGGTCGTGTGCTCGCCAATCTGGTGTTTTGCATGTCATCTGACAAAACGGGGGTTGTACCCCAACTAAGCAATGACTTGTGTCCTTTGCGGGTCCCTTATCAAAGTGACGGTTGTCTCTTCATGGGGGCAGACAGTCCTACCTTGTTGCATGTTCCTGCATGCCCGACCATGGCATGCTAGTTGGGGGTATGCATTGTCTTAGAAGAGCAGTGTACCGATTCCCGAGATGCGTGCTTTGTTCCTTGCCCTAGCGATGCCCCTGGCATGGTTCAACAAACTTAACCTGGTATGAAGTGGCAATTGATTCAGCTGCAATGTCCTACCCACGCTCTATGCGTCGCCTACATAACATTAGTTGCATAGCCCGTTTCAAATCACTCTTAATGAGGCTCCCAACCAAGTAAGATGACCTTCCTATGGCCCCGGAACTCAACTGGGCAGTACCAAAACAAGGGTTGATTTGGAATAGGGCATGAGCGGGAAACCCATCAGGCAGTATGCGGAAAGGCAAAGCAGTGAATCCCTGATTTTTTGCCACAGCTGCCCACGTCGGTTGCATGCACCGCCCATTCCCCATTAAATGTGGCAATTGTTCAATTGATGAAACGAGATCGGCAGGGTGGGCGCAGCTTAGGATTTGTTCCCCGTTACAAATAAAGACATGAAGCCGGTGCTTCCCCACCATAGATTTAGGTTTGCTGAACGCATGGTGGCTGGCAGCTGATGGTTGCCCCAGATCTTCATTCGCTTTTTCTGAAGCATCCAGAGACCTCAAGCATGGCACCAGTTGTGTGATGCAAGTCTCCCGGGTTTGCTCCCACCAAGCAGCGGTGTTCGGGTATTTGGCCTCATTTGGTGTATTCTAAAGCAGGCTTCTAAGACCTTCCCTGTTGTTAAGGTTGTTGGTCTGTTGATTTTTAGTGGGGGTCTGCAACAAAAACAGAACCAGGTCTTTTTGCTACGTTGTCGAGAACTTTTGCTACGCACCCCCATGCCCGTTGGAAGTTCATCGGGTCCTTCCAGGGCCTGATGCGTGGGCTTTGGCAGCCCGGCTGCACGGCCTGGATGGCCAGCTTTGGAGGCGAAGGGATGGGCCTGGCCCGCCTCCCACCAAAGACGACTCATGAAATGCGACAAAGGCCAGAAACCAAACCGTATCTACCTGGAGTGTGCTTTTGACCCTTCAGTTGATTTGAGTTGTTGAGTTGTCGGGCGACCCACAGAGAAGCAAGCTTCCCTGCGGTCCGAGGAGTCCCTCCACTGTCGGGTTGACGGCATTGCTCCGCAAACGTCATTGCAGCTTCTGACCGATTCAAACATGGGTCCATGACCCCATGATTTTGGGTCATGGCCAACCATTTTGTAAGGGTCACGAAGACTCCAGGAGAAAACAAACCGCATGTACATACAGGGCGCTAGTAGCCCTCCAAAGCGACGCAGGGGGCACAAACCCCAACAAAAACATAACATGGTTCTGGGTGAAGAGGTAAATTTGAGCGCTCGCATGGGCATGATTTATTCGGCCAATCAGCCCAGATCCTGCTTGTTTTGTGTAATCGGGCTGCAATGGGTCTCACCGGTTCAGTTTCCAAACTGTCCACTTTTGATGGCCACTTTGGTATCACTCGAAGTGACGAAAGACATGCTTGGCCTCGGCTGGATTATACCGTTTTCTTTTCCTCACTTCCTGAGCTCCTGGACTTTGAACTTTTTGGGAAGACCATCTTTTGTGATGAATAGAAGCATCAGGCTTGTTGGCCAGTCCACTCAGACAATGAGTTTCCTTTCAGCTTCAATGCAAGCGCAGGCGCCTTCGGCGTCCGCATGGGCATCTATGAATCCGCCCAGCGCTCGGTGGCCGATTGTGTCGACAAATGGGGCGGAAAGATCACGAGCCAGCTGGACAGAGCTCGAGACTAGGCAGATCATTGTTTGTTTGTTTGTTTGTTTGTTTGTTTGTTTGTTTGTTTGTTTTTTTGTTGTTGTTTTTTTGGGGCGTTTGTGTGTTTGTTTGCTTGTTTTGGTTGTTTAATTGTTTGTCTGTCTGTCTGTCTGTCTGTCTGTCTGTCTGTCTGTCTGTTTGTCTGTTTGTCTGTTTGTTAGCTTTATTGGGGGGGTGCTTTTTTGGGGTTGATTTCCTTGCCAAGTTCCCTTTTGCTCAGGCCAACACATCGCAGCCTTCTCCACGGGTTCCGGTGTCATCCATGTGGCGTTCTGACACTTTTGGCAGAGGGGATGTTTGAAGGGGTAATATAGGCAACCCCGAAAATATCCTGGAGTCCCCAAGCAAATCTCCTGCAATTAGGCGTTTTATTGTAGCGACGCGTCTCATGAGTAACGCCCTGGCCAGAGCTTCAGAGAAGATGCATGAAGGTTTGCTTCCCTGGTCGCCTTCTAGAGGGGAGGTTTCGTAATTTGCTGCTCGGAGAGGGTAGTGTCATGGGACCTGCAAGGATGGAAGTGGTGACCATTCCATGGAAGCATCTTATGCTTACCTCACGCCAGGACAAGCCGGGATACGACAAAAACAATGCTACCCAAGATAGTAAGTGGACCTGAATCCCAAGTAAATGGGTGTGGCCCAAAATTGTGCAGCTGGGGTTACGCAGGTTTTATCCAACCGTTTTATTTACCAGGGTTCCATTTTGGACCCCCATTTTTCTGCCACACCCGAATGATGTCACCGAAAGGGTGCAAGCAATGTCAACCCCTGATGAGTCAACCTGGTGGATTTAGCAGGGGTGTTTTCTGCAGTGAAGCAACCCTCAGCGGGCACCTGACAAGTTCCGCCTGTTCGAGGTGCGTTGCGGCGTGGAGTCTACTACCGGCGCTGACAGGACGCCTGCTCCCCCTTGGCGTTCTGGTCATCAACCACTCAATGGGGGGGGGGTAGACGAATGCAAAGGTTGCTATTAAGCGAGTTTGGCCATGGCACGTATATGTACTTGTACTCCAACGACCGGACTCCCTGCGTAAAAACGCATGTCTCTGTTGGGTTCCTTTCAAGCGGCCGAGAGTCGTGTCGACCCTAGGAGCCCGAAGACGGCCTTCCTGGCGGGCCTGTGCCACTGGGCCTGAGATCCGGGCCGAAACTTGATGGCTCGCCATGGGGTACTGGTATTTGCTTGCGTTTTTTTTGGAGGCCCCCGTTTTAGTGTTTTGTTTTCAAGGGAAACCAAAAGCAACACCACTATGAGGGTTCGGAGAATGCCTGATTTCTTGACTGTTTCCCCAAGAGGAGATGATCATTTTTGGCGGTCTCAACCTCTGGTGGGAAATTTGGGTGGGCTACATGTCCTCCCCCAAGCAATGGTTTGGGTTCGTCCCTAAATGGGATATGGAATCCCCCCAATGCCCGGCTTCCCTTGGGTTTCGCATGAATTCCTATGAAACGAGCCCAAAAAGGGTAAACAAAGCGCATCCAGATGCCTCCTTAAAACACCACAACAGAACCTCAATCATCTCGGGCAACAAAAAACGGAAAGGCGAGACACACTGATTTTGGTTTCACTGAAACGATCTGACATGACATGTTGGAGTCTCTAGCTGTCGATTTGAGCGAGTGCTCTCGAGCAATGAGGATGCAGCTTTGGCAAACGGAGTTTGTGTGAGGGACTGAGAAATCTTGCTGGTGCTCAGTAGGGAATGAGGAAATGAACCAAGGGCTCCCCTTAAAAGGAACCAGAAGCGATGGTTTATAGCTGAGCAACAAGAACTGTTCGGAAGGCACTGGCTCCCTTGCCAACTCGGTGTGCTGCCCCTTCTTCCAAGCGAAGAACCGGCTGCAGGCGGGCGCCCTAGGCTTTGAGAGGCCTCGTGGCTCGAGTGCTTTCCGATGTTGCACTTTTTGGGGTTTTGAATGGAAATGAAGGAACACCCAGTTCCTTGTTGGGAGTTCCCCCCCCTTTTGAGCAAAGCAATATGCCTCAAGTGACTCAAGTTGTCTTTTTTGGGGTATAAACCTCACGGCGCGATGCGAAAAACCACCAAGAGCGAACACAGCTGCCAAGCCGTGGGCTACGTGGAATGGTACACTCGACCAAAGCGAATCGACAGGATCTTACCTTTTTGGTGACCTTTTGGTTGTCCAGTTTTCTAGGCAAGGTCACAAACTTGACCTTTGTATTTCCCTCTCCTTTGGGCAAGTGAGACTAACCTGGAACCTATCAGGGGGGTATAGAGGAGTTTGGCTTCTAGTCTTCGGTCCATTTAGCTTTCGGGACATGGAGCGGACTCTAAATGTCAACCACAAAACCCAGACTCACCAAATGTCCCATGTCCTCTTAAGTGGGGGAGACGACCTTAGACCGCGGCTCATGTGGGTGGTTGGAAACCCGGCGCTGAGGCGCAAAGCAGTGCATCCGAGCGGAGGACTCCATTGCGAATATTCGGGTGCGTCTTGCTTGGCCAACACATATTAGTTGATCATAAAGAAAGACCAAAGGGAGCCAAGCCATTGTTTAGGCTTCCTCAGTTCTTTGGACACACCCGGCCTTCCAAAAACAAGCACGCTCTGCAATGCTCTGTGGTTGGTCATATTTGTGTGAGGAATCTATTCATTGACCAGTGGCTTAGAATTCCGGGGTCAACATTAACCAATCCAGTCACCAGTGGCCAACCATCATTTCTTACCTCTCAGATAAAAGGGTTCAGTTTCCGGGAGCACTGGAAGCGCTGGGTTACGTGATGTGCAACCATAGGGTTGAGCTCAACCCCCTTTAAAGGAATGGCCAGGACCCAATTTGGAGGATGGCAAGCTTAGGGTAAACCATGGTGGTTATGTGAACCCAGCCATTGTTTTAATGGTGGTTGCTGAATCCCAGGGCAACCAGACTGCCAGGAGCCTTTTGGGTGAACTGGTGGCGATCACCAACGAGAGCGGCTTCACAGGCGGGCGGTGCTCCATTGATGTTGTGGTAATACTGTGGATGGATGAAATCCGCTCGCACCACTTTGAAACCATGCGAAAACATTGATTGTTGGTATTTACAGGGGAGTCATCATCCCAGGGATGCTTAGGTGGTGCGAAATGGACTTCGTAAATCCACAGTATGTTCCGCCGCGCATGTGCAAATGCTACTTAGCACAAGAAAGTTAAGCGTCCGTTGCGAGACATGTGACAGTTTGTCCGTGCCAGCCAACCCAGCGTCCAAGGCTTGTACAGAGGAGTACCTGCACTCTTCATGAGGCCGGCCGGTTCCAAGTGGATCAATGAAGCCTTTGTTCAATTAGCTGAATTGCCTCTCCCAGATAACTTCTTAGAGCCTTTCTAAGAGCTGCTTCTAAGCATGTTCAAAAAACTTCCGGGGGATGGCCTATGGTGGTTCTGCAAGTGGCAGTTGCCACTAGATTGCAACTGTCCCGAGTTTTCAGATGGTTAACAGTTGGGTTGCTGCAACATCTTGTGGATCCTAAAACAAGGCTTGCGGGTTTGTAGGCGCCGTGTCCAACCAGATCAAACGATGGAGGCAGCTGACGTTCATCGAGAAATTTACACTCTCTTCCTTGGACGTTAGGGCTGAGGCGAGTCTTTGATGTTCTTTCTGCATTCACCAATCCCCAAAGGAGTCCTGATGAGCTCTATATGGGTCCCTGGATTCTTGAGTATGGAAATCTGTAAGCAGCGCTAGCTGGCCTTGTGAGCGCCAGTCCGATGATGCAAATCGCTTCTCTCAAAGGCTTTCAGGCACAGGCCACAGTAATTACCCAAAAGGAGTTGTCGCGTGACTGGATGTTCAGCAACAGCGACTAAAACGTGAAAGGAGAAGAACCCCACCCCCGTTTCCCTACGCACCGCCTGTCACGCACTTCCACCTCTCTTGCGCAAAACCGTCTGTGCTTAAGGACACTTTGCCCAGTGCTGCAAAGTTTAGCACCCCCTCCCCCGGTTGCCCCCCGCTCCAAACCTTCCCAACCGGAACGTGCACAAAGTGATGAACGTTGGCGAGGGACCCGCTAGCGTATTCGTATTTGGTGCAGGGGGTCGGACTTGGGTGTGTCAGGACCCCCCAAAATGGATTTGTTGCCTTTGGGTTTCCCTTTACAGCCAACCAAACGACGATTACCAACTCCAAAAAGACGAGCCACCCGCTCGGGATTCCAGATGCCTAAAGCTGAGGGGCGGACTCATCGCTGGGGGCCAGCTGTTCGGCTACGATACGAAGCTCGGAGGGAAGGGAGTGGGAGTCCAGGGAGTTCGCTGATTTTCTTGCTAGGAATCAGCCGGGCTTTTTGGAATCCGGCAGGGGGAGCCCAAAAATACAGCCACCCGTTGGATGGTTTGGGGGTACCAAACCAATCCCGAAGCAGAAATGTTCTGGAGGCTTAGAGGTGCGGCCTTCTCCATCGCGCGAGCTTCCTGCAGGGTTCCCTATGTTTGCCCTTTTGGTGGTTTTAAAGCTGTTCCGTGTCCTGGTGGGGTGATGCTTGAAGGGGAAGTATTCAGAACCCTGTGCTGTGTGTGCTTCTTCGCAACGGTTTCTCTGCACTTTGACCAGTTCAACCATGCCCAGACAGTTCAGACTGGTTTTTGGCACATGGGATTTGGGATCCTTCTAAAGCGCCGATTTGCTTCGTGACTGAGGACAAAGCGGTTCCTGGTCGCCCAGGGTGTGCAGGAGGCTGGGAAGCGGCGACTTGCAAGCTGACGGGGTTTGGAAGACTGGGTTTTTGACGTGCCCTTTGTTGGAAGGAAGGCCTGCGGCACTTGGCCATTGAATGTTGCCCAGGTCGACGCATAATACCCGTTTTGTTTCTTTGTTCCTTCTCGGGGAATCCCCTGACGGCTGACTTGGAACCACAAACTTTCAGTCGTCGTATCGTTTAAGCTTTTGATTGCTTTCCAGTTGCCAGTGGATATCTTTGGCGCTTTCTGTCATTCAAGGTTCAGTCTGTCAAGTTCAGTCGGTTGCTCCGAGTCTTAAAAAAAAGATCAATCAAAGCGGGTAGACTCGGGTAGACAATTTGGCTTAGGGGTCCCTTTCCAAGGGGCCAACAGCTCCTTATCGTGTCTTTGGAGCCAGGTTTTGACTTGACTGGTCACCATGATAGCGGATCAAGTCATTTCCCCTGCAAGAACCAGATGAGTTGAACAAGGGAGGGTTTTAACACTCAAGCAGCTCTACATATTATATCCGTTTTACACAGGCGCTGTTGTTGCTGCCCGTCATGGAATTGATTGGCAAGCAAGGAACCAAGGAACGGGTATGAACAAGGGGGTGTTGGGCACCCACTTGCAGGGGTTAACAGGTTCTTTGCACCCCTGTCCACCGGAGGTACTATAGAAATCATGGGTTTCAAAAGGAAACCAAGGGTTCTGTACACACACACACAACATGCCAGTTTTTCCAGCTTGTGGATTTTTAAGGGCGTTTTTTGTTTTGTTTTTTTGTCACAAGTTGGTTTTCAACCTTTCCGTTCTTTTTTGTGTGTTTTTCCTTTTATTTGTTTCCGGGTGGTGGGGTTTTGTCAAGTCGGTTTTTTGCAACCAGACCCCGGCCCCTCCTTTCTGGTTTCCGGGCCGCAAGGCTTCGGCCAGCTCCCGCCTTAGCGCAGGGCCCAGTGGTGCACCTGGCCTCCTCCTCCGTGTCCGCCGTGACCGCGGTCATGGCCTCCGCCCCCGCGGACGTGGTGCTGAACCGCTACCAGGCGAAAACGGACTCGGAGGTGTCAAGGGATCGCCGGTGCCAGGCAGGCGCAAAGTGACACCTACTTGAACTTTGGTGCATTTTGCCAAGGGATGTTAGGACTGAATAACTGTTTGCCAACGAATTTGGGGTTTCCAGTAAACCACTAAAAGTTCAACTTTTGGCAGGGGAGCAGAAAGCAACCGAGCACTTTGATCCCTCCAAAACCAGAGGGTACCAGGCGCTAAGAATCATGACTTTGACACCTATAACATCCTATCACTCTAATCCCACAAAAAACCGCGTGCCAGCAAAGCCTCTGGTTTTCAAAAGGGGACCAAACATGGTTCTCAAAATAGGGGACCCCCTTTTCAGGATTCGAAGGGATACAAACGAACCTAAGGCATTGGGTCCCAATGTGGCACCGCGCAGCGTGTTTCTCATCAGATTCGGACCTTGGTTGGTGTTCTTTTGGTTGCCCAACTTCACCTGCCAAAAAGTCGTGGCCTATCTTGGTGTGACCTATTTAAAACACGTTGAGCAGCAATAAATTGTGTGGTAGGATCCGTTGGTTAAGAACGAAAAGCAGGAAACTGGAAGCACTGGGACTCGCCCCGCCTATTTTGTTTTGGGGGGAAAGGGGCAGTTTACAGTTTCCCGGACACGGCTTAATTTGGGAGAGCTTTGAATCGAAGCGCCACATCCAAGAACACTCGACCCTATGAGCGCCTTCGCTTCTGCTTGCAGCTTTGCCCCGCCTGCCGTTCTTCGTCCACACACCTGTGACCCCCAGAAACCTCGGGCTTTGGGCTCCGGCCAGTTCGGCAGAAGTTGCCCACAGCCACTTTCGACCGAAACGGAAACGGGAGTTGAAATGGAGTGATTCGAGATGCTAATCTTAGCAGTACGGATGTGGGGGTTGGCCCCGAACGGCCCCTGGTCCCCCGTCGAGTGGTTTTGGTTCGGCCCCGAAGGCGGGCCCACGCATCGGCAAGAGCTACGGCAGCTTGCTGGAGGTTGCCTCGGAGCTGGCCAGGCGCAACAAGAACAAAACGCGAGGTGGTGAGCATTTTATATACATCATATATATATGTATATATATATATATACCAGCATATTATACTAGTAGCTGGTTCGATCAATTATACTATATACTGCTATATACTAGTAGCTGGGTCCATTACCTGGTTTCATAGGGGTTATAGCAAGGCCGACAAAGATTTGGCCCAAGTGTCCTGTCCATCTTCCATTTGAGATTCGGGGTGCGGGACATGGGGGCCTCACGACACTTCACCCACAAAACACGGAAGACTTCGCAATACATCTCCCATGTCCAGTAGAACCGTAAAGTTCCGTGGTTCGTTTGGCATTCATAGCACGAAAGCTCTGGTTCTTAGCTCGGGTCCTTGGGTCCCTGACTCGAATCGAGAGCCACCCTGTTCTGGATCAGTCCCTCCCTTAAGATTCGCTCCTGTGAACCCCAGCTGAACGGCACAACATGATCGTCTCGACAGCCACCCGAAAGTCAGGGCTCCTCCATTGAAAGCCACATGGGACTAAATCAAGCAGATTCACAACGCCACGAAATGGTGGTCTTCACCAAGCGGGGAACACACTTTAATGCATTCGGCAGGATATATCAAATGTTCATTCCGAAATGAACAGCCCACCACGAGTATAGCTGCAGGAGTCGCCATCGGAACTCACACTGATTGACCTCCATTCTATGTGGTTTATGTGCGCGCAAACTAGCCTGGGGGTCAACCCTTTTGTTCCGTGGGCTTCATTTTCGCCTTGAGCCAACACGTGGCCCGAGCGATTTCCCAAATCACCCGCTCCGCATCGCGCGGAGTTGCAGGAATGAGGGGCCACTGGCCTTCTACAAGGCCGAGCCCGTGCTCGAGGGGCCTGTGCTTCTCCTGGGGGGACACCCCGTCTCCCGGGTTCGAAGCGCCTTTTTAGGAAGGTGCTTTGACAATTTTTGACCCCGCAGCAAGCATCCTTTGGGTCCGATTGGTGCAGTCCTCCAGATTATGACGTTGGCATTACGAGCGCAGGGCGTGGTGCCCAACGTCATCAAGTTTTTGCCGCCTGGCACTCAGCATGCGGTGCCACCTGCATGCATGGCCTAAACCAACCATTGCTAAATTGGCTGTTCATTCTTAGTCGTGCTCAATGCGCTCACAGATGTGCTCACGGATTCCTTGTTCGCGCGGAATCTGGAACAGAATGCTACCAGCGATCGCACTCTCATTCGCAAAACCCCCAAGGTTAGGCCCCGGCCACAAATTTTTGTTCGCCACTTTCCAGAGACAAGGGATGCGGGTGGGAGCAACGGGCGTTTGCTGGCTTTCACGAAGTGAGCGTCCGAGCTTTTCAGCATTTCTTGCGTCCCCTTTGAAGTTTTCCTTCAGTGGAAGAACTGGTATCTATTCGAGGACCATGGACCATAGCCCGTGCATCCCCAATATCGGGCGGAAGACATGATCCAACTTCAGAACCTGGAACTGCCCGGCGAGAGATCCCACAGCTGTCGCTTTTGGTAAAGGGATATTTCGAATCTTGTCCCTGGAAATCAGCCGGTTTTCTTTTTGTTTCCCTGGTCTCCCTATAGGTTTCCCTTCTAATGGTCCTTTCTTGTGCGTGTTTCCCATCCAAAATTCGGAGGTCTCCGCTTCGACGTTCCTCGGCCATCGAGGCTCTTCCTCATGAGCATGCCACTTTTCGAGCAGTTGCCCGGAGCCAAGTCGGTGTCCGCGAAAAGATGGTGCGCGTGTGTGTGTGTGTGTGTTATCAAATCAACGTCTTCTTCATCTATGCATTCTTGTATGTCTGTCACACGTATTACATATTATACGTTTATTGAACATAATACATTATGCGTATTGTATGTAATTATATCATACATATATATATATATATATGTCAAAGGGACACCGTATTTTTGGGGGTTGTTTGTCTTCCGTGACGGGCATCAACTCTTGGATCTGGAAGGTTCACGCTCGTTGCCCGGTGGTTCAGTGGCACCCTGTTGTCTTCTTTGGTGCTTCCCCGCTGAAGCAGTCAATCCCGTGTTTGTTTGCCACCTAGTAGGGTCACTAAACAAACAGGGTGAACGCGTCCCTCTTCGGGCTTCAGGGACCCTGGAGTTCTGGGGGATGCGACGCAGGCGACGTCTGGCCGGGTTGGGCTACCTGAGCTGATGCCTGATGGATCAATCAGCACGCCCCGGAAAGGAGTTGAAGGATGATGTGAGGAAAAATGGTGGTTTAACTTCAGGATGCTTCCTTTGGACATGAGATAGTGAGGTTCAAACCGCGTTGGGGCGCGTTGCGAAGGGGGACTCAAGCCCGGACGTATGTGATCGACCGGCGGGGCCTTGCCGCGTCGGTGCCGGAATCGGGTGCCAGGTTGGGTCACCATTTCCCGGACTTTCAGTGCCCTGTTAGCCTTCTTTTGGATCCCTTCAACATAAACTGCCAAAAGGGTGGCGGTTTTCTCCGTGGCCACTGAATGTCCGGAGTTTGGGGGGGTGCCGAGATTTTACTACCCACATGGACTCTCCATCATCTGTAAAGAGGGGAAAAGGACGCGCGCCCCACCAGTTTCGCAACAGCAGAGAGCTTCCCGTCGTGATGTATATGGATGTAGCAGGTTCCTGACATGTCGTGCGCTTCCAGTTCAACCATGGCACGAAACTGGAGAAAAACACAATCTAAGACTTTATGAGATAAAATATGGTTCCTGGAGATTCAAACGTCAAGGAGTTCCTAACAATTCTTTACATACCCTGTTTTGGACGCAAATGCCCGCAAGTACCGCAAAACACCGGCAAAGAAGGGGGCAAATGCCCGCCCAAAACGCACAAATATGCAAAGCACCTAAAACGCCTAAAACGCCCTGAGAAGCTGAACGCCTAGGAATTCCTCGGAACCTCCAGGTGAAATTTAGAAACTGAGTCGGAAAGGCAAGGGAAGACACCTTTCTCATTGTGCGATTGGGGCATCTTTCATGCCGGCTGTGAGTGCATTCCGAGACCTGCCAGTGTGGAAGCCGTCCATGGCTCAAGGCTTGTTTGCTTTAGGCACCGCTTAGGGCTCAGATGCCAATCCAAGCCCACCAGCCATTGACAGAATGCGGTCAAGAGCAAAACGCAGAGCAACATTTTAGCGATCCGCACGGAAGCCGTGGCCGGAGCTCTGAGGGTCCGCTTCTTGTGCAGAGAGCGCAAGAGAGAGCTTTGCAGTCGTGTTGGGGGGTGTCAATATGCCCTTTCAGTGCGGCAACCATGTGACAGGAGCTCAGCCAAATCCATGGGAAACCAACAGGAAACCAACTACCCCTAGGCCCCCGAATACCGGGAATCCAAAAAATGCTCGGTCCTCCTTCATTTCCCTTGAGTGTGCTACGCAAAAACATCACCGGCTTGGCAAGCTTCTTAGCCTTTTGAACTTTGGTTTTCGGTGTTGGTCTACGTTTGTGGTCCCATCAGGACTTCATTTCCGTGCTGCGGTCATGTCTCAGGGGTTGCTCCAAGTTCTTCTGCCTATGACACGAGGGTAGAAGATTTGGCTTCACGGATCCTTGATGTCTCTTTACAAGGAGCATCCAGGAAGCCACATCTCTATCCTTAAGGCGATCGAGTCTTAGCAACCCTTGGGAACGGCCATGTCAGACACAACTTCTATCTTCGAAGGAAGGCCTCGATTCTGAGTTCGCGCTTGCGGTTTGGTGGCGCCAGGGCCGCGCCTAGGCTTCGTCTTTGCCTGACTGAAGGATCCCCCACACCGGAGAGGCGTGCCTGATGCCATTTGAGGCTTCGGCCATGATTCACATTGTTTGCTTCTTGGAACCCCCGAAAAGGTGCCTGGAGTTTCAATCAGGAACCGCACAATGGGCGGCTTTCCTATTGTTTGTCTTTCCTTCTCGGGGAACTCTCCTCCAGCCTGCAACAGGAAAAGTGATGAAAAGGCCAATCGGATCAGAACCTTGTCTTTTTTCGCCGCCCTTTAAATGGGCACAGAACCGACCAACCCGCAACATGCGAGCAGCATGCAATGAGCTGAGGGCGATGTTGTCCCGCAGCCGGCAGGCGCGGCAGCGCCAAGCCTGGGAACTTGTCGAAGTGTGGACAACAACACATCAATATGCCTGTGCTTTGAGGAACTAAGAAACCATGAGAAGCCAAAGAACATCCAGGGTTCTCATACGCGAAGGAATTGTTGTTGGGACAGGGCGTGCCAGAATTCACACACTGAAAGCAACTCAGTCTTTTCATTCTCATCAGCTCCAGAAAGAATTCGATTCCAATGGCCATCAAGTGGTCTTTGGCCAAGCTTCAGTCCTAGCAATCGGGGCCTGTGGCAGCAAAGGGCCACGTCTGGTCATTGATATCGTCTTTCATCTGCTTTTTTCAGGCTAATCAATGGTGACACTCGTCTCTGGGAAACATCACCTTTGATGATCAACGAAGAAGTGGATCGGTTTGTTTCTGCGCTCCACGGGGTGATGGCCAGGCTGTAAGATACCGTCAGGTGCCGGTCTTCCGCTTTGCAAGAGCAGCAAGTACCCTGCAGGACGGGAATCGGGAGGCTGTCGGCTTTGTAAATAAGAGTCATCCTCAAAACAGCCTCCTTGGTGTTAGGCATGGACATGGACTTCCCAATAGAGAACTTAGACAGCCATGACAAATAGTCCTACTAAGGTGGCCACGCCCATGGGCCCCGCATCAGATGTTTGACCATGGCAGACAGGGCACTGTTTGGCTCCACAAGGGACTCCAATCCGGACAGTTTGCGCATCCAGTAAGGGAACTTTTGGGTTGAACTCATCCTTCCGGTAGTTCTGCTGGAAGTGCTTTCAACATGATCTCCGGGAGATGCGCATCGCAACACAATTGTGGCATAAGTGAGTTCTAAGAAGAATCATACTACAAGTGTTCAGAACTACATCATCCGTACTGTTGCTCATCTCTGCAGGGCCTCAGCAATAACCCAAGCTCGTTTATGCTCCACGCACCACAATGATATTGTGATCCCTTCAAGCACACATTTACTTAGAAGCCAGCGGACAGCTTTGTAAGCACCCTCGTGTTGGGGGATGACTGCCTTAGCGCCCTCGTTTGTGGAAAGACCTCTGACCGACCGAGAAGCGCGCTTGTTTCAGTGTTGATCACCTAAGCCAACCGACCACACCACGGCCCATAAAGATTGTTTGTCCAAGGTCACCTTTTCTGCGCCAGTTTCTGCGTTAGCCCACCAGTTGTTTTTGCAGGAGCTGTGGGCATCTGGTGCTTCGGTGACGGATATCGCCGGGAGCTCTGGGGGAGCTCAGTCAGAGTTGGGAGTGTTGAGGGTAACTAAAAAAATCGACCAACACCACCACATCTTCGAGGTTTTCCTATTTAGAGACAGACAATTTAGGATTGTTGGGCGCTTCCTACAGACTGTGGTGATTGTGGGTGCTAGTTCCCCTAGAACCAGCAAACCAATCCAGGGGATCATGTTGGGCATGGCGGATGGATTGGGAGCGAAGGTCCACTTGGAAACGTGGTATGCGGATTTGAAAGGGTGCCCATCGACCAATTGTGCCTCCCGATTGAAACTAGAGATCAGGTCCGGTCGGTGTCCTCCCTTGTTCCAGTTCAAGGTAGTTGTGCCCTTCCTAAGATTTTCTTGGCACGGGCTAACGCTGGAGCATGGATGGGGTCCAGTTGATTTCGTCTTAACCAAGTTATGGACCAAAGGGCTTCAATTCCAATCTGCCACAAAACCCAGAAGAGCTCGCTTGTTCACATGTCTAGCAGGGTGACCGCATATGTTCATAGGATCCAACACCCCTCAACCCCCCCTTTGTTTGTTTCCCCCCCAAATAAAACTCAGTTAAACCCAAGGACCCTTTGTCAAAATTACACCACCAGACCCTAGGTTTTAGTTTTTTCTCATTGACCAGGAGATCCAAAAGCCTCTAAACATGTCATGCCCCCCAAGAAAAACACGAGTTCCTGTTTGGGGAACCGATGTTTCTGTTCCCACTGTTTGGGCGAGCCCGTTGGACAGGCGGCCGAGTCCTGCGACCGCGCCGCGCGAGCAGATCGCCATGCCGGGGCCCGAGATTCGTTTCGTGGGGTGCGAGTTGCCGCTGAGTGGCAAGCCGTTTTGGGTTTTCGAAAGCATGTGTGTGAGTGTTTTTTTTTTTTGTGTGTGTGTGTGTGTTTGTTTGTTTGTTTGTTTGTTTGGTTGGTTGTTGGTTCTTGGAGTAGGGGGGTAAAGCCCTTGTTAGATTGGAGTTTGGTTCTTTGTTGGATTTTACGCATGCGAGAGGTGAGGTATGGTGAGGTGAATGGAATAAGCCGTCGCACTCAGCGGAATTGAGCATGTGCAACGTGAGAGATGTCAACTGTTCCTTGTTGGTTTCGTCGGGTAGGCGAAAGACATCTAGGGAAGCTGGGCATGGCCTGCAACTTGGCCCAATCCCATTAATTAGCGAGTAAGGCCATTTAGGGGCGAGTGGGATTTCTTTTGGGTGCTGTTTTGTTTGTTTGTTTGTTTGTTTCTTTGTTTGTTTTTTTGCCGGGGGGGGATGCGACACGGAATTGAATTTGGCGGACGAGTGTTGACAAGCTGGTGGCCGTGTGTGAGTTTCGCAAAGAAGCCTGCCTACGTTTTGTTAAACTGTTGTTGACACCCTTCCACTTGTTTTGGTCGTTGTGTACTGCGAGGAATGGGTGCACCTGGTGCCCAAACAGCAGGCGCGATGGGGCGCGTTCCTGTTGGATGGCTCCCTGAGTGCAAGGAGAGAGCAACAGTTGGGTGACCCTGCAAAGTGGGCTCTGGCAAATTAGCTCCGGGATACCACACACATGATAGTGCTTTGTTGCAAGCTGGAACTTTTATGAAACCCGTTTATGCAACATCCTGAAACAGGGCAATGAGGAGCGATTCCCCCCCTCCGAATTTGCCTTTTAAGGAACCAGCTGGCACAGCCATATAGGCTTACGTGCTTGTAACCTTTTTGCCGCGTCCTTGTGATTGCTTGGCGGAGGTGCGCTAGTTACCTCGTTGCAACAGTGAAGGATAAAACATGATTCTGGTCGCTTGAGTGTTGGGCACGTGGATGGCTTCTCCGAAGTCGAGTCAGATGGCGCGTTTCAATGTGGGGACCGTCCCAGAGCCGAGTTAGGCTCCGAGCTCCGAGGCTCCAACCTGAGAGTTCTCATGTTCAAAGGCTTGTTGGATGGCAAGCGATTTGCCTTGGAACGAGCAAGGGGGCTGGAGAAGAGGCGTTGGGCAGGTTGAGTAAGCTGCCTGCCTCAAGTTGAGCCGATGTTGGGAGCCAGCCACAATGATGCCATGTTGCATCCCACGCACAAAACCGTCGCCAATTTGAGGTAAAGAGCATTCCTTTAAGCAACAGTGCTGAATTGTTCCAGACCGGTCTGGGAAAATCGCGTTGAAGAAGAACTGGGCATACATTTCCCCCCAACTGGAAGCATATTTGGCCGCCCGTAGAAAGAGGTGTTGTTTAGAATGGCAGGAAGCATTGGCAACTGGAACTTTGGGGTCTCCTCCAAAACATAAACAGTATGAACATGTGATGAATCGGGACCAAATGACCTGCAAACCATGTGTTTGTTCCCCGTTTGTTTGTGTTTTTTTTTGGGGGGGGGGTTCTGCGACCAAATGCCCCAACTCTGCAAAAAAAAGGTTGCCATTTTCTGTGTAATGTTGACCCAGGATTAATAAACCCGTGGTGTTCCCTCCAAAAGTGGTCCGAATCCAACCACTAAAAGGGGCCACCCCCTATGAATCAACCATGGGTTTATTGATCCGGGCTTAGCATTACCTGCTCGGCCCAACTTTGCGGCTGTGTGTGCGCTTGCCACGTAGGTGCTGGCGGAGGCCAAGGCGCTGCAACAGAAAGCCGCCTCCATGAGCCAGGCGACGCGGCAGTTGGCGCAGCTGGTTTTCCAGTCTAGGTCCCCCAGTCCCCTTTCTCACCCCTCTTTTGGGGGAGGGTTCCTACTAAAATAGACTACATAAGAAAGGGCACCCCTTATTCGAACCTGTCTACTGGAGGACCTAGCAGTAGTGGCCAGTCCTACTCTGGATGGGCGCAGTTTTCCATTTCGGTTTCGAATTGAAACCGTGGTGGTAACCATAACGTTTGTTGGTATTTGCAGGGGGCATCGCATCATTCCGGGGTTTCTTAGGTGGTGCGCAATGGATTCGTCCATCCACAGAATTGGTTTATCTCAAAATAATGGAACCCAAGAAATGGGCGGCTTTACTTTCGTTTCAATTGCACCCCTTTGGTGGGTACCTTCTAAAACAAAACCATATTTATATTATTTTTGACAAGGTCCCAAAAGGTCAACCTTTCGCTTTCAGGTCCCAAAAGAGCAAGCTGGGACAGACCCGAAGAATGGGGTGGGGTGGAATGTGATAGATGGTCCATCTACTATCTGATGGTGGCTGGACCATCTTGGTCCTTTCCTTGAAACTGTACAGATAGGCTAAATGGTCAGGGTTGCCCCTGCCTTAGATGCCCAAACTGGGGTTGGGTAGAAGTTTGGTCTCACGATGTACCGTTCCTGAATTCCGGTTTTGGAGCCATTGTATTCGCAGATTGACCAGGCAACGTTTGGGTGAACAGGCGGTTTGGTTTCCTTCCGTTTTTTTGTCTCCACCCTTCCAGAGCTTTCGGAGCAGAGCCCTCAATCGTCCGGGAGGGTGCTCATAGAATCCATCTACCGGAAAGGTGCAGGCCATTCGCCAAGCACCCTCCAAGACGCCAAGACAAAGAGGAGTAACCCCTGCTGGAAACATACAATCAGAGGGTCGGAGGGCAAATCCGGTACTCTTTAAACCTAATAAGGCAGGTGCCAGATACAGTGCTGAACATGGTTTAATCAGAGGAAACCATCATGTGAGGCCTAGAGGTAAGACCTCCTGATTCCCAGGCATGGTGACCGGCCCGAAGCACTGGGCCGTTTCGCCAGGGTTTCCTCTTTTCATTCTTGCGAGTTGTCTTGGGGAGCGGTCCGTTCGGGGCGCGGGGTGTTTTTCCTGCCAGGAGCAAAGACGGAGAGAGCTTCCACTCCTGGGCTCCACCTTCGCGGTGAAGGACAACTTGCAGGCAGGGCTCTGACGAGCGACTCGCCCCAGGGTCCTACAAACTGGGGTGGCCAAGGAAGACTCAACCCGAGGGTGTCCCTTTTGATCGAAGTTCGCGACTTCCGGGTTGGAAATTATAGTATGCCTCCTAGACCAGAACAAACCTTCGACGTAAAGGATTTGGAAGCTTAGAGCAAGGCCCAGCTTACACAAGAGGCGTTCAACCTCCCAGCGTAGGGCCTAGCCCCCTTGGAGTCGAAGGGAAGGAGGCTCGAATCATGAGCCGAGTTTTGGGGGAATCCCCGTACTGCAAGGCTCCCTGTGGCTGCTCATGCCCGTCAACGGTTTGACGGCCATTCCTACAAAGGCAATTGTCGGGTCAATAATGTCCTTTGACATTGCTGGACTTAAGTCACCTTCCCTTTTTTGCTTTTTGGTTTGTCTTCAAGACCAAATAACAACAATGCATGCCAAGCCGAGGCCTTGCTGCCCTTCCCCCGATGTAGGCGAACATGTGCCTCGCTGTTTGTTGGTTTTCTCTTGTATCAGCCTGCCCGTCATGGCCCCCTTTTGACGCATGACTACAAGTCGGTAGGCCGGGTATGTAAGTTGTTGCAACCTTGTTTGCAACCCAGATGGAATCCCTCAAGCGGAGTCAGTCTTCTTGTGACCTGCTACATTTTGCAACCAGAGTTACGAAGTACTGGGCCGAGCACCCAATGTTTACCACACAAACACCCCCTCGAGCCACTTTCCAAGAACCCCACAGGCTTCCTCAGTGTGACATTCACATAGGCGTCCTTTGAACAGGTTTTGTTGAAGATAGCATGCGCTGCTTTCTATTTGGTTGTAATCATTCGCCAGCACCATGTGCATTTGTCCCAAAGACATTCACCAGGAGTTCCAATGGCTATGTGTGTCCTTTTTTTGGGGTACCTTCAAAGGTCCAATATTGTGGTTTTCCTTTGAAACCCCCGAAAAATGGGGGGGGGGGTACCTCCAAAAAAAAGACGAGCCACCCATTTGACAGAAATGGGGGCCTGGTTTTCCAGAAAGAAGCCGCAGGTTGCAGGCCTCCCGACCACCAACGCCATGGACTATCGCCCACCCAGGCACGGTGCCGTTGCAGGCATTGGTGACCAAGGGAAACCATCATGTCAAACCTAGAACGAAATCCCTGGGTACCTTCATGTACCTTCTGTGGCAACTGGAAGCACTTTTTGTGTTTCTTTTTCGATGAACTCCAATCTACTCAGTCTTTGGCATGAAAGGAATTCTTACGGAGAAACATTTCTACGGGAATCTTTTGCGGCGGTCTGTCGTCTGAGCCACGCAGCTGGTCCAGGGCTTTGTCACGCATTCACTGTGACAAGACGAGACACGGCCTTCACGGTCGAGGGGGGTTGCTTCGACTTGTACAACACTGAGGGTGTCGGGGGTCCTTTTGGCATCCCACAACGGACGCCGACACAGGGGTGTCGAATGAGGACGCTTGCTTACAAATTGTTCTTGGCCGGCTTCCTGTATGACCCGCTAGCTTCGGATGCAGTGGTTTAGGTTTGCGAACTTGGCGTTAACACAGTCCTGATTTGCAAAGCAAGATTTCTCAACCAAGTGCTTCAAATGATGTTCACACGCGTGGGGAAGCTCCTTGAAAGAGAACGCTCTTGAAAAGGCTTTGTATGCAGTTCTTGTCGCACCATTGTTTTTCAAATGCGCCTGCTGAAACGGCAACTGAACATTACAATTGTCAAACAACATGAATGGGGTTGATTTAGCGCCTCATATCGTATAGGGTCCGTCTGTACCCTTTTAAGGATGGCCAATCAGATGTCAGAAGAGCCGGCATAGGCAGGCGCCCATCGCGAAGAGAAGCCTTGGTCTCAGTTGGCACGGTGGAGAGGGTTCTCTTGCGGCGACGGGGGAGGAACGCAGGAACGGGGTTGGCACAGGTCGAGCTACCTAGATGTCCCTTTCAAACAATCCATGGTTTAGTCGCAGTTGTCACTTGCCAGTGGTGGGTTTCCTTTTGATGGGGGATGCTGTAGGCTGAAACTGACGGACTCCTGCAGCGAATGTTAAGCTCTAGTGGCAATCAAAGCCAAGGCATGGCTCCGGTGCGGGGCTTCAAACTGTCCGTGTTGGTTACGAGCGATTCCGACGGAATCGATTGCAAGCAACGGCAATGCCTTCCCCAAATCCCCAATCTACTTTGGGGTACTAGGAACGACACGGGCAGTCTAGACTGTTGAACTTGCTACAGGAACAAGGGGTGTACCATGTTGCTTACGAGTAAACGATGAAACAGGTTTCCAGCAAGGTAAACACATTTCAGAGAGGGGGGCGTTTTTCCGGGCTGTTGCCGCAATCTGTTCGAGCTGCCAAAGTTGCCTTTGCCCAGCCGTGTTTGCAAGTCGCAATGCAGGGCAGCTAAGGATGCCACCCACAGAAGCTATAAGGAAGGCACGCCGAAGCCACCGTCAGCTATTTCAGATGGGCAGTCCAACCCGGTTTCACATATAATCCTCGGTTTGCATTCACTCCTGGCGAACCGGCCCTACTGGCTGCAGAGCGCTCGATTTCTTGGCTGAGCCCAGTCCTCTTGGAATTCAGGGAAAACCCCAGGTCCTCACGCGCTCCAGGACCCCTAGGTACCCTGAAGGTGGCACAAGTCTCTGGTCCAAGGAATCACAAGAAGGTACTTCAAGCCGCTACGCCTCAACAGCTATCAGGGGTACTTGGACCCTCTGGGATTGTATTTCAGGATAAGTCTCAAATCGGGAAAACGGAAGGGAAGCGGGCCGCATTCTCGCGGACCTGCGCGGCTTTCTTCGACAAGTTGGAAAGGAGTCCTTTCGCCTGCTTGGAAGGCATGGGCTTCCTGCCTCAAAGAAACCCCACACTTTTGGGAGGGGGGCCAACTTATTCTCTACCAATCAGGATCATACCTTTTGAGTATGTGAACAGATGCTCTATTTCCAACCGCTCGAGGATGGACGAGGGCTTTCTCAAAAAGGAAAGACGTCTTCCAAGAGCTTCCGGCTTAGGCGCAGCCGTGGTGAAGCAGCTACAGGCTCGTCCTCTCGGAATTTGTCACCTGTTCGATCCGGATAGAGCGAATGATGCCGCAAATGGGCCGACTGAACCCAAAACGGGCGTGTCCTTTTGTGAGGGTACCCCTTTTTGGTGGTTGTGAAGGAACACTAAACGGAAAACCCAAAGCCAGTTTTGGGGTTCCCTAAACGAGACATCACACAATGAGCGCGAGACTCGAAAGCCATCGGCCAAATCAGCTGGTGGAGGATCCCGGTCTGGACTCTGCACCTCAAGCGAGGCTGAAGATCCCACCTAGAAGCTTAGACAGTATAGAGATCACCGCATGCACTTCCCCTCTGGTATCCCCCCAGCAAACGGAAACACAAATGTATGCATAATAGATTAATATGTTTACTTGATTCGTCGGTCATTTTCTTGAATTGTATGGTCATATACGTTCTACCTATGGGTCGCTTCCGGCTGTCGCGTGTCGAGGCTGCGGCATCTGTTGTTTCAGTCCTCGGCCAAGCCGCTGCCAGGAGCGTGGCGCCGTGTGCATCGGCAAGGCCAACATGGACTGCGCGGCGCTGAAAGCGATCTTTGGGGTCCCAAAGGGTCCCCAAAACAGGGTCCCCTTCCCGTGGTTGCATTCTGAGGGTGGTCAAAGTTGCTTATTGGCGACCCGCCAGCATTTCATGCTCAACCAGCCTAAGAGGTAGCTTTTTGGGAGCATTGGTCAAGCAGCAGGTTCGTGTGAATGGTCAGCGGACCCCAAACGGGTAGTAAACGGGTTTCGCACCACCCAAGAATCTCTGCAATGTTTTTTTTTGCAAATACCAGCAAGCAATGGTTTACCATGCTATTAAAGTGGTGCAGAATTGTGTTCATCCACAATATGTGTGCAGCGTGCTCGAATTCGTTTGAACCGCTTTAGAGTCACCCAATCGCTGAGGTCTCGCCACAGGCCAGCAAAGCCGAGCTTGACCTGAGCGCATTTTGAAGTGACCGTCACCAAGCAACACGTCGCGGTGCTTTCTTCTTGGTAGATGGCGCCCAACCGCGTGCCAAAGGCCAAGTTCAATTGAAGTATGTGTATCATAGCGGGAGTTGACCGAAAACACACACTCATTTATCATTGGTTGCTCTGTGCCATTGGCTGACTCGCATGAACAGTCGGCAAGCAGCAAGTCTTTGGTCGAGTTCACTTTGCAGATTTCGGGCATGCACATTCACAGCGCGTCAGGCTTGGTGGGGGCGCGCTCCTCAAGCATGCAGCGCATGCCTGCATGGCATCTTAAAATAAAAAAAAGAGCAAAGATGAGCACAGATGGGATGGTTTCTCACTCCCGGAATTGAATTGTTCTGCTTTCTTTGTTTTGCGGGGGGGGGGGGGGGGCTTTTTTGGGAATGCCATTTCAGTGTCAGGCAAACAGGTTACATGTGTTTGGCAATCTACTCAGGAAGTGAGGTCTTGACGCTAGTCAGTCAAGATCCTTGTGCTTTGCTGCATGTTTGTTTTCGCTTGTTGCCAGGGTAGCCGGCAGATTTGCTTGGCATTAGGGGAGTTACAGTTTGGACATTCGGCGTGAGAGGTGATGGTTTAGCGATGTTCCAACCAGTGATTGCCCCTACTGATGGCCAAGTGCTTGGTCTAAAACTTAGGACCCACTGGTTTAACGGGATGTGTTGGTTTTCTTCAACACGGCGTTCCTACTCAATTTGGGCATATTACAAGTAGTTTTGTTTAGGTGGAAATTGCTTCGCTGAAATGTTGGACAAGTTCCCCAAAGGCCATATGGGTCTTACGGTTCGCGGCGGTACCTTCGCACTCAGCCTTGAGATAGTTTCATGCATGACAACTGTCCTTGTCATTGCCTGCTTATCTTGGTGCAATATTTGGTTGACACTGGGTTTTCAGGGGGTACTAGGATCCTTAAACTATGTTCACAGTTCTCAAAGTTACTTTGGGACCTGTTTTTGTTGTACACCACTACAAAAGAGCGTCATGTTGAGGATGTCACTCTCATGGACCCTGCCGACTTGACCGTGTGCTTCGTGAGGCCAGCCCTTGGCTTCAAGGGAAGCCAAGAGAAAACCACACCCTTCTGGGGATCCAAATCCCTATTCTGACAGACACACACAGAGACACGCAGCCTCATGGTAGGTTGCTTCGCTTGAGGTGCGATCACCCTACGGTGCCTGCCAGAACTCCCTAGCAGGGCACCCAGCGATGCTGAAAAAGGAGTCACCACTGGATACTTCTTGACTCAACAATGCTTGCACACATATACAGTATCATATACACATATATATATATATATATACACGCATAATTACGCATACATACATACACACATGGTATTATATATATATATATATATATATTATATATATATATATATATGGAATTGCATGCATTTCATGTCTCCCGGTTTCCGGACAAAATATCACCGCGCATTTGCGCCAAAAAACAAATCGTCGGTTGGACGCTGAGGACCGGAGCTTCATTTCCGGCGGCTCCTCTTCGGGCTCCGGGGTCTCTGTGGCGTTGGCCCAGGCGACGTGCGCAGAGTGGGAGAGATGACGTCGGGGTGGAGAACCGAATCATTCGAACCGTGTTATATATGTATGTATACACCTAGTCTTTACGTCTATATACACACCCAAACAAACAAACAAACAAGCAAACAAACAAACCGCCAAACAACCAAACATACATACAAACACGGATAATATCAACGGGCACCCGGGTCCGAATTGGGACCCCTGTATTTTGTAGCCTCACTGGTGATTCCTGACCGAAGATAAGTCTGCAAGGCGCAAAGTCGAGAGGAGTCGAGGCTTCTCTTTGGCGCGGTTTATATTAGTTGACATCCCCAAGCTCAAGGGAAAAATGAAAGCCCCCCTCTGGCAAGTGTTGGTTTCCTTTGGATGTCAAACTTTTCACAAAGGTGGCAAAGTGGTACCGCCCTGCGCGGCCAGGTCACCTTCTCTTTGGGCACTGACACGGCCCCGGCCCTGGACAGGAGTTCCAAGGGTAGCCCTATGTACAAACTAACCTCCTGAGTTCATGGACTTTAGTTTTTTGGGGAAGACCATTTGGTTTAAAGTTTGGCGAGAGTATATGGGGAGCGGCATGCCCCGATACCCTCCCTGCAACAAACGTGGAAGTGAACGTTCGACCCCTTGAAGACAACTTACTTTTCAAGCAGGTTTGTTTACTTCCACATTGGTGGGAGGGCAAGCGATCCTTCCCCTACAAGTTCCCTTTGTGGATACAGGGGAAATAATGTATGGAGCAGGACGAAATCCAGGCGATCGGTCTTTATTCTCAGGTATTCACCATGTGATATATGTGCTGCCACAAGCGATCCCTGCAAACGATCTTGGGGAGCCATCATTTGCACGGATGTGCCTCAAGATAACCATTTGAGAACCTCTCGCCCATGAACAGCTGATGGCAAGAGGATTAGGCTTCCTTCCACTTCCACTTCTGGTTTTAAACATCACCTGGCTGTGGGTCAAAGCCATTTTGGGATGCCTTTTTGGGGTAGGTGAATTCACCACCCATTTTAGGACCTATTTTAGTGGTTGGATTGGGATGTTCACACTGGGGGTACGGGCTTTGGATTTTGACCCATGGCCACCTTTCGGGCACCTTGCTGGCCGATTGAAATTGCAACAATTGCAAAATATGGGGGGGTCTACCCTGGAGGCCGGGACTGTACCTGGGGAATTGCAAAGATAAGGTGATGTTCAATCGGCCGATGAAAGTCCTCTTCGGCCAGGCCGGCAGCGGCCGTGTGCCGGCGGCGCTGAACAACATCGTGGGGCTCAAGGCGAGCAGAACGAAGTGGTTGAGCCTCTGGAAGTCTTGTAAACAGGAGCTTTCCGGCATCACAGTTTCAACCACAGAAGGGTCTTCTTCCACCTTTTGTGTTTGTTGGCGACCCCCTCAACAAGGAATGCTTCACTACAAGGGGGTCGATCATCTTTCCACCAAGGGTGCCCCCTGTCAACCACGGCTAGGGATCTACAGCTGATTCATTGAAACCTTGAGATCTATGGCTGACTTATTGGAACTTTCTTGCGGCGGGGAGGGGGGTGTTCGCCGCTATCGAAGGCGTCCCGTGGACTTATGTCCACAGACGGCCTCTCGCCCGCGTGCAAGACATTGGACGGGGCCCCAGCGCTGCAGGGCAGAGTCGAGAGGCTTCAGTGGGAGGCTCGATCTGCCGTTCTGAACCCCAAAAAAGAGTCAGGGAATCTGAGTGGAAAGTTGATTGTATTTGGGGGCGACACAAAATCACGAGATCCCGGAGTTTGGGTGGAACAGAAGGTGGAGTTAAAGCCTGTCTTTGTTAGCTGCCAGTCTTGGACCTGGTCGATCAGACATCGATGTTCCGGACTACCCCTGAATGCCTGGTTGCATTTTCCGAGAGACGTTCAGGAGCGTGTATCCTTGGCCGATGTTTGCTTAAAACTAAGCCAGACTCGACAAGTCGCTTTTGTTTGTCTTGTCTTTTATTGTTCTATAGTTGTTTCCGCTGACCAGTTTAAAAGTGGGATGTTGTTGCAGGGGGTCTAAGTCCGGCCAGGTTGAGGGAATTCAGTCGGTAGGATTTTGGACAATTCACGCAGGCTCATTCAAGGACGCAAGGAATTTGAAGCTCAACACTGCGAGCCATTCGTCACTTCAAGACTTAGTTCTGGAAATGGTCTTGGGCCCCTTTATGGGGATTTTGGAGGTTTAAAGTATTGAGGAAATCATGAGCATAGATCATGGGAGCTGGGGGGGAGGGAGGGGGGGGGAGCCCCTCCCCTCCCTCGCCCCCAGCCCCCATGAATAGACTTAACAGCATGTAGTTGCGCTTTCTCCGAGCGAGGACTGCGTGTCGATCTTCTCCTTGACAGTGCCGGAGGCTTCGGCGGCGGGGGGGGGGTATGGATTAAATTGAATTCTGCATGCATTTCGGCACCGTCAACTCAAAATCAGGCCTGCATTTGTGCATGGAAGCCATGCACTCGGAGCAGAAAGAAGCCCCTCGCCGGGCGTTCTCATCAATTTGGGTGGTAGTATTCCCCAGATCGTAAAAAGGCACATGACGTGTTCTGATCATTTTGGTGGTAGCCCAGATATTGAAAGCCACAGGAGCGGGTGTTCTTTTCAAATTGGTGGTGGCGTTTGCTTTTGTGCTATCATGCTTGAACTGAGCTGGAAGGCCCACTTCCTGGGTTCGCGGAGGTTAGGCATGTTGCTGGCCATGTTGCACTTATGACCCACCGGCGATGCATCATGGCGGCAAGCCTTGCTGTCCAAGCGCAGAGAAGCCTCAAGCCAATGGCACCGCTAGCAACTAGGCGCCCCTTGGTACATACCAGGCTTTGCTCCTTTTCCTGGCCAGCCCAGTCCAATTCCTGGCCCCACTGATCCGTCTGTTTGCGTTGCCACCTGCTGCTTGGTCGGCTCGGTGTGCATTCGAAACAAAGAAGGGAGCGGGGCAAGGAAGGTAGCCGGGACGCGGGCTTTCCAGGAATACCCCCCGAGCCTGCTTACACGCGCAAATTCTACTGGTTCTCGGGAAATCAACAGGGTTTTTCGGAATCTGTGGATTCCCTTGCAGGATCTGGGTATGGCTCAAAATGAAAGAGTTGGGGTTACGCTGGTTTCAGTTGTGGGTTCCATGTTCCAAGGTGCCATTTTGGGGAGCCGCCGTGTTTTATGGGGACGGTTCAGGCAATGTTGACCCAGGGTTAATAAACCCGTCCCACTATTAGGGGCTGTTCCCTCCACAAGAGGTCCGAATCCGACCACTAAAAGGGGGATTCACCCCCCTATTAATCAGCCAGGGGTTCTGCTTAGTCCGGGGTTAACCTCCAGCGCACCAGGCCCAGCGGATCCTAGAAGTGGCCTCTGCCGCCAGCGGCACTGATCCTTGGGATCGCCCTGGCAAGGTGCGGGGGGGGGGGGGGGGGCACGAGGGCACTTCGCTCCAGAAAACGAGGCCATTTGGCTGTGGATCAAAATCGTTATGGGATCCCATTTTGGGGTAGCTGAATTCACCGCCCATTTTAGGACCTATTTTAGTGGTTGGATTGGGATGTTCACTTGGGGAAATACGGGATTTTGACCCATGGCCAGTTGGGTGCGTTGTTTTTTTGAGGGCACCCTCCCTGTTTGGTAGTTTTCAAGGGGAGAACCATCGTTTTGTGGGGTTCTCTTAAAGAATCGCACACCCATTTGGGGTGGATGTAGGCAGGGCTTCAATCCAAATCCATTGGGGCTATCCGAAAAAGGGGAGGGGGATCCTCCAAGTGTGTTCTCCAAATGGGGCTATCAAATGCATCCGAGTTCCCGTTGGGGTGCCGAAGTCTTGACAAGCGCCCAGGACTTGCGCCAGGGCCCACGGCTGCCGCCCTCGGGGCCTGCCAGCTTTAGGCCGGGCCTCATGGATCCGGTCTGTATGTGTCGGGGTGGCATCCATCCAAAAGCCCGACTACGCCAGAGCGTGGCCCGCATGCGGGGCGTGAGTTGGTTGGTTCGGGATTGGTTTCGGGATGGTTTCGGGCAATTTTGGGGTTGGGGGGGGGGAGCTATAGTGGGTCAACAACTGCAGCGTTGCAAGTGCTTCCAGGGCTTATTTCAAAATGGATTTTTCCGGCCTGGGTAGCAAAACGCCCTTGATGTTCAATAATTACGAGAAGAGTATCATGGGGGCTGGGGGGGAGGAGCCCTGTCTTATTTAGGGCTCCCTCCCCCTCCCCTCCCTCCCCCCCAGCCCCTATGAGAGTAGGCCACGACACTGACGTGCTGCGGACCCTCCACCCGCTTGGTTTTGGGGCCTCCCAGTGCTTCCAGGAACAATACTGCGGATGGTCGCGAAATCCATTTCACACCACGAAACAAAGCCAGGATTGAAACCACAACGGTATAACGTGTGTTGGTACGTTGAAGGGAATCGAGTCAGAAACCAGGGTTTCTTAGGTGGTCCGAAAACCACCTGGACCCTCGCAATTCCCTGAAGAAGGGGTTATGAGTTGGTGAATTCTCTTTGTTTTATGCGTAGTTTGAGGGTTCAGGCAGACTTTACCAGCTTTCACATTCCTCTGGCCTGGCCTGGCGGCTGATTTCAGGTTTGGAGTGCCCAGCGCGCGCTTTGTGGACTTTGGGAGCTTTGGGGCGCAGGCGCAGGCGCGCGGCGGCACTCCACCCCTACGGAGATCAGGATCCAAACAAACAGAAGCGGCTTGTGGCACTACTTTATGTTAAAGCCACATTTAGATGTGGAAGATAATATGAGAGGATCGTGTGTCGAGTTATGGAGCTTGTCTTACCCTCTCAAGCATAGCGCCCCTATGCGCACCCTTGCAACCCCGAACACAAATCTGACTTACCTGTCGTAGGGTTATTTGCCCGAGTCGACCTGTGTCCAAGGCTTGACTAGGCCAGCAGATTCGAAACTGCCACAGCTTCCGTAGAGACTGGTGTTTCAGGGGGGCCCCAGCACCCTGACAGTTTCGCGGTGAGTCAAGCCTTCAATCGGTTGAACGGATGCAAAGTAGCAGAGCCGGGGGGTGGAAGTTTCAATAGGAACTAATAGTTTGGACCCCTTGTCTCCCCCTATGTCTTTGTATGTATGTATATATTAATATATATATATATAATATATATATACATTACTATTGCGCGTTCCTTTGTTGTATTTATCCTCCTTTATCATCCTTGTCCTGTTCAGCGTTCTCTTCATTTTTGTTTTTGACTTGTTTGTATATTAAAACAAGCTGTCTCTTTATATGTCCCTTTCTCTTCATCTTCTTAGTTATATTACTATGATATTGTGTATCTGTCCTTATTGGTCCATTGATATGTATATGTCCGTGGGTCTTCCCGTTTCTTTTCTTTTTGAAGTATATTATATATACATATTTATATATATATATATATGTATATATATCTACATATCTAATATATCCTATCATAGCATCCAATAGTATCATCTTGTTTAGCCTGTCTTGTCTTATCTTATCTTATCTTATCGTATCTATGTTTTGTTTTTATCTTAACTTATCGTATCTTATCTTGTCTCGTATCATCTCATCTCATCTCATCTTATATATATATATATATCTATCTAATCTTATCTTATCTTATCTTATCTATCTATCTATCTATCTATCTAGAGACAGCCAGTGCGAAGCACTCAGCCAACCGTGAGCCCTTGGGTCTTCGCCGCCCGAACCGCAACCACCTGGCCCGACCTTTCCGCCCACGGTCGTGGCACCAGAAGTGCCTTTGAGGGGCTGTGTTTGGGAAGCTGCGCCCCTCGAGCAGGACCCTTTTGTGCCCCGGGGGTCTGAGCTAGCCTCGCAATCTCTTGTTGTTTTGTGTTTTTTTTCACTCGTAACGCATGCATGTCTTAAGAGAGGGCTAACCTGAAATAGTTTCAGTATTACGGACGCTTAAACTTCCTTTGGAGAAGAGTCATGGCCGTGACCTTTCAATTTGGTGGATTGGATTTGTGGTTTTGGGATTTGAACTTGTGAGTTCTTGTAGAGGGTAAATGGGAAACCCTCCTCAGCCACCAAACTGCCGGGCTCCAAACCACCAATCAGAGGGAAGCTGATATATGGCTGATGAATAGCTTCGAATTGGAACGGCAAGCAGAGGTTGAGTACGATAGGAGGGAGAGGTCCGCCGTGCTGATTCTTGACTTGCTAGGCATAGAACCCAAAAGAGGGTCCTCTACACTTGCCGTTTCTGGATGTGATTGGAATGATGTGATTCCCCCCCCCCCGTAAATACCAACAAGCGTTATGGTTTCTTGGGTGGTGCGATTTCTGGATTTCGCAACCATCCACCGTAGGGATGGACAAAACTCAAATAGGGGACTCATTACTTGCTGGTGCGATAGGTAGGGAATCAGGGAATGAACCTGACAGTCCCCTGAAAGGAAACCACTACAAGACATGGTTTATGAAACTCCTTCATTTCTCATTCCCTGGCAATCGCACCCATCGCAAGATTAACGCTCTGCAGAGACCTGAGTTCAAGAGGCGCGGGCCGACGACTACCGCCAAGCCTGGGAGAGGCGCGGAAGCTGCCCATCATGGGGTCTTGTGCCACCACCGCAGGTTGCTGCTGGCCAGCCAGCCAACAAAAACACGCAGGATTATAGAGAAATGCAAAGGGCTCCCAAGGCAACATGAGAGAACCATGACCAATGACCCACATCAGAAGTCTGGTTCGATTCCCCGGAAAAATCAACAAACGTTCTGGTTTCAACCACTGTGGGTCAAAAATAGGACAACCCCAAAATGGCTGGCCCTGTAAATGGAAGCATGGACTACCTGCGGTGTTCTGGTGGTTTCATTTTGGCCCAAATGGAAATCCGCCACCATCCCCAAGGCTCCAAGGCCCATTTTGGTCGTCTCGAGGTCTGTGGAGGCGCTGAAGGCCATCGGCGGGACCTGCGTG